ATATCGAATACCTCACGGGTAGCTTGCCAGGCTTACAGGCGAGATACTCTTGGTAGCTTGCTGGGCTCTCCGAGAGGGGCGGAGGAATTGAACTCAGGTTGGCCGTGTGGGCCGCGTGCAAGGCAAACGCCCTACCTACTTTGCTATCGCTCCAGCCCCTCACCTGTCTTTTTGGAAGGTTTCGGTTGTCAGAATTGCACTGAGAGGCTAGAGATGGCAGCCCTGGTCAACAGCAGGGGCCACCAACCTCTGAGTCGGTCACCCCACACCGGCCCAACCCCCTTATTTCCAGATGTTAGGCAGAAAAGTAGAAGGAGGAAAGCATGGACCAGCCTGTTTCCCACCTGCACCCCTGCGCACCTCTCCCATACCCACCCCCCCACCCCCGCCTCTACCAGCATGACCATGTTCCCCACCCACCCAGCTTCTCCATCTGGGTGAAAGCCAGTGAGTGTGAGTGTGAGTGTGAGTGGACACTCAGGGCAGAAGGGTCAGTAGGTGGCACTCCAAGACCCAAATGGGAGATGGTTCAATGGGCTAGAGCACTGACTTTCTACGCAAGAGGTCTAGGTTCCATCCCTAGCACCAGTGGTCATCCGAGGACTAACAAGAGTGACCTCAACCTAAAGCCTAGAGTGACCATAGCATTGCTTGGTGCTACCCCAAAATATAAACAAATAAAATAAGCTCCAAGACCATGTTACACCCTCAACAAAAGATCATACTGAGTGTATGGTATGTGTGTGTATGGTGTGAGTGTGTGTGTGTGTGTGTGTGTGTGTGTGTGTGTGCGCGCGCGAACAGGCCTTCATCAGCTTACAGTGTATTGAATAGTAGCTTCTTAGCCCCTGGAATTGGGGTTCTCTGGGTACTTCATGGGGGCAGCTTGCTCTTCAGGTCACCATCTGGCAAAGTCATTTTTTGATGATGCAATTGGACAGGGGAGTGGGACTGCTTGAACTTAGCAGGTGGCAACCAGGAAAACTATGAGGTATTCTACAGTGCCCCGGACAGCCCCCTATGACAGAGAATCACCTGACCCCACATCCTTCATGCCAAGGTAGAGAGCCCCAGAATGGACTCCCTGGCACCACTCTGGGGGCTTGGGAGATTGCCCTAAGGACTGTGGCATCAGCTTTGCATGTAGGAGACACAAATTCCTCCCTGGGCCCAAACACAGAGAAACAAAACCCTCATGTCGTTCCAACTGGGCTCATCAAGGTTCCTGCAGGCCACTCCACATGCTATAAGATCCCCAGCATGTGTCAGGACTCTCGGTAGAGGACCTGGGGCTGATGGGACTGTTGTATTTTAGGGACGTTCTGTTTTTCATATCAGGAAGGTGGATCTGGTACCCTTTAGTACCTGATATCTGTGATTTTAGTTTGACGTTTTTAAAGGCATATGGGGGACTGAGGTAGCACAGCAGGGCCCTTGCCTTGCACGCAGATGACCTGGTTCAATCTCCGATATCCCATATGACCCCTGGAACCATCGAGGAGTGATTCCTGCATGCAGAACCAGAAATATGCCCTGAGCACTGTTGGATGTGGCCTCCAAAGCAATAAATATAAATAAGATAAATGGGGGGCTTATGGGTGGGATCCTTGGGCATTGGTACAAGAGGTGGTGTTGGAACGTTGTGAGAATGTCATTCTGAACAGTATTATAAGTCATGGTACTCTCCATCAGAAAGTGGTGTTTCGCTTTGCCTTGCTTTGGGACCACACCTGTCTGTGCTCAGGGCTTACTCCTCGCTCCGTGCTCCCAGATCACTCCTGGTGGTGTTGGGGTACCATATACAAGGAAAGTGCCCTGCCCACTGTACTATCGCTCCAACCAGCCCCATGTTTAAAAAATAGAGTAAATAAAAGTGACAGCTAGCTACAGGGGTTGAGTATAGTATTTATCTTGCCTGCAGCTGACTCCCGTTCCACCTTTGGCAGCTCTTGATCCACTAAATGCCACCTAAGCAGCACCTGATCCTGGGGCCCTATTGGCTGGTAATCACCAGCAGAGGCGTCTGTGCCTCCCGAGCACCAAAGTACACAGAGAGGTGCATGTACAGAGCGCCATGTGTGTGTGGAAAGCCTGGCAGAACGTTCAGGGTGTTGTTCCTAGAGAAATGCGTATGAAGTCGGCACGGGTCAGGGTTCCTGCGGGAACACACTGGCTTTCTCCATCCTTCAGGCTCTGGGTGGCCAGACGGAAGAGAACATTCGTCCAAGCAAAGAGCCGGCCGAGCTGAAGTTCTGGTACCCGAGTCCGTGGGCGTCCAGGGGCCTTCTCCTCGTGTGCTTCCCGAGTGTGGGGATTCAGGCAGGCCAGGCAGGTCGTTTGCATGTTCTCGTGACTCCTCTGCCCGTTGGCAGCTCAGCCTGCTCACAGGGGCAACTTGTCGTGAAGAAGAAGCTATGTCTGTCTGTGAGGGTGCTTGGTAAACTGCCCGTGTGCTACCAGTGTTTCTGTCTTGTTTTGTTTTGTCTCTTTGGGGGCCACACCCGGCAATGCTCAGGGACCACTCCTGGCACTGTGCTCGGGAAGTGCTCAGGGGACCGTATGTGTCAATGTTTCTACTTGCTGGCTTTTTGCCCAGTGAGCTTTGTCTAGTGAAGACCAGTCAGATTGTTGGGAAACTGGGCTCCAGGGAGGGGAAAAGTGGGTATCGGTGTGAAGGCGGGACATGTGGAACCCCTAGAGAGAGGGTGACAGAGGGGTCTGAGACATGCTGAGAAGTGTGGGGTACCGGAGGGCTAAATCTGTCCCCAGGCATAGCCTCTTGCCTCCTTTCATGCCCAGGCCTGCCATCCGCCCCACCCCCATCTGCTCCCGTGCCTCTCACTGCCCCTGGGGGTATGACACCTTCTGCTCCTTTAGCCCTGGACCACTTTTCTGAAAGCCCAGCCCAAGCCCTGCCTTCTCAGTCTGTTCTGGGTTAATGAGCAGAAACGTGACTGTTCTAACCTGATCCTGGTCAGGCCTGGTCAGGACTGTTCAGCCCACAGCCGAGTGACGGCCACGGATGACGCAGACTCCCTTCAGTCTCTGTGATGGGCCTCCCACCAGCAGGAAGAGCTGCAGGCCTCTTGTGCTGTGTCCCCTGACAGAGACAAATGGTCTGCTTACAAAACTATTAGCTGTCATTCATCAAACGCCTCCCGCATGGGAAGCACCGTGCTCAGTTCTGACGGCATCTGACAACCTGCACCGTCACTGAAGGGCTCCTTGCTTTAGAGACAGAAACTGGAAACCCAGTTGTGAAAATGCTTGTCCAGGGTCAGGAAGACATACAATGTAGGGGTTAAGGTGCTTGCCTCGGACAAGGCCAGGGAGAGAGCACTGCGGGTAAGGATCTTCCCTTGCACACGGCAGACCCAGGTGCAATCCCCGGCACCCCAGGTGATCCTCCGAGCATCACCCAGGAGTGATTCCTGACTGCAGAAACAAGAATAACCCCTGAGTGTTGCCAAGAGTTTTTTTAAAAGATTTATTTTTCTTTTTGGGTCACACCCAGCAATGCTCAGGGGTTACTCCTGGCTTTGCACTCAGGAATTACTCCTGGCGGTGCTTGGGGGACCATATGGGATGCCAGGGATCGAACCCCGGTCGGCTGCATGCAAGGCAAATGCCCTACCCACTGTCCTATCACTCAAAATATTTAAAATATTTTTTAAAAATTAAAAATAATAATAAAAGGCACTTGCCTTTGACAAGGCAACGATGGTTTGATCCCCAGCACGACCACTGAGAACCACTGGGAATTACTCAAGAACAGTCAGGAGTCGCCCCAGCACCACTGGCTGTGGCTTTCAAACACAGAAGGCTGTTGAGGACCCAAGGTCTACCCTGGAAGAGAACTTGGAATCCGTGATGGCGGGACACCAGTGCTCCCCCATGCCTCCCCACTCCCTCTTCCCTCCTTTCCTCAGGATTTTTAATTTTTGGGGGCGGAAGGGGGGCTAAGGAGCTACACCTAACTGTGCTCAGAGCTTACTCTTGGCTCTGCACTCACTCCTGGCAGGAATCCAGGGACCCTGTGGGATGCTGAGCATCAAACCCGGTCCGACTGTGTGCACGGCAAACAACCTCCCCGCTGTAGTATCTACCCAACCTGAGTGGGTTTCATTTAAAGCATGTGCACACATTCACACCCACATGCTGAGAACTTACTGTTTGGATTTTCTGCAGTAGCGCCTGGGAGGAAGTTAGTGCTAGGTTGCACTTCCTGGGCTTGGGGAGGGAGGTTGGGAGTTTGGGCCCCACCTGGAAGTACCCGGGGGTCACTCCTGGTAGTGTGGGTGAGAACCAGATACTGGGGATTTATCTTTGTCAGCCACAGGCAACACAAACGCCTTATACCCTCCTATGGTCCTGTGTCTGGTTTCTGAAGTTGAGGAACTCTGGAGTGAGACCAAGTGGTGCTTTCTTGAATGTGGATCTGTATTACCCACAAGCCTGTGCGTGCCGAGTGATGTCATTCATCCACTCACAGGATTCTTCTGGAAAGGCATTTCTTAGGGAGTGGAGCATCATAGGAGAGTCAATTTAGGGAATAAAGGGACAGGATTGCTGGCTGGGCCTCTGTCCCTGCATGCACCCCACTTGTCCCCTGCCCAGAAGGCCTTCTCCCTCACTGGAAGGTTCTTCAAACTCCTGGGCCCTCAGTGCTGACCTGTGAGTCGGCCCCCTTCACTGCCTGGTGGGTGATGCAGGCGGTGCCCTTGCAGTCAGGAGCGGCCAGCCGGTATCCACTGCAGAGCCCTTTTTCCAGGCACCCGAGACCAGTGTTTCTCAGTTTCTCACACTTGCCATCTTCCAACTTGGTTTCCTTGCAGTGGTGCCCGGTCCTGCCAGTTGGTTCCCTGGCCGCTAACCATGGCCCCCCACTTATGCCGTTTCACTTGGGGGCCCACAGGTGGAGGGGGTGTCTTGTGACCCTGACTGAGGAACGCTGCTCTCAAGGCCTCATCTCACCAGTTGTCATCTCTCTGTCCCTGCAGTACCTGCAGATGAAATGGCCCCTCCTCGATGTCCCCTCCAGCGCCACAGTCAAGGACACCAGGTCACCATCCCCTGCACACCTGGTAAGTCTGTTTCTCCGTTACAGAGTCAAGGGGCCTAGCACTCCCCCTGCCCCCCCTTCCCCAGGATCCCTCGGACTGATGGAGTCTGGCACTGTGCCCCGTGTGAACACGAGGAAGAGCCCGAGCAGTTCGGGTGTGCTTAGGTCATTGTCAGGCATTAATTCCACCCCCACACGCTGGAGCCCGCACGCATGTGGCCCCCGAGCTGGCTGGTTGAAGTGCTGGGCCCACCTGGGCAGCCTGGGGCTAGCGCGGGATGGTTTCCTCTCCCCTACCACCACAGTTCCCTGGAGCTGCAGGAAAGAGCTAATTTAGTGAACTCCTGGGTCTCCGCGGGGCGTGGGACACAGTGGAATCTGCGCTGGCGTCTGCGGCCTTCCTTGGGCTGCTTCCTGCTGGAATTGAAGGCAGAGGAGAGATGCTCCTGGAACATGTGTGCCCTCACACTGGACTTTTTTTGGGGGGGGGGAGGGAGGATGACACCCAGTGATGCTCAGAAGTTACTCCTGGCTCTGCGCTCAGGAATTACTCCTGGCGGTGCTTGGGGGAACATAAAGGATGCCAGGGATTGAACCCAGGTCAGCCGCGTGCAAGGCAGACACCCTACCCACTGTGCTATCACTCCAGCCCACACTGGACCTCTCTTAGGTACTGTGGGCACCCATACAGTGAATCTGAGATTCATAAAGGGGTGTAGCCAGAAGGAAGACAGATGGCTTGACCCAGCCATGTTCCAGGCCAGTAGACCGGGGGCCCTGATCCTCTGGAGAATTTTACTTGACCTGCATGCCCCCTTCCACTGTTCTCTGCCTGTTGCGCATCTCTTCAGCCCTCTGGGTTTTCTTTTTTTTTTGGGGGGGGGGGGGCAGGCGGTCACACCTGGTGGTACTCGGGGAAGGTATGGATGCCAGGGAACAACCCTAGGTCAACCACAGGCTAGGCAAGAGCCCTCCTCGCTGTGCTGTCTCTTGACCCCACTCTAGGTTGTTCTTTTGTTTTGTTTTGTTTTGTTTGCTTTTTGGGTCACATCTGGTGATGCACAAGGGCTACTCCTGGCTCATACACTCAGAAATTACTCCTGGAGGTTCTCAGGGATATGGGATGCTGGGAACCGAATTCAGGTTGGTAGCGTGCAAGGCAAACACCCTACCCACTATGCTATCACTCCAGCCCCTCTGGGCTATTTTAAAGCTGGTCTGTATACATGACTTTATCTCATTCAGGACATTTAAAAATATTCTGATGGCCACATGGCAGTAAAGACTTAGTTTCTAGTTGTAGGGGGTAAGGCGCTTGCCTTGCGTGTGGCCAACCACCGTGATCTCTGAGCACTGCCAGGAGTAACCAAGAGCTCTGCTGGGTGTGGTCCCTAACTCTCGCCTCCCAAATAAGGCTTTGCTTCTAATTGTGCAGAAGATGCTGGTCCTGAGCATGTGAGCCAGCGGCCCTGTGTCTCTGCGGCCCACCAGTTTTCCCCTGACCTGTGTCCAAGGCTGCCCACCGCGGAGGCAGGTGTTAGACCCTGTGGGGATCAGTGGCCACTGAGTCAACTGATCCCCAGGCCGCAAGCACACCTTGAACATGCCTGGAGCAGGTCAGGGAGGTGCTGGTAAGGGCCCTCCACTGCCACTTCCGGGGCAGGAGCACGTGGTGCGAGTGCCCTCTAGTGGTCAGTTTGTGCAAAGGCCGAGTGCACCTACCCTGCAGTAAATTGGCCCTTCTCCCCCCAGCTCAACTATCTCTCACCATTTGGGACCTTTCCTTGCCTCCTGTCCTGCCTCCTTCCACCTAGCTGTTGCAGCCCACTACCTGCTCAGCCAGCCAGAAATGACCGGCCCTCCTGTGGTGTCTGCCTGTTCTGCCTGTGCACTGTCTAAAATCTCCATCTGTATGTTTCCTTCACTTTTAGTTGCTGTTGCAATGACCAGGGTCACACTAAGCCCCGGGTGCTTTGGGGAAGGAGGATGCCAGGGCTTGGGACCTACCCAACGGTACTCAGGGACTGTTCCTGGCTCTACTCAGGGGTCACTCTTGGAGCATTCATGGAACTGTATAGAGTGCTGGGTGTTGAACCCAGGTCAGCCACCTACCAGGCAAGCACCTTAACCCCTGTACTATCTCTCCAGCCCTATGTTTCTTTTGGGGAGGGGGACTGGTCACAGTCAGCAGTACCCAGGGCCTATTCCTAATTCTCTGCTCAGAAGTCATTCCTGGCAGTGCTCTGGGAATCCTTTGTGGTGCCAGGAATCAAACCAGGATTAGCCATGTGAAACCAAACAAACGAACTGGGGTAATGAGAATTACCCCAATTCTCTGCAGCTTGACCCAGCGATTGCCACAGGTGCAGATGGGGGTCACTCACTCTGTGCACACATGCCCACTCATTCAGCGGGGTACGTGCACCTACTCTGGCTGGGCTCACCTCCTGTCATGGCTCTGTGAGCGCCGCGGGTGACAGGCAGGAGGGCCGCTGTCAGAACTATGCTCAGCCCAGGGGGGTGACTCTCAGGGTCAGATTCATGACCTCTACTGGGCACCAGATCCCTGATGGATTTTAGAATCATAAGCAGCTTATTTTCTGGCGAGATTTACATGGGAGATGGCAAGTGAAGTACTGCTGACTTGTGGACATCCCGTGGATCCCGGCCTGTCTGGACACAGAGGGGTGTGTAAATACGCCAGCCCCCATGAGTGTGACGTTTAGTGTCGTTTTGTTTTTGTTTTGTTTGTTTCACACCCAGCAATACTCAGGCGCTACTCTTTACTCTGTGCTCAGGAGACCATATGCCAGGGATTGAACCCAGGACAGCTGCATGCAAGGCAAACACCCTACCCGCTCTACTGTCAGCCCCCTTTGTTGTTGTTAACTCTCCCAATAAGCTCTGAGAACCAACAGGACCAGAGGGACAACTCCACAGGCTGAGCACAGCTTTGCATCTGGGGCGGGGGGGGGGGGGGGTCCGGATTCTAACCTCTGCACCATGTGGCCCCCTGAGCACCAGGGAGGAAGCCCATGAATGAGTAAATAACTAAATAAACCGAGATCCTCCATCTTCTCAGCACTGGAAGTGCAGAGAACTTCACGCCTCCTGAATAGGTTGACACTGCTCTGTCGTACCTCCAGTACTGATTTTAATTCCTTCTTCTTCTTCTTCTTTTTTTTTTTCTTTTTGGATCACACCCAGCGATGCACAGGAGTTAGTCCTGGTTCATGCACTCAGGAATTACTCCTGGCGGTGCGCGGGGGACCATATGGGTTGCTGGGAATCGAACCTAGGTCGGCTGCATGCAAGGCAAACTCCCTACCCGCTGTGCTATTGCTCCAGCCCCACCTTCTTCATATTTTTAACTTATTTTCCACATTTGGGGTTTAGTTTAGTTTTGGGTTTGGGACCACATGCAGAGGTGCCCAGGGCTTCCTCCTGTCCCTGTGCTCAAGGAGCACTCCTGGTGGGACTCCTGAGGATCAAACTGGGGTCAGCCATGTTTGCGAGGCAAGTGTCTCAGCCCCATGCTATCTGTCTGGCCGCACTCTAGCCTCTCTCTCGCCAGGTTTGTTGGCAGCAAGGCTTGGGGAAAGGGAGAGATTGTCCCAGTGCCCGCTGCTAAGATGGCCCCTGCTAAGATTCCTGACTCTGAACATTCTCACTCTCCCCCCACCTGCAAAATCTGATGGCGCCTACCTCCGCTCAGAGCTGCAGTGCACTCTCCATGCATTGTCAGTCGATTCCCAGTCTCCCTCATCTCCTTTCCTTCCCTCTGCCCCAGCCTCCTGGCCTCTTTGGGACTCCTCAGATATGCCGAGCCTATTGCCCACCACAAGGCCGTTGCACCATGGTTCCTTTTGCCAAAGTGCTCTTCCCCCACATAGCTGCACCTCCCGCTTCCTACATCCCTCGGGTATTTATTAAAAAATCATTTCTAGGAGGATTGAAGAGATAGTACAGCGGGCAGAGTGTTTGCCTTGCCTGCAGCTGACCTGGGTTCAACCCCAGCACCCTATATCGTCCTCTAAGTACCACCAAAAGTGGTCCCTGAGCACAGCTGGGTGTGTGTGACCCAAAACAAACAGCCCCCACAAAAAGTGAACGTGAACCAGAGTGATAATACAGGAAGTAGAGCACTTGCCTTGCACATTGGCTGACCTGGGTTTAATCCACAGCATCCCGTGTGGTCCCCCAAGCTCCACCAGGAGTGATTCCTGAGAATAACTAGGTTAGCCCACAAAAACAAACACAAAACAAAACAAAAGGGAATGCCACAAGGGTAAGTCTTTTTATCTACATAGACAAGATTCTGCAGCGCTTTCACAAAACCTCCCTGTGGCCCAACTAGCACACACTAGATGGGACAGAAATGCTGCACTTCCTCCTGGCGTTTGTGTTTCCTGTGGGCAGCTTGTTCAACAGGTCCCCATGGGGACCCACACTGTTTCCCTCTCTGGCCGCCCAGCTCTGCTCTGTGGGCAGATAGTCTCCGCACACTTCAGGTCATGAAATCAAGTGGCTCTCAATGTCTTTCAGTAGAGGGAAAGCTTTGTGGGAGATAGCTGGTCAAATTCTTAATAGGATACTGTGACAGATTCGACTGAGCTAATATTTTGCCTTTAAAGTAGTATTTGTCGGGGGCTGGAGTGATAGCACAGCGGGTGGGGCATTTGCCTTTAACTCCCCAGATCACTCTGTGGTCCCCTGAGCACTGCCAAGGGTCACAGCACAGAACCTGGAGGAGTCTCTGAGCATCGCCTGCTGTGACCCCAAAAGACAAGATCATATTCATTCTAATAATAAAAAAGTAGTTTTGGTTAGAGAGGGATGGAGAGTAGGCATGTGTACAGAGAGATTTTGAGTCTTTCCTTCTCAACTTTAACTTGGCCTGATTCTCTCATATTTCAGCCTATATTTTGTACCAACCAACCAGCCTACTTCCTCTGAAATAGAAATATGGGATACTTTGAAGTCTGGCCCATGAAAAACATAAAAAGAACCCCAATAAAGGTCAGAGAGATGGTGTAATAGTTAAGGCATTTGGTTAGCGCATGAGGGATCCAGTTCTATCCTCAGCTCCCCATATGGTCCCCCGAGTCCATCAGAAGTAAGCCCTGAGCATAGCCAGATTTAGCCCCCAAAACAAGACCTCAAAGACCAAGGTAATTACCTTCCATGCCAAAGGATCGGTTCCTGTAGAGGAAAGGTTGAGTCTGATCAAAATAAAAGAAAAATAATGTTTGTTTGTTTTTTATCTTTTTGGGTCACACTTGGTGATGCTCAGGGCTTACTTCTGGCTCTGCACTCAGGAATCACTCCTGGCAGTGCTTAGGGGATTGAACCTGGGTCAGTTGCATGCAAGGCAGACACCCTACCCGCTGTCCTATTGCTCTGGCCAGAGAAATAACTTTTTTACTTAAAAAATTATAAACATTGGGAAGAAATTAACCTTTGGCTCGTTTCCCTTCCCTTCCTTTCATTGCACTCTTGTGGCAGTGACAGACTTGGGGTTAGGGGTTCACACCCCCCAGCCTACAGTTCAACATCTTCCGTGGTACTTGCCTTACATACCTGGCTGTGTGCAGAGTGAGGGACCACAGTGAGGGGTGTGTACAGCACTGGAGACCAGACACAGAGCACAGTCAGATGCCCAGGTTGTGTGACACCCATGGGAAAGAACACAGTTTGCATGCATGGGCCTCTGGGTTCAGCCTTCTCCATCCACTAGAACCAGTTTCAGAACTTGGCTCCATGTGGGCAGTGGCCCAGAGACTAGGATCGGACCAACTCTGACTTGTGGCTGGATCCTGAGTGTCCTCGGGACCCTGTTCTTCTGCTGGCAGGCTGGCCGGCCCCCTGTCTTGGAGAAAACTCCTACTTTAACTTTAATGGGGATTTTGTGATATTTAACTTCACCTTGATACTGAGCTTTATATAAAATGTTCAGGAAATCCCAATTTAGCATAGACTCACTGATGCTGTATGTTCAATGGCGATATCTTCAAAGGCCAGGAAAGGGAATTGATGATAAGAATAGGGACACCAGGGCTGGAGCAATAGTACAGCGGGTAGGGCGTTTGCCTTGCACACGGCCAACCTGATTCCCAGCATCCCATATAGTCCCCCAAGCACTGCCAGGAGTAATTCCTGAGTGCAGAGCCAAGAGTAACCCCTGAGCATTGCGGGGTGTGACCCAGAAAAGAAAAAAAAGAATAGGGACACCATTTGGGCATTGATAAGCAACATCAGATGAGCCCACCGGGGAAGTGATGGGAAGCTCTTTTGGGCATCTTCCTGGCTCTGCTCAGGGAACATGGGGGCGGGGGTCCAGAAGGGGTCCAGGGTAAATCAGGGTTGGCCGCTGGCCAGGCCAGCACCTTACCCACTGCATGCTCTCTGCAGCCTTTGTTAAGGCTCTGGAGGAAGCAGAAACAAGACAAGACGGGTGATGAGAGCCACACGGGGCTGGTAGAATCTAGTCTATCCTGACCAGCTGTGAGTCCAACTAAATCGTTCAGCTCTGAGCTGTTTCCTCATCCTCACTGGCAGTAATTGTTGCGTCTATGCCATATTGAAGTAAAGGAATTGATATTTACTGCTGGGCGCATAAATTGGAGCTTTGGGTTGGGGCTTGTTGGGGCTCGACATGTGCTCAGGGGATGTCTGTGTCTGGGATTAAGCCCAGGCCTCCTCCCGAAAAGCATACACGCCAGCCACTGGGCAGTCTCTGTCATTCCCCGATAGCTATTTTTACCATAATTATCCTTATTGTTGGTTCAGATTAGGCTCAAACCATTACAGAATAAATTCAGCCTGCCAATCCTCAGTGCACCCATTTATTTTCATTTCAGCACCTCCGAAACCAGAGTATGATCATTATGTGCCAGTGTTTTATTTTTTCTTTCCTGGTGGTTCTATTTGCATTGATGCTGTGTGGTCCTCCTGCATTGCCAGCAGGTTTGTTCGCTGCTGTACAGGACTGTGTGGTTTTGCTTTACATTGGTCTCTGCAGCTAAGTTCAGGAGGCCGGAGGTGACTCTCTACTCCCTCCCTACAGCCCTGAAGACCACCAGGCCATACCTGGTAGATACCCAGCGGTTAGATTTGGGTCTTTCCACATTCATGACTGCCTGTGCCCTTGCTGGTGTTTTTGGGTTGTTTGTTTGTTTGTTGGGGGTGGGAGCCAGGGGCAGTGGATATATCCCGTAGTGCTTTGGGGAACTCTGTGAGGTGAAGAAGGCTTAAATTGGGGTCAACTTCATGCAAAAGTGCCTTACCTTTACACTGCCTCTCGGCCCTTGCACTATTGTTGGTTTGTTTGTTTGTTTGTTTGTATGTTTTGGTTTCTGGTTTGGGGGCCACACTCGTGGTGCTCAGGGATCACTCTTAGCAGTGCTCAAGGGACCTGATGGGTTGCCAGGAATCTAACCCAGGTCAGCCCCATGCAAGGTGAGTAACAATATTACTGGCTGTTATCTCTCAGCCCCTGGCGGCATTTTTGGAGTTAGGTGAGCACAGCAGGGCCCTGGCTGCTCTTTCCTTGAACCCTGAACAGATCCTATAAGGGCTGCTAGGCCGTCACAGACCCCGCTCCTCTGATTTCCTCCTTGCACTGGAACTTGAGAGCTGTTGTTTTTATGACTTGACAAGGGTGTGTAGAAGCCTTTAAAACCCACCGAGATGATTCAATAAATAAAATTATAAAAAATGAAAAAAAAGTAAGGTGGAATTCATGCACAATTCAATCAGCTAATTGGTGGCTGAATAAATAGCAGTACTCCTGCTTAAAAAAATAAAATAAAATAAAAAAATAAAACCCACCGAGATTTGCTGAAATTCTGGGCTACAGCGGATAGGGCATTTGCCTTACATGCAGCCGACCCAGGTTCAATCCCCGGCACCTCCTGTGGTCCCTGGAGCCCACCAGGACTAAGCACCATTGGGTATGATCCCGAAACAGAGTAAACTTCACTGTGATCCTGGAGCCTGTGTGCGCTGCAGCTGCCAAGGGCCTTTTGCACCCATGTCTGGGGAGCAAACACTGCTGAGCTGCAGGAGGCGGCAGGGGGAATGGGTATTGGCCGCCTCCGGAACAGGGAATGGGTCCTCGGCGAACAGCTGCTGGGGGTCCCTCTCTTTGGCTTCCACTCCCAAGTCTGTTTGTCTCTTTCAGTCGAATAAAGTTCCTGTTGTTCAGCACCCACATCACATGCACCCGCTGACGCCCCTCATCACCTACAGCAACGACCACTTCTCCCCCGGCTCCCCACCCACGCACCTGTCCCCAGAGATCGACCCGAAGACAGGTGAGCGGGGGTGGAGTCAGCACCTCCCACCATCCAGGTGGTCCATGATGTGGGAATGGACCATGCGGCTTCCTCCCCATTGACTAATACAGCCTTGGCCTCAAGGGAGAGTAACCAGAAGCCCCTGTGTAGACTATCCTGCCCGACCCGCAGCCCCAGGGTTTGGGGGTGCTGGTTTGGGGCTCCACGCTTTTGAGGGGGTCTTTCTTTAGAGGCATCACTGCCCCCATAAAGAGGGCACATGAGGCCCAGGTCAGAGTCTGTATCTCCATATCTGAGGCAGGTGCCCTAGAGTGCTGGTCAGCAGGGGGCCTGGGCCTCTCAGACAAGGACGTTCTGTCCCAGTGGGGGGCCAGGAGCTGGCCGGAAGATCCTACTGTCCTGGGGGGGGGGGGGGACCTGCAAATCCCTATGGTATTTAAGGTGTTGGTCATGACATGTGTCTTTGGAAGCAGGAATCCCCCGGCCCCCTCACCCATCGGAGCTGTCTCCATACTACCCGCTGTCTCCGGGCGCCGTCGGACAGATCCCACACCCCCTCGGCTGGCTGGTTCCACAGTAAGGAAACACGCCCTCCTGCCCTCCTGCCCTTCTTCCTTCCCTCCTTCCATCCCTCTATCCCTCCTTCCCTCCACTCCTTCCTTCCCCCTTCCCTCCACCTCTCCTTCCTTCCTTCTCTCCATCCCTCTTTCCCTCTCTCTCCTTCCCTCTCTTCATCCCTTCTTCCTTCCTTGCACCCCTCCTTTCTTCCCCTTCCCTCCATCCCTCTTTCCCTTCCTCCATCATCTCTTTCCTCCTTCCCTCCCTCCCTCCTTCCCTGTTTTCCTCCCTCTTCCTCTCTCCCTCCTCCATTCCTCCTTCCACCAGACTCTGCTTCCTCTTCCTCCCATCGACCCTAAGATCCAGAGGCCACTGACCCCCAACCTGCCGCTCCCTGTAGCTTTCTCCCACCCCTTTCTCTCTCCTCCCTCCTTCCCAGGCTGCTGTGCTGACCAGGGGTCCCAACTCCCTTTCTTTCAGGCAGGGACAGCCCATGTACTCCCTCCCTCCGGGTGGCTTCCGGCATCCTTACCCTGCCCTGGCCATGAATGCCTCCATGTCCAGGTGAGTCGGTGCCAGGGCAGCCGCCCTTTCTCCTCGTGTCCTCTGACTTAAAACCTCTCGCCCCAGTAGGGATCCCAGGCACTTCCTCCCGGTGGGGTCAGAGCAGCAGAGAAAGTGCAGACTGCCTTGCGACCCCACCCTTCCTGGGTTGGGTGGGCCAAACCCTGGCTTTGTGGGGGGGCACCGGGTCCCGTGCTGGGCACCGAGCGTCCGTCTGACTCACCTGCTTCCCTTTGCTCCCACGCGGCCAGCCTGGTGTCCAGTCGCTTCTCCCCTCACATGGTGGCGCCGGCCCATCCTGGTCTGCCCACGTCAGGGATCCCTCACCCCGCCATCGTCTCCCCCATCGTCAAGCAGGAGCCTGCGCCCCCCAGCCTGAGCCCGGCTGTGAGCGTGTGAGTAGCAGCCCGTGCTGGGGTGGTCCCCGGCACGCTTCTTGGCTGTGAGTGGTCCCTGCGGTGCTCGTGTCACTACAGATGCCCATCTCGGGGGTGGGAGGACCTGGGTTCAATCCCTGGTGCCACAGAGGGAGGAAGGGCATGGGGGGACTGTGCGTGTGTTCTCCAGCTGCCGTCAGAGGCTGTGAGAGGACTCAGAAAGCATCTGTCGTCTCTTCTTCTCCCTTCCCAACACCCCTGGAAAGGAGGCTCTCCCTAGCCACCTTGGGGGGACTTGTGTCTACCCCAGCACCGAGTGGATCATCCAACTTAGCTGAGCGGGCCACCGCCCTCCGGACAGAAATTGGGGGGTAAGGGCTGGAGTGATAGCACAGCAGGTAGAGCGTTTGCCTTGCACATAGCTGACCCAGGTTCGATTCCCAGCATCCCATATGGTCCCCCAAGCACCGCCAGGAGTAATTCCTGAGTGGATGAGCCAGGAGTAACCCCTGTGCAATGCTGGGTGTGACCCAAAAAAGAAAGAAAGAAAGAAAGAAAGAAAGTGGGGGGCCAAAGGCTGAATCAAGAGGAGCCTTGAGGCCACTGCATGCTGGGGAGAGGCCACTGATGTTTCTGGCCACGGAGACACTTTCCCCTTCCCCTCCCCGCTTTATCCCTGGGCCTGTGCCACCAGCTGTCCCATCCACCTGGACCCCTCGGGGAAGTCACCCCAGGGCGACTGGGAGGTCCACTCCCAGAGGCCAGAGCACAGTGGGCACAGCGAGTCGTGGTGGGGCAGTGGGCACACCCTCACCGCTCGCCCTCTGCCTTCCAGGAAGTCACCCGTCACGGTGAAGAAGGAGGAGGAGAAGAAGCCCCACGTGAAGAAGCCGCTCAACGCCTTCATGCTGTACATGAAGGAGATGCGGGCCAAGGTGGTGGCCGAGTGCACCTTGAAGGAGAGCGCGGCCATCAACCAGATCCTGGGCAGGAAGGTGAGCCCCGGCTCCCGGCGCCCCGACCCTGTGCCCGGCGCCCCCGCGCCCCTCACTCACTCATCTCCCCCACCCTCTCCTCACAGTGGCACAACCTGTCCCGAGAAGAGCAGGCCAAGTACTACGAGCTGGCCCGCAAGGAGCGGCAGCTCCACTCCCAGCTCTACCCGACCTGGTCGGCGCGAGACAACTACGTAAGTCTCCGCGCGGGGCAGGCGGCGGGAGGGGTAACCGCGCTGCCCCTCTTGAGGAGGGCGAGCATCCTAATCTCAGCAGATGAGCACAGGCTTGGCCTTCCACCCCCCAGAGTTCCCCACCCCACTCCCCGCAGAGGAGGTCAGCCAGGAAGTGTGTGGTGTCTCATCAGGATTGGCCTTGAGTCCATAGTCAGGACAGTGAGCTGGGGGAGAATTCTGCCATCCAAGTGTCCTTGGCCATGTCCTTGCGCGGGACTCTAGAAATCCAGGGGTGAACAGGGCAGAGAGTAGCCCAGTGTCCTTACACGGAGGCTTCACAGTCGCTCTCGGTGTGACCTGGCACCCTCAGACAGTACTGCAGGGGCTAAGGCATTTGCCTCATCTGCAGCTGACCCTGGTCATAGCCCAGTACCACAAAGGTCCCGAATGCTACTGCCAGGCACTGTACCCCGAGCACCACTGGGTGCATGTTCCCCTCCCCCGGCACCACCTTAAGACCTTGTGAGCAGCAAAACATGGCTGAGAATGACCAAGGGGAGCTTCCAGGCTTCTTGATCACCTCTCAGGGTGCCACGGAATCTTGGGCGTTGGACTTGCCAGGGGCCTGGAGTTCAACTCTCTGTCTGTAGCTAAACCACTGGCACCAACATAACTGTAAGGAGGCCCCAACCACGGTGAACCAACAATGTGTCCGTCAAGGAGCCAGGCTTCAGGGGCAGGAAGGCATGATGGGTGGAGGGATACAGACAGCAGTGATGATACCTTGGGACTGAAGTTGGACCACTGTGTGCCTGAAATGTTGTCAGGGCCAGAGTGATAGGACAACAGGTAGGGCATTTGCCTTGCACATGGCCCACCCAGGTTCAATCCCATATGGTACCCTGAGCAACGCCAGGAGTAATTCTGTAATTCCTGAGTGCAAAGCCAGGAGTAACCCCTGGGCATCGCCAGGTGTGACCCAAAAAACTGAAAAAGGAAGGAAGGAAGGAAGGAAGGAAGGAAGGAAGGAAGGAAGGAAGGAAGGAAACTGTTGTCAACAGCTTTGTAAATCACAGTACCCAAATTTAAAAAAAAAAAAGAAAGAAAGAAAGAAATCAATTACCTGTTTTAGAGATAAAATTGGAAAGTCCAGGTGGAGGACCCCCAAAAAGCCAGGATAGCCAAGTTGGAAGAACCTTCTGGAAAAGGGATGGTGACTAGGAAAGCAGGAAGTGGCTCCCCAATGCTTGCCTGAGAGGCCCCCGGGCTCCAGTCCTAAGTCCTGGCTTACCACTCTTACCATTTTTCAGGGAAAGAAGAAGAAGAGGAAGAGAGAGAAGCAACTGTCACAGACGCAGGCCCAGCAGCAAAGCCAGGAGGCAGAGGGTGAGTTCTCGGGAGCCGGGCAGCCAGAAACAGGCCTGGGCACTTACAGCCTCAGGGCTGGCCTGGGGGTTGTGGGCTCACGCCAACTCGGGTGGGTGTTACCGTTGCTCTCCTTCTGGATTTCTGGCTCCAGAGATGGCTAGGAAGAGAGCTGCAGCCCTTGACGCCCTAACTCCGCATGGTCACTGAGCACCCAGTCAGGAGTGTCCACTGAAACTAAAATAAGGAGAGCTGGAGCGATAGCACAGCGGGAAGGGCGTTTACCTTGCACACAGCCAACCCGGATTTGACTCCCAGCATCCCATACGGTCCTCCGAGCACCGCCAGGAGGAATTCCTGAGTGCATGAGCCAGGAGTAACCCCTATGCTTTGCCGGGTGTGACCCAAAAAGAAAAAGAAAAAGAAAACCTAAAATAAGGAGACTCAGTTTTGGTCTGGGGATGTGGCTCAAGGATAGAGCACTGCTCTTGTAGGTGTGACACCCAGGTTTGATCACCAGCACCACCCCAAAGAAAAATTTTATTTTTTTGTTTCAGTTTAGTTTGGGTGTTTGGGTCACATTCAGTGATGCTCAGGAGTTACTCCTGGCTCTGCACTTAGGAATTACTCCTGGCAGGGCTTGGGGAACCATATGGATTGAACTCAGGATTGAACGAAGGATTGAACCGAGGTCGGCTGCTGTGAAATCAGAACCCTACCCACTGTACTCTACAGCCCCTAAGAAAAATTTTACATAAGCTTGGACTCAGAGAAGTATAGAACTTTTTTTCCCCAGTCACTCTTCTTATTAGATGTGAAAGTAGGATTTGTCTCCAGCTCATTCTGACTTTGAGGCTGAGGTCTTTTCCATGTAGTCACACTTCATTTAAGAGGCAGGTCAGGGCCTGGAGTGATAGCACAGCGGGTAGGGCGTTTGCCTTGCATGCGGCCAACCCAGGTTCAATTCCCAGCATTGCCGGGTGTGACCCAAATAAATAAATAAATAAATAAATAAATAAATAAAAGTAAGAGGCGGGTCATAGGGGCTGGAGCAATAGCACAGTGGGTAGGGCGTTTACCTTTCACGCAGCCAACCCGGCTTTGATTTGCAACATTTCATGTGGTCCCCCGAGCACCGCCAGGAGGAATTCCTGAGTGCAGAGCCAGGAGTAACCCCTGTGCATCGCCGGGTGTGACCCAAAAAGCAAAGACACACAGACACACAAAAGAGGCACGTCATAGATGTATGGAATAATGTGAAGATTGAGTGAAGTGAGGTTCTCTTTGAAACTCCCCACCGGAAGGTGTCCGCATGTCAGAGACTGACATGGTCCCTGACCATGAATTCTGCCACGTTTTCCACCTGGGGGTGTCTGTTGAATACCAGGAGACAGTTTGGGGTTTGGGGTGGCCAAGATGTGCTCACCCTCCCCCCGGAGTCGCACCTATACGAGGAGGCTTTGCCATTGCTTGCCTTTTTTTCCTGCCTGCTAAGCTCTGTGATGTCTGTGTATAGACACACACCCATGAAGTAGGGCTGTGATGCAGCTGCCGCTATGTGCCTGCAGACCCATCCCATTAAGTGACCGGGGCAGGAAGGCAATGCCGGGGACTGGGCCGCTTTCCCTTGCATCAGACACTGACGAAGCCTTTGGAGCAATGCTCACACTCTGTTATGGGACCTTTGGGTTTTTTGTTTTGTTTTGGCATCACACTGACAATGCTGAGGGGTTGCTCCCATTGGGGTTGCACTCAGGGATCACTCCTGGCACGGCTTGGGGACCCCATGGGACGTGGAGGATCAAGTCCAGCTCTGCTGCCGTGCAAGGCAAACGCCCTCCCCACTGCGCTACCGCTCCAAGAGCCTTTGAACTTCAGAGCTGGAAAAGTCCCGGGAATCACTTCCGGCCCGACACTCGCCTGGTGTCTCACTGTGTCATGTGTTGTCTCCCTCAGGTGCTCTGGCCTCCAAAAGCAAGAAGCCATGTGTCCAGTACGTGCCCCCGGAGAAGCCCTGTGACAGCCCTGCCTCCTCCCATGGCAGCATGCTGGATTCCCCAGCCACGCCCTCCGCTGCCCTGGCTTCCCCCGCCGCCCCCGCGGCCACCCACTCGGAGCAAGCCCAGCCCCTGTCCCTCACCACCAAGCCCGAGGCGCGGGCCCAGCTGGCTCTGCACTCGGCAGCCTTCCTGTCCTCCAAGGCTGCGGCCACCTCCTCCGGCCCCTTGGGCAGCCAGCCCCCACTCCTCTCCCGGCCCCTCCCGCTGGGGGCCATGCCCACTGCTCTGCTGACCTCCCCGCCGGCCTTCCCCGCCGCGCTTCATGCCCACCAGGCCCTCCCGGTCCTCCAGGCCCAGCCTCTCTCCTTGGTCACCAAGTCAGCCCACTAGGCGGCCTGTGAGTGTGGAGTCCTAATGAGACAGAAGAAGAGGAAAATCAAGGAAACTTTATTGGTCAATATTTGACCACTGGAACTGTTCTGTAAAGTGGCTGGTAACAGTAGCACTTTACCTTTTGTAGATGTAACCGTAGCTGACCTTAAGGCTTTTTTTTTTTTTTTAAGAAAAATGAAAAAAAAAAAAGAAAAAAGAAAAAAGAAAAGAAACAAAAAAAAATCTTAAAAGAAAGAAAACTGAACAGTAGTGTGTTATTCCCAAATGTGCGGTGGTGGATGGGCCTGGGCACAGCATCCCTCCCTCCCGTCTCGCCCCCGCGCCTCACCCCTGTCTGCAGGTGGTACGTGGGCGCTTCTGCCCTTTTTAGCCCTTGTTCTAGAGCAGGGCTGCCGAAAACTCGTGCCACACACCACCCCGTTCTTGAGAAATACCGCCCAGGCAAGCACTGCCAGAAACACGTTGGACCCATCCAGTTCGGTCCTTCTGGATTCCAAAACCCTTAACTGTTGCGGTTTTTTGGAGCCTCATGTTCATTTCTGCTGTGGGACTGTGACCCACAGCCTGAGGAGCCAGGTTCTAGATTAAGTCTAGATCCTTTTCCGGAACATTCGCTTTTACTTTTGCCCCAACTACATGTCTTTTGCTCAACTCCGTGAGTTCTTCCTCTTTCTTCATCCTCTGCCCGGGTTAAGGCTGTCACCATGTGAGAAGCCACCTCTGCCTGATTTGTCTCCACCAGCACACCCTTTCCTCTGTGGATCCCCCAACCCTCCCCACCCCCAGCTTTCAGCAGGGAAAGAGGTCCTCCGTAACAGATCTTGCCCACATTTAAAGGGACTCAAAGTGCCCGCCACTTCTCCGAGAGGTCTGCATCCCTCCCCATGTCGGCGGACGTCTCGCCTCGCGGTCCCTGAGCTGCAGTGGGACCAGCTCCTCACCTGGCGCCTGCGCCTGGGTCCGCTGCGCCAGCACAATCTGCCAAAGTTCTAAAGACCCTGCCCCCGTCCTCTCCCCATCACCTCACATGTTCTTCTGTTTGTATTTCCTTTTTGTTTTTTGTTTTTATGGGGTTTTTTGGAGCAATTTAAACTCCCAGTTGTTTATTTTCACAAAAGAAAATAAAATTGCAGTTGCAAGACCTTTTCTGCGTGGCTTAGTCCTTTTGCAGTTCTTCTTTGTAAAGCCCTCACAAAGCTCCACAACTACTAACCCCATTAGAAATGGCAAGAGGATACGAGGGGTTGGAACGAGAAGAGGTACATGGGTGGGGGCTTGCCTTGCACGTGGCCGACCTGGGTTCAATTCCTACACTCAGTAGGGCCCCTTGAGCACCCCCAGGAGTGATTTTGAGCACAGAGCCAGGAGTAACCCCTGAGCATTGCCATGTGTGGCCAAAAGAAGCCTAAATAAATAAATGGAGAGAAGAAATGTGCAGATGTGCCCACAAAGAAGAGATAGGAGAGACCAGTAGGCATAAGGTCACTTATTCTTAGGAAAATTTAAATCAAAACAATGAGATTTCATCTCATGCCAGTGAGAAATGGCACCTATCAAAAACACCAGAAACACTAGTATCAGCAAGGACACAGTGAAAAGGAGTGCTCATTCACTACTGGTAGAAATATTGTCTGATTTTGCCTCTATGGAAAACTATAGAGGTGTCAGCAAAAAATAAGAAGAGAGCTTCCATACAAGCCAGTGATTCCATTTCTTGGCATCTACTAGTCAAACACAAAACATTAATTTGGAAAGATATGTGCACACCTATCCATTGCATCATTAGTGAAATAGCATGTGCAAACAACCTGAAAATTAAATGACAGATTGTAGGATAACATTGGTTTGTCCTTTCTGCCTTGCCTCAGGGAGCTTAGGTTTATTGGGTTACTCGCATCACAGTGCTTCCTCTGTTTATTTGTAACCTCTTTCTTTGTGCTCTGCTTTCCCAATTCCCAACCAGTCAATCACCTTTATCTCCTATTCAGGCTCTGTTAACTTGTAAATATTGCTTTTCTCTTCTCCTTAAGTCCTTTGCATAGTCAATTCAGAGCAATGTCCCTTTGGTATAGACACAGGAAGTTAATGCTATGCTTTTGTAACTTGGGAGTTAACTGATTTTGAATGATATTTATTCCTGGGCATCTGTTCTCTCGACCTAAGCTTCAGTTTCCCTTACTTTGCACCCAAAAGCAGGGTCCCAACAAGGGACTGAATGGACTTAGGGCAAGCTGTGAGCTACCCTGGCATCAAAATGGGCCTGACCAAAGTGCCATAATACTTAACTATAAGTTAAGAGCATGGTCATGGACAAATTCTGTCGTGATCCAAAAAGCAACAGCTGGCCACCCCGAGCCCTGCTAGGGTTAGGTTTGTATGTGTCCATACAAAATAATATTAAGAAGTAGAATTAAGATGTTAATTAAGATGTTTATTAACTTATTGGACTAAGGAGAGGAGAAACACCCCTAGGTGGTATTTCCGCCCTTGAGCCTGATCCATCAAGAAGGGCTTTTGATATGTTGATTGTGCTACCCCTAATGCTGGGAGTTGGTGAAGGTTGAGAGAGAGCCCAGGCTGCGAGATGGATCACTGGATCACGGAGAAATGAGTGGGAGAGGGAGAAACAGGGGGAGACAGGAATGAGGGGCAGTGTGAGACTGGAATGGGGGGTTTAGAGAGACTGGAACAGGCGCTTGGGAAGAATGGGATAAACGGCGACTGATCACCAACCAACCTGGCCCTTGTTTCCTCCTCCATCCGCCCATGGTATCGGCCGTCCCAGGTGGGGATTGGCCTGAGAAAACAGAACACAGGTGGTGATTGAGAGCCGCCGGGGTTCCCTAGCTGCCTGATGATTACACAACAGATAAATTTTAAAAATAGTAATAAAGTAATACATCGATATATCTATGTGTTACATAGTAGTAATACATGGGTATATATGTGGATATGTCAGATATATATCCCACATGATTAAGTTGGGATGGTCGGACTTCTTCATCAAGACCCCGAACAAATGGTTTGATGCTCTTCATGTTCCTGGAGAGAGAAGACGCCATTGGGTTACATTAGCACGCGACAGGGTCCAATGGAAACGTTACTGGTGCCTGCTCGAACAAATCAACAAACAATGGGATGACAAGTGATTACATGTGGTGATTAAGTGATTAAGTTATGCAGCTATAAGAAAAGATGAGGGCCTGAGAGATAGTACAGCAGGTAAGTCACAAGGTCTTGCACATGGTTGACTTGGGTTCAATCCCTAGCACCCTGTATGGTCCCCTGAGCCCTGCCAGAAGTGATCCCTGAGCACTGCTGAGTAAGACACAAAAGAAAAAGGATGAACTCTTGCAGTTCACTGAAACTCAGTTCACTGAGTGTCATATTAAGGAAAATAAGTCAGAGGGAGGACAAATAAAATGATCTCACTCATCTGTGGTGTATAGAGGAATAAAAACGATGGAATAGAGAGTATCAAAGTAACAAACCCTTGGCCCAAATTACAGAATTGAGAATACCAAGTAAGAAGGTTACCTTTATATAGGTTAACTGGAAGTAACTGGAGGATATTGGGGTAGGTCTGGGACACTTTGGTGGTGGTGATGTAGTTATGTACAGCAAAACTTAAGTGTTGACATTTGTAAATGTGACCTGAACAATAATGAAAAAATTCAGTTGCCTATTTTTTGGGAGGAGATAGGGCATTTGGTCCACAACTGGCAGTGCTCAGGGCTTGCTTCTGGCTCTGCTCTCAGGCATCACTCCTGGTGGGGCCTGATGGACCATTGTGGTGCCGGAGATAGAACCTAGGTCTGCTGCATGCACGGCAAGTGCCCTGCCCACAGTACTAGCTCTCTAGGCCCAGGTTCCCCTCTTTTTTTGTTGTTTGTTGGCAGTGCTCAGGAATTACTCCTGGCTCAGCTTGTGTTTCTTGTTAAATTCATTCCTAAGAATTTTAGGGGCTTCAGAGATAGTACAGTGCTCAGGACTCTTGTCTTGTATGCAGCCAACCCAGATTCTATCCCAAGCATCCCCTATCCCCAGTCCCTGCCAGGAGTGATCAAGAAGTGCAAAGCCAGCAGTAAGCCCAGGGTGTCGCCCCTAAACAATTAAGAGTTTAAACCTAAGGATTTTTTTTTTACATTATTATAGCACTGTAGCACCGTCCTCCCCTTGTTCATTGATTTGCTCGAGTGAACACCAGTAACGTCTCCATTGTGAGACTTTGTTGTTACTATTTTTTGGCATATCGAATACACCACGGGGAGCTTGCCAGGCTCTGCTGTGTGGGCGGGATACTCTCAGTAGCTGGCTGGGCTCTCCAAGAGGGACGGAGGAATCGAACCCAGGTAGGCTGCGTACGTACGAGGCAAACGCCCTACCCGCTGTGCTATTGCTATTATCAATTGAATATTTGTTTTTGTTGTCATCTTGGCCATATCCAGTGGTGCTCAGGGGCTGTTCTCAGCTCAGCGCTCAGAGGCTGACCCCAGGCTCCGAAACAAGCACTCCAGTCCAGTGAGCTTTCTCCCTGGCCATGAAATTCTTTGGTTTGGGTTTTGGACCACACCCAATATACTAAGGGATCACTATTGGTGGTGCTTGAGGGAGCATATGTGATGCCAGAGATCAAACCCAGAGACCAGCTACGTGCAAGACAAGCACTTAACCTGCTAGACTATCTCTAGCAGATAGAACAGAACCAGAAGTAAGACCTGAGCACAGTTGAGCTTGCCCCGCCTCACACCCCTCCCCCCCCCACCTACTCCCACTCCCACACACAAGTCTTCCGGTACAGAAAAAGAGTACAGGGGTTGAGACACTTTGCATATGGCCAATTTCCTTGCTTGATCCCATCTACAGCACCTCATATGGTCCCCTGAGCCCTGCCAGGAGTGATCCAGGAGCACAGAGCCAGGAGTAAGCCCCGAGCAGCTCCAGGTGACCTAAAACCCAACCAAGTAAAATTGTTATTAACACTATTATCAACCATATTGTCTGAAAAACAATAAAATAAAATCCCAACTCTGATTATATCTTTCCCTTACTTAAGCCTCTTGAATGGCTTCTCATTACTGTTGAGCTTAAATATAAAACACGTGGCCTGACCCCCAAACTGCGTGACCTGCACCCCTTTCTCCTATCTTAGGAACCTGGACACCAGGGCACGTCTTCCCCACCCTATCTACACACATACGCATCGCCACTATCTGTCACTGTTACTTAAATATTTATTTAAGGAAGGTGGAGAGAATTCTCTTGTAGAAAGTTACCGATTCACTTCCTTCAGCCCAAACAGAGTCACCATTCTGTAATGATTTGTTAATACATGTCTCCCTTCTCTGTGATGCTTATCCTCTTTCCAATAAAGATGTTATTAACACAGAGAAGCATTCAGAAGTAGGGTCCAGAGCGGTTTGGAGTGAAAGCAGAGCTGGGAAACCATTTTCCTTGCATGCCAACGAACCTGGGGAGAAGGTGCTTATACTGTATGCCGCCGACCTGGGTTCGATTCCCCAGCACCCCATATGGTTCCCTAAGCATCGCTGGAGTGGGCCCCACCCCAAGAAAAAAAGTCCAGTAGAAGGCTGGGACTTTTGTTCTGTTTTATTTCTCTTTGGTTTGGGGCCTGCACCCAACAGGATTTAGGTGATGCTTCTATGTTCAGGATTGCTTCTGGCAGTGCTCGAGCATCAAGCCCAGGCTTCGCACATGCTCCAGGTAGTTGGAGCTATCTCTCATATCTCTCCATCTCTGTTTATTTAGGCTTTCAGTCACACCCTATGGTATGAAGACTACTCAAGTGTAAAACTTGAGGGTCATTCCCAGTGGTGCTCGGGACCATGAAATGTTGAGGACTGAACTCAAGCTTCCTGCATGCAAAGCATCTGGTCCAATCTTCGAGCTTTCTTTTTTTTTTCTTTTTTCTCGGGGGGGGGGGGGGGGTCACACCCGGCGATGCACAGGGGTTACTCCTGGCTCTGCACTCAGGAATCACTCCTGGTGAAGCTCAGGGGACCATATGGGATGCTGGGAATTGAACCCAGGTCAGTCAAACGCCCTACCTGCTTTGCTCTCTCTCTAGCCCCATCTTTGAGCTTTCTTTTGAGCCCCTAGAGGTTTGGTTTTGGTTTGTTTTTGGAGGGTAAGGGGCAGGGGGTGGGGGATGGGCCGCACTTGGCTATACTCAGGGTTTATTCTTGAGTTTACTTACTCTGTGCTCAGGGATATCTCCTGGTAGGATTTGGGGACCATATATGTTTGTGGGGATTAAACATATATGTTTGGCCGTGTATCTCCTGTACTATCTCTCTAGCCACTACAAAAGTATTTTTGGCGGTTTTTGTTTTGGGGGCCACACGCAGTGGTGTTCAGGGCTCCTGGTGAGGCTCTGGGGACAGGTAGGGTGCTGTGGATCAAACTAGGGTCAGTTGTGTGAAAGGCAGGCGCCCTACCGACTTTACTATCACTCTCGCCTTGCCCCATAGAAGTTTTTACATAACAAAAATAAGACATGTTTCTGAAAACAATATGCGTGTGCTATTTCTTGAAATTCTTTGGAATATCATCTCCCTAAAACTGCATGCCAGTGAGAGATGGAGAAGCAAAGGCACTGCCATAATAGGCTCATAAAGAAGTCAGAAAAAGCTAGGCCTAGGTTTCAGTTCCAGAATTCCTAGAATTGAGCACAGATACCTAGAATTGAGTCATGATTTCTCCAAAGTGAGATAGCCATGGTGAGGTCAACTGAGGGTTACCAATCAGATGCAGGTAGGGAAGCCCTCTTCCCCCCACCCATATAACCCTTATGCAACTCTTATGCAACCTTTATGTAACACCAACTTATAACCAATCAGCTAAGTAAAAGTAGTGGAAAGCCCCTCAGACTTCGGCTAAAAGGGTGATCTGTGGAAAGTCCCTGTGATATAATCTTATGATATAAAAGTCCTTCACCTTTGAGACTTGGGGTCACTTGTTCCAAGAAGGCTGCCACTGTGTTGGTGAGCTGGACAAGGACCCAAGCTCAAGCTAGCCAAGCTAGCCAGTAAAGACCCTTTGCTTATTGCATCGCTACTTGTCTTGGTGTGATTCCTCTGGGGAGATCTCGGCCCGGTTTGACATCAGTACCTGAATACTGTACTCTGAGAAGATTATAGAGGAGTGTTATTTCCCTTGGTGGCTGCAGATCTCTTTGGCAGGAAAGGAATCCTTACAACCCAATTTAGCTTGCATTCTTCCTGATGTACCTTGGTGCCCCAAAGTGATTTATGCTTTGGACACTCCCAGATCATTTACTCCTGATCTGCTAGCCAGAGAGAAGGTACAGGAGGTAAGGTACTTGCCTTGCACGCAGCTAACCCTGGTTCCAATCCAGGCACTACATAAGGTGTCTCAAGCACCATCAAGGGTCACCCCTGAGCACAGAGTAAGGAATAACCCCTGAGCACAGCTGTTTATTACAATTGACAATAGTAATAAACATGGCTCTACCAAGTCCAACTTCATCCTCTGCCATCTTATAGTTCTTTGCTCTCCGAAAATCTCATTTTCAGATACATACAAAATGGCAAGTTCCCACCTACCCCTGAGGCATTTGCAAATGATGTATGTAAACTCAGCCAGGAAAATTCAACCTTTTCTTCCCTCCAACCTCCACCTAGGAAATAATGACACCCTTTGTTCTTTAGCTCAAAGAACCTTCCTCAAGAGAACTCAGAGTTTCCACACTTCTATTTCATGACATTTCTTGGAAAGGACACACAAATGCCTGTGTAAATATGGTTAATATTTGTGTTCCTCACTAGTTTACATGCTCCATTAAGTGAGAGATTATCACTTTTCTTGTGGTGGTGCCCGTATAGTGCTACTATGGTCAGAGGCCCGCTCTTGGCAACCAAGTGTGGGCCTGTAGTTCTGGCCTCGACCTGGTTCTGGGTGCTGCTTGGGCTCATTAGTTCTGGGGCCACCTGGGCTATACTTTTCCTTGTGGGGAAGAGGTCATGTTGTGCCAGGGATCAAATATAGGTCGTCACATATGCATGGCACGCACTCCAGCCATTTGCACCATCTCCCCTACGGTGTATGTGGGTAGGGAGAGGAGAAGAGTGGACATGGACACTCACTTCTCACGTTTTAATCACAGTCAATAAAGCAGCTAACCTGGAAAATGATTAGAAAAACAATTTTTTTTTTTTTTTGCTTTTTTGGTCACACCCGGCAATGCACAGGTGTTACTCCTGGCTCTGCACTCAGGAGTTACTCCTGGCGGTGCTCAGGGGACCATATGGGATGCTGGGAATCGAACCCAGGTTGGCCGCGTGCAAAGCAAACACCCTACCCGCTGTACTATCGCTCCAGCCCAAATGGTTAGAAAATTGATTTTAAGCATAGTTTTCCTGGCGAGGTAATAATCACAGCAGGTAGGGCGTTTGCCTTGTATGTGGCCGACCCGGGTTCAATTCCTCTGTCCCTCTCGGAGAGCCCAGCAAGGTACCAAGAGTATCCCACCCGCATGGCAGAGCCTGTGACGTATTCGATAAGCCAAAAACAGTGACAAGAAGTCTCACAATGGAGACGTTACTTGTGCCTGCTTAAACAAATCGATGAACAACTGGAGGACAGTGCTACAGTGCTACAGGTAATAACCACATAAATATAACAGTGATTTCATTTCACTGGAGTGGGGGAGTGTTGGACCAGCCATACCCAGCCATGCTCAGGACTTACTCCTGGCTCTGTGCTCTGTGCTCAGGTCACTTCTGATGGTGCTCAAGGAACCATAGGCGGTGGGATCAAAACCTGGTTAGCCACATATAAGACAAGTGGCTTGACTAATCTTTTTTTTTTTACTTATCTTGACACGATCACTCAGACCGTTATAACATTAAATTTAAACAGTAGGATACAAAACTATCAGTTTTCAAACTGGGAGAAAATTAATATGCATAGCTCAGAGACCAAAAACTACATTAAGGAGCAAACATTTAAGTCTCTATACATTTTTCATTTGGTTTGGTTTTTAAAAATTTTTTTTGTTTGGGGGCCACACCTGGAGATGTTTAGGGCTTACTCCTGGCTCTGTGCTCAGGAAATCACTCCTGACAGGGCTTGGGGAACCACATAGGGTCTCGGGGATCAACCACGAATTGGCTGTGTGCAAGGCAAGTGCTCTACCAAGTTCCCTACATTATTGCTCTGGCCCGACATATTTACTTTTAAAACAAAACACATTTTCAAAGACCACAACTTAAAGAGTGGAAATCTCAGTGAGCAACATAGAGCAGAGATTCCACTGAGAACGACAGCACGAACACAAACGCCAAACGGAAGATTAACGTTAACTATCGTTAAGTAGTAACCTGTGGAATGGAAGGGGGCAAGAACTTTCTAACATTTTTTTAAATCCCATTTTGATTTTTGAACCATTAGAATGTATTGCCTAACCAAAAATCTTAAAACATTTGCAAAACAGAAAATCCAACCCAATGATTCTTGCGGAAGAGTGGAACAAAAGTTTTGTTTCCTACTTCTGCTTTCACTAAATTCTCTACAGTACCACTTGGGTATTTTATTTCAGTTTTTTGGGTTTGGAGCCACATCCAGTTCTCTGCTCCAGGATGCTCAGAGGACCTCATGGTCCTGGGACTTAAAACCGTGACTGCTGCTCCCGAAGCATGAGCTAGCTCTCCCCAAACCCCTCACTGAAGAGTTCAGAAACTTATTTAGAAAAGATCTCTGAAAATCTTGGAGGGCTGTTTCCATGGAATCAGGAGGGAAGGGAGCAAAGGTTCATTTATTTCCAGGTCGGAGCTACTTGTCCACAGGCTACCTTGGTGCTTGGAAAGAAGAGAGACGGAGAAGCTAAAAAATGCCACCAGGGCCCGGGAAATGGGCCAAAGGGCTCGGAGCGCCCGAGAGAGCCCAGGCTTGATGCCACACTACCCATAGAGCACGATTCTGAGTGACCCCTAGCACAGTAGCCTCGAAGTACTGCACTTTTGTGCACCCCCCCCAAAAAAAACTGAAAGTAAGAAAAAAAAAAAGTGAGCAAAAGATGAAGCCACGAGGCGCAGGGCCGGCCGGAGGGATGGGCCGCGAGCCTGGGTGCACCCACGCGGCCCGGATCTCCTCGGAAGCACGCGGGGACGGAAGCAAGCGCAGCCCCCGACCCACAGCTGCACCGAAAGACGGAAGGTACGGACTGCGCAGCAGGCAGGAGGGAGGCGCGGACAGAAGGCCCCGCCCCGGAAGCGCCGCGCGCAGGAAGGGGCGGGACTGAGGACCCTCGCGCGGCGCGCAGAATCCCGCGAGAGCGCGTGAAGGCGGAAGCGCAGGCTGCAGGATGCAGCTCCTGGTGGCGTCGCTGCTGCTGAGCTTCGTGGCGGCGGGTAAGGCGACCCCCGCAGCCCCACGGATGAGCTCGGGCCCGCGCCCGGGCCCCGTCCTCTCCGGGCCGGTCGCCGGCCGAGCCCTCCGCCCCCCCCCGCCCCTTTAGCCCTTCGAGCCGGCTCTTTCCCCAGCTCCCTTTCAATCCCGCCGCGCGGCTCCCCTGCGCCAGCGGGTGCGTTTCCGTGTGGTTTCACTTGAGCTGTCTGTATTGCAGGAGCCGTCGCTGAGAACGCGGATCCTCAGCTTAAGGCTCCCAAACCTGACGGGGGCTCTTCAGGGTCTGAAAACAGGCCGCCTTCGCTTGGCGTCTCCCGGGCCGCGGCGGCCCCTGCCGTGCCGGACTCTCAGGGACAGCCTAACCAGCCCAAGTCAGGACCTGGTCCCTTGAGTCACGTCGCCTCGGCGAGCCAAGGCTCTCCAGCTGACGCTTCGATTCCCAAGTCGTCCACGAAGGAACGCACTGACGTATCGAGTCCAGGCTCTTCCTCTCAGGATCCACCTGCCAGCCCGTCGAACGATCAGTCTGCTCACAAAGTTCAGAGTAACTCAGCTCAGAATCTCCCTGCCCCGACGCTGAGACCTGACCCCCATGGACAGGATGCCGCATCCAAGCCAAGAGCCACGACTCCTCCCGCGAGCAGATCCGTGTCTCCCACTACCCAGTCGGAGAAGAAACCCCAGCCTGAGGGTGACCAGGCCACGTCGGTGCGGAAAACCCAATCTGGGGGTGACCAGGACACCTCGGAGAAGAACGTTCGTTCTGAAAAAGATCGTTCCGATAAACCGTCCCAGCCCCAGGAAGATGCCTCTGCGACCAAACCCCAGCAGAAGGGGGACGGTCGATCTTCCAAGCCTGGGGAAGATGTGGGGCCCAAGGAGAAAGCGGACGATGAGCCCAGGCCCGGGGAGAAAGCGGACGGTGAGCCCAGGCCCGGGGAGAAAGCCGACGGTGAGCCCAGGCCTGGGGAGAAAGCGGACGGTGAGCCCAGGCCCGGGGAGAAAGCGGACGGTGAGCCCAGGCCCGGGGAGAAAGCGGACGGTGAGCCCAGGCCCGGGGAGAAAGCGGACGGTGAGCCCAGGCCCGGGGAGAAAGCCGACGGTGAGCCCAAGCCCGGGGAGAAAGCCGACGGTGAGCCCAGGCCCGAGGAGAAAGCGGACGGTGAGCCCAGGCCCGGGGAGAAAGCGGACGGTGAGCCCAGGCCCGGGGAGAAAGCGGACGGTGAGCCCAGGCCCGGGGAGAAAGCCGACGGTGAGCCCAGGCCCGGGGAGAAAGCCGACGGTGAGCCCAGGCCCGGGGAGAAAGCCGACGGTGAGCCCAGGCCCGGGGAGAAAGCGCTCCCTGCCTCCAGCGAGAACCAGAGGGAAGGGGCTCCTTTGGGTTCTGTGATTCAGGAGAAGGATGAGCTCTATAAAGACAATCTTGGAGCCTCCAGTGCTGAGAGCAGCCACTTCTTTGCCTACCTGGTGACCGCAGCCCTTCTGGTTGCTGTCTTCTACATCGCCTATCACAACAAGCGGAAGGTAAGTCGAGTCACCTCCAACAAAGGAACGTGCGGGGGCCGGGGATGGTCGAGCTCTGGTCTGGTTCTGTCCCCGCGGCTGCTGGGACAGAAGAGAAGGAAGCTTCCCTGGGAGCTGGGTCTGGAGGTCACTGACCATTATTAATCTGCCTGTGAAGACTGATTTTTAAGACAGTTTTGTTTTGTTTTGTTTTGCTTTTTTTTTTCTTCCCCCGACCCTCCTTAGTCTAGTGACTTGGCATTTGTTATTGTTGTTGTTTTCTTGTTTATTTGTTCTGGGGCCACAGCTGGCAGTGGTCAGGGCTTACTCCTGGCTCTTCTCTCCTAGACTTGGGAGGAGCATATATGGTGCTGGGGATTGAATCCTGGTCAGCCTCGTGCAAAGCAAGCTCCTTACCTACCATATCTCTCTGGTCCCTGATCTTATGATTTAAGTGGTTTGTTCTTTGTCACCTGTTTGCTCAGTGCCTTCTGCTGCTCCGTTGGATGTCAGGATGTTATTGTTAACTGACCTGAATGGAGGCCTCCTTCCGTTATCTTGAACGGAGATCCTTCACAGCAATAGAGGACCCGAGAACTTGATCGTTTCTAATCAGTTAAAGCACTTCTTTTCCTGTCCCCATTCTCACAGCAGTGTCTCACTCACTTCCTCTACCAAGTGTTTATCATTCATCTGGTGGAGAAAGAACAACTTCTGTGCTGTCGTCCTTTTTTTTGGCATTGACAGCAGAGAGCACAGGGACTATCTTCTTCAGTCAGTTGGGTTTCTGATTAGAAGAATGACCAGGTTTGGGAGAGACAGTACAGCTTACCTTGCATGCACCGACCCACTTTGATTCCCCCAGCATGCCCTGAGCACAGCAGGGTGGCCCCAGAACAACAAAAACCAAAAAGATTGACCAGATACTGCACATACACACTCATCTCTCTCCTTTAGTTGGATTTCATGTGAAATCATAACTGACATCTAGCAAACACTCAAATGACAGAATGATTGCAGTTTCTACTGAAACCCAAGAATGCCATCGTTTCTGAAGTCTGGCTAAATTGGGGAGTTTACTTTATGATAAGAGCCATACTTCATATGTATACGAAGAATGAGGGTGTATGAAGAATGCTAGTGTAGTAAAAATGGTGCATTCCAAGCCAGGGAGATGGCTCAGTGGACAGCAGCACATGCTTTGCATGCAGGAGGGTTTGGTTCCATCTCTGGCACCACATGGTTTCTTAAGCACTGAACTGGGAAGAGCCTTGAGCAGTGTTGGGTGTGGCCCTAAAACAAAGGTGCATTATCTAGTCAAATGTGTGTGTGTTGGGGGGGGGGGAATGGGGCAGCGGGGGCAGGGTTGGGACATACTTAGGAGGACTAGATGTGGTGCCAGGGATCAAACCTAGATCAGGCACGGCAAGCACCTTAACCCTATATGCTAGCTCTCTGACCCTGTTCTTCGTGGAGAGTAACCTTTGGAGCCAAATAATAAGAATCTTAAGGCTAAGAGGAAACATAGGGTGTGGTGAAAGTACATTTTAGATAAAAAGATAAGAAGTAGTTAGTTACTTATAATTTTAAAAGCATAGGGCCAGGGGTTGTTAGAGCTCTCTGGGAAGGACTTAGCAGATTTTTCAGTAACTCAGACTTCCCACAAATTAGAAAAACCCAGAATAGACCTCCATCTGGCATTGCCTGTTCTTTTTGTGTTGTGTTTGCAGCAGACATTTGCAGCAGACATTTGCAGTGCTAAAGATCAGGCCTTTCCATTCAGGCTAAGAGCTTTACCGCTGAGCTACATCCTAGGTGTTACTTCCTGTAAAAGCAGCCTGATGTCATTAGGCCTTATCCTTCCTGAAAAGGTTCTGATAAAAAAAGGCCTCTTTGTGATTACACTGCTCTTTGTGGGTCATTTTATTTTGTTGTTTTCTTGTTTTTGTTTGGGGGCCACACCCTGTGGTGCTCAGGACCTGCTCTTGGCTCTGCGGGGTCTCTTGGTGGAATGAACTCTCTTGGTGGGACTCGGGAACAGCATGTGCTCCACCTGTTGTGTTCTTCCCTGGGGCCCCCATCAGGGTCATTATTGACAAATGTGGACAAGTGACGGCTGCTTGTTTTTGTGGTCGACACTGGCAGATCTCCGTACTACTTGTTAATAATTTTGTTTGTCCTTTACCCAGATCATTGCATTTGTCTTGGAAGGAAAAAGATCCAAAGTCACTCGGCGGCCAAAGGCCAGTGACTATCAGCGTTTGGACCAGAAGGTAAGGAAGGAGGGAGCCGCCGTATGGATGGGACACCAAACACAGTCTGAGCAGTTGCGGGAGGTGGGGGGTGGCATCTGGTGGCTGCAGCTGATTCTGTTGTCACCACTCTGCCCTTTGCAGACCTGAGTAGTGATGTCATGGGTGCTGGTCCTCCTCAGAAGGGCTGGAAGGAGGCCTGCAGGTTCTCTGCGTCAGGGCTGCTTGAAGCTTGCCCACTCACAGCCCCTTTGTGCCCAAGATTTTTTATGAGTGCATACAGTGTATGAAATAGGTATACAGGCCATTTACTAATAACAGATCACAGATATATTTCAAAACGAATTTCATAGTCACTGTTTTAAAAGCTAGGCTCTAAGTAGCTCCCTGTCGCAAGAGACGAGGGCAGGCATGGGGGATTGGGACACATTTAGTAGTTTTCGGGTTGTTCCTGGGCGGGTGCTTGGGGGATCCCGTGGTGCTGGGGGTCCAGCTGGAGCTGATCATATGCAAAGCAGATGCTTTATGATATAAATAGGCCTGTGCTTCAGCCCCTTTTTATTTTTTAACTTCTTGATATCCCCCTTTCAATTTGGTGGGAAGATTAATACGTCATGGTTACTCCTAGCTCCTGGCCCGTGCTTTCGCATTACCCCAGCACTAAACAAATTTTAATAGATGACACATTACCTTGAGAATTGTGGGAAAGAACAAAATCTGATTCACTAGTTATGTGGTAGAGGGTTTTGAGAGATAGTACAGCAGGTAGGACTGCTTGCACACAGCTGACCCAGGTTCAATCCTGGCATCCCAAATGGTCTCCCAACCTCAATAGGAGTGATCCTTGAGTGCAGAGTCAGGAGTAACCCCTGAGCACTGCTGGATGTGCACCCCCCCACCCCCCCCCCCAAAAAAAAAGCCAAATCAAAAATAGGAATGTGGCTGCCTATGCTTCTCCTTTCCTTCCTAGGAAATTGCCAGGTGATACCAAATGCTGCTGTATCATACTTTAGGTGGCAAAGCACTAAGTGACATTGCTGCAAAAAACGAATCCCAAAACATACACCCCAATTCCTCAAGTCCCTTCTCTGCTGAGCTCTGTGGACTTGAGGCTGTGACATCCATGCCCTAAGTGCTGGTTCTCTGGAATGCGGCCCACTGCAGCCGCCGCCAGAGGCCAAGCCCTCTTTTGACCTAAGTCTCAGGAACTGAGGTGGTTACTCTTTAAAACTGGTCTGTCTGGGACTTGGCATATAGCTCAGTGACAGAGCACCTGCTGGTATGTGTGAGGCCAGAATTTGATCCCAGATCCTCAAAAAATAAACAAACAAAAAAAATTACTAGGAAAGTGTTCTTTCTCAGAAGCCAGTGTTATCTCAGTGCCACCAGATGCCCACTTTGTTCAGGGACAGTAGGGCATAGGTGGACAGCTGTCCATGGCCCGCCTGTTGGTGGCTCCAGCCTTCCTGCACAGCTGCTCCATCTGCCAAGTGAGTCAGCTCTCATCATCTCCAAGTAGCCCAGTGGGCCAGCCTCACCATTTAGCCTCTGACCTCGTACCTTTTAGGATAATTTGGTTTAGGATTTCGCTTGCTCTAACAAAACAAAGTTCAGCTGGGGATTTGGCTCCAAGGTAGAGCACAAGCCTAGCATGTGGGAGCCCCAGCACCTCCAAAAAAAAAACCGAAAGAAAAAAAACTCTTGGAAATAGTACAAAATGGTACACCGCAGAATTCAAGAATCCCCTGTTCCCTCTACCTAGTGTACTGTATGCCTTCTAGAATATGTTATTTCAAACTCACTTTTAAGGTCTTTTATCATTGTTGTTGTTGCTGTTTGGGGAGTTTGAGGTCCCACCTGGTCCCACCTGCTCAGAGAGTCTTCCCCAGCAGTGGCAGGAATTGAACTGGGGTCCACTGCATGCAAGGAAACAGACCTCTGAAGATAATTTTTTAATGTGCTTTGTGTGGGGTGGCGGGGAGTGGAGTGGGGATACAGCTGGCAGTGCTCTGGGCTGACTCTTGGCTCTATGTTCAGGGACACTCCTGCCGAGCTTGGGGGACCATATGGTATTCTGGGGATAGACCCTGGACCGGCCACATGCAAGACATTGCCCTACCCACTGTAGTATTGCTTCCACTCGTGGGGTTTTTTTTTTTTTTTTTTTTTTGTCTTTATATGTGTGTGGCTTATAGGCTAGAGACTCAGTTTGGCCTGATTCTAAATTTCCCTCCCAAGTCAGACACCCTTCTAAGGTCTTGCCCTCATTCCCCAGTGTTCCTCTGGAAGAACATTGAGCATTACCAACAGATTGTGTTGTTCTTGTTTCAGATTTGATTTTTGTGTCCTTGACAACTTCGTCCTTCCTGCTGATTTGTTTCTAAAATCAAGAGAAATGAAGAGAAAAGAAAACAAACTGTGCCCCCCGGCCGTGTATGATGGCAGAGGCCGGGCGGCCGCTTTGGTCTGACACCTGCACTTTGGCGACCTTGTACTTCTGTAGGCCCTTCATGTATGCTGGTTTCCTCGCACCCTTCCATCCTCGGGTGTGCGGAGACGGAGCCTGTGGCAACCCAGCTCTCACCACTGGGAGCACCTTCTATGGGCTCGGCTGTCAGGCTGTTCTTGAGAATGGCACTGTACTATACACGCAACACTGTCCCTTTATAAACCCAGGAGAAAACTGCCACTTGAGGTGCTTTGAATACCTCTCCGAGGAGCTGTGCCCTACAAATGATGTAGAAAATACTGACGGGCAAAGGCCGCTGTGAGCGCGTTGGCAGTAGGCAGGAACAGCTTTGAGGCCAGGGAGATGACTCAGAGGGATGGAGCACGTGCTTTGCGTGAGGGAACCCCAGGTTTGATTCTTGACACCACAAGCACCATTGGGATCCACCCTCTGAGCTGGGAGTAGCCCCGGCACCTGTGAGTCTGGCTTCAACCTAAAAGTAAGTAAAAGCAGTAGCTTAAATTTTTTTTTTTCTTTTTTATTGCTTGCAAGAATCAGCCCATCTAGCCTGAGTTCTTCACTTTTTCCTGATATTTTTTTTTTAAGCCATTTAGGGCAGTGAATCAACTTCAATTTAATATACTGAGCATAAACTGAACTTTGGAATACTGGGAGAAAAGCTATTCACTTGCAGTATTTTTCCCCAAATACTATTGTAACTGTTGAAACACTTTTCTCCATACTCTGAACCACAATAGAAACTTTTCTTGTTTTTGTTTGGGGGCCACTCTGGGCGGTGATCCTGCCTGTGCGCTCAGGAACTCCTGGTGCTGCTCAGGGGGCAATATGTCATGCTGGGGCGGGGGGATGGGGTGTCAGACCCAGGCCAGCTGCGTGCAGACGTCCTACCTGCTGTGCTGTCGCCCCAGCCCTCAAAGCTTTTTGAAAAAACAGTAGGTTTGTGTTTCTTTAAAGAAAACCTGTAGAAGGGTGTTGGTTTGGGTCTACATTATTTTTTCAAGGGACCTACCTTGTTGAAACGGGTTTTCCACAGACTCTTTGACCTCAGTCTATGTCCTCATTGGAAATGCCAGGGATAAACTAGTAAAAATTCTTCTACTTCATGTGTTAATAAAATTTAAGAAATTCTGAGAGTTGTCTCCCAGGATACCTGAGGAGAGTGTCTTGGATCATTCTATTCAATTTTATTTAAATCCCTTTCTAGCCTGGAAACCCTTTTATAGGCATCTAAAGAAAGGTGTTTTGTTTGTTTTTGCTAGAAAGAATAGCTGATCTCAGGGAAATAGAAAGAATGTGGGAGGTTGGAGGAGCATTCTGAATTCTTTGCTGTCGAGGAGGAGACCACCCTGTCCTCAGTGTTTTCCTACTTAAAACAGCCCAAGACTTTCAGTGGAGATACTCTTTATCTGCAATTAACCTTTTTGGAGCTAAGGAATGAGTGAACGAATGTTTTTCTTGGCATCATTCTCTTTGCTCATGTACCATTCTTAGGAGTCTCCTATCACACTGACATTTCCTAATACCATGGTTACTTTATTTTCTCCCCTTTATTTCTTCCTCTGACACTGCGCCGGTCTGCTCTAGCACCTTCCCTTCTACCTTCCTCCCTTCCCATCCATCCGTTACTCATTCTGCTCTTCAGTTTCTCCAGCAGGTAGTTTCCATTGCCCTGCTAGTCAGTTCTTCATAATCTTTATTATTTTTTATTTTTTTTGTTTTGGGGCCACACCCAGCAGTGCTCAGGGGACCATATGGGTTGCCAGGGATTGAACCTGGGTCGGCCATGTGCAAGGCAAATGCCCTGCCCACTGTACTATCTCTCTGGCTCTCTTCATAGTTTTTACAATCTTTGTTCCCTGCTTTTCTCCATACAGCATTTTCCTACAAGTTCTGATCACCACATTATCCAGTGGTTGGTTCTCAAATTTAGTTTAGTTCTTGATAGAAGTAGGCATGCTCCATCATCCAAATTGCAGTTTTCCTTCTTCCGGTTTCTCTGATACATTGCCCAGCTCCTTTGCCTTGTCCTGTGCTGTCAGGGAAAGAACCCTCAAAGGCAGATCCCTCGATTCCTCTGACTCGGAAATTCATCCAGCCTTTATCCTAACTGATTTTCTGTCTGGATTTTGAAGAATCCAGTCCTGCTATCTGCTCAGTGCTGCTTGTCTGTCACTAGACAGATTTTCTCTCTTTACCCATGAGCTGCTTTTAATTAACTCGGAATTGCGAGCTCAGATTGGTCTCTCCAAGATACTTGCCTGGACCTGGAGCTTCCACCTGTACCTCTCTCATGGTTTAGAGAACGTAGTTTGGGTTTTTTTGGTATTCAGGACTCTGTAAATAGGCACTTTTCTATCTTCCCTCATCCCAGCCAGGCCAGAGGGTCCTCCTGCCAGTTGCCGATCTTGGTCTCTGGGCCTTTTTGTTCTTGGCTGTGCCCTCCATTCCCTGTGGTGGTTCTTTGGTCAGAATACTCCTCTCTTTTTCCCCTTGCCTGCCCAAAGTCAGTTTTGTCAGGCTTCGGTAAATTTTCCCAGGTGCCAGGCTAACTCCCCTGCTCCACAATGTCAGTGCTTTCTGTGCTACTCCAGTGGCCCTTAATGTCAGTCACTTCGGCCAAGGAGGATGCTCAACATCTGATGTCTGCTTGATCTCAAGAAAACGCAGCTATTTTGGAGTACCCTTGGCACTTCCGCCACATTTTCCTGAAATAATGGCATGCCAGGGAACTTCAGGCGTTTGGTTTCCTCTTGCAAAATTTATTCGTTTGTTCAGGATATCTGGGTGTGACCAAACCGTGACCTCCCGGCTCTTTCTGTTAGTTACTGTCCTTTGATGATCGGTTTTGCTTGGGGGGACCAAAGCAGGAAGTTTGAGTGCAGGACCCAAGTGGACACCACATTGAGCCTAAGAATTTTGGAGTCCACATACGACACTCCTCTTTTTGAACCTCTCTGAAATGTTTATTTGTTTTGGGGGCGCACTGCTGAAAGGAACTTGGTAGAACTTTTAAACCCTTTAGAAATTGCCTTGAAAAATCCTTCACACCAAAGGAAATCTGGTAGCATTTTCTTGAAGGCTCTGCAGTTTGAAACGTAATTTTCTAGAGAGAGTGTGGGTGCGCAGCTGGAGTGGCCAGGGAGCCACAGGAAGGCCCCTGGATCTGGGCTTCCCGGCTTTGCAAAGGCCTTTTCTGTGAAGCAGTCAGTGTTTTCGTTTTGGACCTTAGTAGAGGAGCTTATTTTCCTGCCTTCAGATTCTTGAGCAGAATTTTTTATGTAGGTTTGTGGCCAGTACTTGGGGCTGTTCTAGCAGACCCGGGAGACTTTCCAGTGTCAGGGACCTATTCAGGTGTCACCCCATGCAAAAGCATGTGTCCTTGCTGGCCCCCTGTGCTCTCTCCCTGAGCAGAGTCATTTAAGGCTTCTGCTGGACCGGAGGAGCAGAAGTCTGTCAATAGTAAAGCAATTAGATGTTCTCGGGCATATCATGTCCCATAGTGAGGCTAAATTACCTTGATGGTGAATCTCCTCTATTGCAGATAGGTGGTTGTTGTTTTTAAGGATCCCACCCTTGATTTTACAGGGTAACATGAGGCCTAAGTGTGAAAAGTGGCTTTTTTGCATGTTTTCTATTATCTGAGCGACCCTACCAGGGTCTATTTTCTGGAAACCCTTGCTGGGAAAGCTGTGTGTCTGTGTGTCATGGCCTTGCTAAGTACAGGAAGCAATCTCTGAGACAGACTTTGAGGTTTAATTTATCCAGAGCCAAGACTGAAACTCCACTCAGCTGATTCCCATGGTCACATGTGAATTTTTGAAGTACAGGAACATCTCTGTACAGGCATTGGGTCTGGACGGGAGTGGGTTTCCTGCTATGCCAGGAAAGCCAGCCCTGTCACGTCCCCTAGGCCCCTTCACTTCAGAAGTGTTCTGTGTGGATACATGACCGAGAGTGGGAACTGCTTCCCGTCCTGCTTGTTAGATGGCCACTGTTTGTGTGATGTTTCATATTTTCAGCTTTTTGTAATTGAATTGTAATAACTTTATTTTTTAAGCTTATTTGGGTTAATGATAGTCTTTTTCAGTGTATGTTTTACTGCACTTCTGTGAATGCCGTCTCAATGTAATTTTGTACCATTGCACAGAAACAAATTTCAAATATGAAAGTGGCACAATTATTAAAAATAAAAAAAATAAAGTGGCACAATTATTATTAGCTTTATTCATACTATAGCAAAATCAGCGGAAGTTAGGCCAAGCATAAGTGAAAGATCCCTTTTTCCCCTCCTCTAACCTTTGGCTTTCATTCACTTTCCAGCCAGTCTCCAACATGTCAGTACCAGTAAGGCAAAAACGCCAACACGCATTTTGCACAATTCGTGTTCCATGTTCTGCTCATTCCTCATTCCGTCTTCTCATCCCCAGCCCAGTTCCTTCTCCCCATAGGGCAGGTGTGCTCTGGGTCTAGGTGTCTGAGCCACTACTCATACTACAGGCACTTATTTCTCAGGGCAGCCCTGCTGCAACCTTGGTCTAAGATGCTCACACAGCCTGCTTCAAGCCTGACATAGTCATCACTCCAGGCCTGCGCTCAGCTAGCACCATCATCCTTCCCTGGCCATTTATGGCTATAGCATTTGTAAAAGGATCTTGCTCTGGCACACTCAGAACTTGGTGACTCCTGACCCCAAGAATGAGGAACCTTGGTGGCCTGGCTCTTCCCTTCTAAGTATTCAGCTTACTGATGAGTAAGTGTGGTCTTCACCCACAGACCACAATCATTATGCCTCTTGCAGAAACCAGCTGGAACCAAAAATGAGACCAGGAGGCCGCCAAGTTTCTGGAATCAAATCAAAACCCTACACAGAATTTTGACATCTCTTTAAGACAACCCCCAAAACCTGACCAATCACTCAGAAGGCGTGAGTGTGGGGACAGAGGAGACATTAAGGGTACCCAGATCAGCAGCCTGCACAGGGTCTTTTAGTAGGGAGGGCATGTTAGCAGAGGTAGTAAATGCATTAGATATATCAGAAGATCATTTCCCACCCCAGGACAGAGCAACTTCCGCTTAAGAGCTAGATTTGGCCTTCATCTATGTTAAACTTGAGTATCGACCTCTCTGCAGAAGTCAGAATTGACAGAGGGTGCTGGAATGTGAGCAAGGCACTGATTCACAGATATGGCCACCTTAGGGGCTGAGCTCAGTGTGGACTTGTCCCTAACCATTCTTCTTCTGTGCCTGGATCCTGGCACCGAGGTTCCTGAGGTCCCAGTACAGGTTCCGCTTCAGCACGGCGCTGCTGCACAGCAGGGCCCCTTGCAGGGCTCCCATCAACCCACAGGTGCAGACATCCTGGCCTAGGACACAAGCAGAGAGGCCCCTGAGCCACTCCTAGGCAGGTGGTGGACACAAGGAAATACACGTCTGCTCCTCCCCTCATGCCAGCGGGACTCGAAGGTTGGAATGCAAGGTTCTGGGTGACACCGCGTACCTGTCAGGTAGAGGTTGGGAACAGGGCTCTGGGCCCTCAGTGAGGCCATCACACGCGGGTGCAGGCGGCCCAGGTCATGGTCAGCCCCATAGCAAGCACCCCGGTGAGCAGCCAGATAGAACTGATTGGTCAGTGGTGATCCTCCGGCCACACTGTCCACCTGAGGAGGCACAAAGGGCGGCCACGGGCGGAGCACCACCTCTTGAGGGCTCCAGGAACGAGCCTGCCCAGCGCGTCCCCAAAAGCCATCACCGCTAGGATTGGGTCCCGAAAGCCATCACCAGCCGACCTGCCTACCTTGCCCTCCAGCTGGGGGAAGAGCCTCATGACGACCGACATCGAGGCCTCCACAAAGGCGTTCTTGAGGGTCTCATAGTCACTGCTCCGCTTGCCCTTCGGCTCATTCCGCCACTCCTCGAACCACTCGTAGGCAGCAGGCAGCAGCACGGCCAGCGTAGAGCGGCCTGGGGACGGGGCAGCGCCCATGGCATCGAGAGCCCGGCCAGCCCCTGCCCCCACCCCCGGGGACCCTGCCCCCACCCCCGGGGACCCTGCCCCCACCTGGGAAGCGGTCCTCCCACGTGGGGTCCTTGGCCGAGGAGGAAGAGACGAAGAAAAAAGGGATGTGGGCTGGTGCCTTCTCCCGGGGTGCAGAGAGGTAGCGCTTCATTCTGGACGGGAAGGTGTGTGAGGGCTTGGCCGCACAAGCCCTTCTGGGGGTGGTGGGGAGGGGGGGAGTGGGCAGCCCCCATACACACGGAGAAGAAGGCAGGGTCCCACGCCACAAGCCCCACCCGCACACGCAAGCCTTACGCCTTGTCCAGGTCTGTGTCAGAATGGACATAGTAGTTGGTGGCCGGCAGCCCCAGTTCCTGCTTGGTGCCTCGCAGGCAGATGAAAACCAAGAAGGTGCCCAGGCCGTTGCGCACCAGCCCCAGCTGCTGCTTCACACCTGCCGAGAGTGGAAGGGCTGCAGGAGGGCGAGGGGCAGCGGGGCGGGGGGGTGGGGGGGAGATGCAGGGGACCCTTCGCCGTGTCTGCAGCCTTAGCTTCTGTGCAGGGCCAACTTAGCTTTTTTTGTTTTTTTTAAGTTTTTGGGTCACGCCTGGTGATGCCCAGGACTTCTGGCTCTGCATTCAGGGATCACTCCTGGCACTGCCCAGAGGACACTAGGGGATGCCAGAGGGATCAAAATCCAGGTTGGGTGTGTGCAGGGCCAAGGCCTCGCCCGCTGGACTGTGGCTCCAGCCCCAGCTTAGCCGCTTGATGCCTTGGACTTCTGTCCCAGACTCCCACTAGGGGGTGCCAGCCCTGGGGGAGGGGCGTCTTGGGCCAAGTGTTGCCAAGCCTCCCCCTGAGTGTCTGGGTGTCTGAGATCCCATGCCCCACACCGCAGAGAACACCGCGGCCCTGACTTCAGCAGAGCCCGCCGGAGAACGGTCATGCCCCGGTCCTCCCCACAGCCTCGCGGCGGCCAGCCAAGCAAACATGTGCGCAGCACACTGGCATTCGGTGTTTTGGGGTTCAGCGGGAAAGGAGGGGGTCTTGGCACCACAGCAGGGCAGCCGTCTTGGGTGGGGGCTGTGGGTTGTGGGGGTGTCACTGGCCTCTCATCACAGGACGGGAGACCAGTTCTCTGGACACTGCTCCCACAGTTTTCCCCTTTGTTCCCGTGGTCAGGATCCTCCAGCAGCTGCCTGGGGGGACCCCCCGCTTCCCCTTATCCCCCCAACTTACTTCCTGAGGACCTGAAACACACTGCTGGCCCCTCCAGCAGGCCCCGGAGCTCAGCCAAAGAATGAGGCTGTCGGGTCGGAGAAACAGGCTTTCTTTTTTTTTTTTTTTGCTTTTTGGGTCACACCCGGTGATGCTCAGGGGTTACTCCTGGCTCATGCACTCAGGAATTGCTCCTGGCGGTGCTCGGAGGACCATATGGGATGCTGGGAATCGAACCTGTGTCGGCCATGTTGGCTGCGTGTAAGGCAAACGCCCTACCCGCTGTGCTATCGCTCCAGCCCGAAACAGGCTTTCTTGAAAGCAGGGGGCCCTCCTCAGAGTGGGGACGAGCTAAATGTGCTGGGGAGAGGCCCAGACTTTATCCTCCCCAAGGGGACATGCGAGAATAAGGGGCTAGACCAGTCCCAGGAGCACAGCAGGAGAGAGAGGGGGTGTGACTCTGCACCACCATCAGAACTCAACTGCCTACCCGGGCCACAGGGCTCCCCTTCAGGTGGGCTGCAGGTGGGCCTGGAGAGAACCAGAGGGCTGGAATGAAGCCCGCGGGTCTTCAGAGGCCTCTCAGAACAGCACCCGCCTCCACGTGGACCCTCCATTCCCTTCCCCAGCTAGAGGTAAGAGGGGTCCAGGAACCACAGATGTGGCAGCGAAAGGTCATCTCGGGGTCTCAGAGGCACCTGGTTCTCTCAAGCTCCTTTTCTCTGAGCCACGCCTTTACTTCCTTCACTATTTCTCCTCAGTCTTCTCCCTTCCACAAACTTGCTCTCAAACCAAGCTCACCACTCCTCCCAGGCTCAGGGGTGGGACCGTGAAAGTCCCGATTCCCAGCGACCTTCTTCCTGATCCCCCCAACCCGACTGGCTCCAGACCTGGGGGTCTCCAGCCCACACACCGCCCCCCACACACAGTGCTGAAACAGGAGAGCCGACTCACGCAACTCCCCACCCCAAGACGGGCTGCATGGGGGCGACTGGGGCTTCAGCCTGGCATAGGCTGGCTCCCTGGAACTTCGGGGGCAACGGCGTGGAAAACAAAGCCGCGTCCAGGCAAGCTACCTGGGGGAGAAGGTGCCCAGACACGTGTCTTAGTTCAGAATCCTCAGAGAGGAAGCGGGAAGAACCAAAGGCCAAGCGTGTGTCCGCTCAGCCCTGCCCAACTATGCTGCCACTAGCCACCACTCTGTGCAGCCAGTCAGAGGGCAGAGGCCTGATGTGGCACCTTAGTAGGGCAAAAGGACAAGAAGGCCTTAGCGCTGATGACTCAGAAACCATCTGTGCAGCTCCTTCCTGAGGAAACCCAGGCCCTCCCTCCCCTCCAAAGCAGCTGGCAGATGGGGGCTGGAGTGATAGTATAACAGGTAGGGCGTTTGCCTTACACGCGGCTGACCCAGGTTCGATTCCCAGCATCCCATATGGTCCCCTGAGCACCGCCAGGGGTAATTCCTGAGTGCATAAGCCAGGAGTAACACCTGTGTGTGTCCCAAAAAGCAAAAAAAAAAAAAAAAAAAACCCAAAGAAAAAAAGCAGCTGTGGGCTGGAGAGCTTCTGCCACTGACCTCAGGCTGCTCCTTCAAACACCCACAAAGCTCCAAATTCACCCAGCCTCATCCTGAGCAGCTCATTTCTCTCCCACTCCCATCCCTGAAGTGAGGCCTGTATCTGGAACCCTTCCTAGCCAGCCTGGCCTCCACCAGCCCCTCCTTCCCTCAAATCATACCCGAAGCCTAGTTGCTTGATAAGGAAAGTCCCTTTCAGAAGAAGGCTGCCCTGCTCTGGGACGCCGCCTTCTCACTCCCTGGGGTTGGCCTGTTCCCTCCCTCTTTTGCCGCTTCCCAGACGGCCTTGTCCCCGAAAGCCTCCCGCGTCTCAACCCAGAGGCCTGGGGCTTCGGATCAGTCGGATACATCAGCAGTCTCGCTGTCTACCACTTCCAGTGGGCTGGCCTCCAAAGTCACTGCTAAAGGTCACGGGTCTCAGTTTCCCCGATAACAAGATTGAGATGATGATTTCTCTCAGCCAAGTGACTTACATGAGGGTCAAACATAAGGCCAAGGCATGGGGTTTCTGCGCTGGAGAAATAGCATAGTGGGCTGCATGCTTCGCATGGGGGAGGCCTGGGGTTAGTCCCCGGCACCACATGGTTCCCAGAGAGCCACACCTGAGCCCAGAGCCAGGAGTAGCTCCTCGGCACTGCCAGGTGTGGCCCAAAGGAAAAAGAAAAAGACTCGCAAACTTACCAGGAGCACACCGAGAAACGCACCTATCTTTCCCTTCCACCAAACCAACTTCTATTTGGGGATGCGGCCTAGCGGAGAAGATGCTTTGACGCTTATTTCCATCTGGGTCCCAGAGTTTTAAGCACAGGGTTCAAGGATAGAAGAAAGCTCTCAAAGAGGGGCTCCTGCCCCAGCTCCAACAAGGAGCTGGTTCCTAATAGAGGCAGAAAAAGAACAGCCTGGGTCCCAAATCAGGCAACAGTGACTGTATCGAGTCTCTCCTCCACGCCAACCCCAGCACCCCTACTGATCAGCTCAGGCCCGGCAGCAGTGAAGGAGGAAAGGGGAAAATGGCCCTTAGACTGTGTCTGCCACAGAGGCAGGGGGTGGGGTACGGGGTGGGGGTGGCGGGAGGGATATTGGGACCATTGTTGGTGGAGAATGGGCACTGGTGGAGGGATGGGTACCCAACCATTGTATGACTGAAACGTAACCAGGAAAGTTTGTTAAGTCTGTAACTATCTCATGGCGATTCATTAAAAAAAAAAAAAGAAAAATTAAAAAAAAGAAAGAAAGAAAAAGAAACGGCCCTTAATGAAAACCCAAGAAATGGCCCTTTGGAACTTTCTCCACCATCAGTGGAGAAAGTTAGACGAACTAAGATCAAGGGCAACTGGCAACTCAGACCAGAGAATTAGGAGAAAGAGGGGAAAGGGTGTGGTTTGAAGGGGAAAGGGAGCCAGTCGGCTCAGAACAACACCAGAGCTACAGGAAACACGGGATTAAAAGGATGCTGTTCCCACCCTGTAACCACGGAGCCTGGCTCAGGACAGAGCCTGCTGGGCTCCCCTTTTGCTGAAGGATGATGGAAAGGCAGCCCAGGGGAGGGGACACTTTGCTGTGAGGAAGACACTTACCTGGAAGACAGCGGGCACTCTCTGGCAACAAGTTCTCATAGGTATTGAACAGTCCTGCGTCGGAGATCACGACGGGGCAGTAGATGTTCACCAGCTCCTGACCCTTCTTCACGCACACCCCTGTGGGCGCAAGAGCTTCGTGAAGTTCTGGCCAACTCCGGGAGCACCTACACTCGCTTCTCTCAGACCTGAGCTTCCGGCCTACTCATGGCCAAGCAGCCGGCCCCAGGCCAGGCCGCCGTGGAAGCCCCTTATGCTCACATGTCCCCCCATCATTCTGTGTTCTCCACAAGTTCTCTCACACTTCCTGTGGGTGCTCTTTAAGCAAACCCAGTCATCCGACAGAGCCAAAGTTTCACGAGCCCCAGTGGGGTGTAGCCCTGGTGGTTCCCCTCAAAATTACTTTTTTTTTTTTTTGCTACACCCACTATGTTCAGGCCTTACTCCCAGCTCAGTGTTCAGAAATTACTCCTGGCAATGCTCAGGAGAAGTATATGAGATACCAGGGCCCAAACCCTGGTCAGCCACAAGGCAAACGCCCTCCCTACTGTACTATCATTCCAGCCCCAGTATTTTTATTTCTTGGATGGATGATCACACACTATTCTTAGGAACCATGCAATCTTTTGTTTTTCCTGCACCCTTTCCTTTTATTCTTGTTTTTTTTTTTTGTTTCGGGGCCACACCCAGCAGTGCTCAGGATCTACTCCTGGCTCTGTGCTCAGGGATCATTCCTGGCAGGGTTTGGAGGATCATTGGTGGCGCCGGGGGTTCAGACCAAGGTTAGCCACATGCCAGGCAAGAGCCTTAACTCTTGAACTAAACTCCAGCCCCCTGCTTCCTTTCTTCCTTTTCATCTGTTTGTTTCTGGCCTACCCTAGCTGTGCTCTGGGCTTATTCCTGGCATTGCACACAGAGACGCCCCTAGCAGTGCTGGGGGTTACACCAAGTCGGCCACATACGAGGCAAGCGCCTGACCTCTGTGCAATCACTCTGGGCTCCTGCCCTACTCCCCCCCCCCCCTTTTTTTTTTTTGCTTTTTGGGTCACACCTGGCAATGCACAGGGTTTACTCCTAGCTCTACACTCAAGAATTACTCCTGGTGGTGCTCAGGGTACCATATGGGATGCTGGGAATCGAACCCTGGTCAGCCGTGTGCAAGGCAAACAAACGCCCTACCTGCTGTACTATCACTCCGGTCCCCTCCCCCACTCCCTTTTGCCTACAGACTCTGCTTCAGGCATGTTCTGGCCTTGGGCCCCCCATGAGGAGGCCGATCGCTACCCCTGCCCCAGCTGCTGCCTTCTCGTCACAGATTGGGAGCAATCAGCAATGAGTCCAGTTCTTACCACAGGCGCGCCCGGCCGAGTCCAGCAACACCTTCTGCACAGGGGCCTTTGTCAGGACGGCGCCACCGGCCCGCTGGATCACAGGGATGGTGTGGAAGGCGATTTCACTGGAGCCCCCACGGGGATAAAAGGCGCCTTCGAGGTAATGGTTGACCAGCACCGCATGCATGGAAAAGGAAGCGTGGCTGGGGGTCACACCTAGGGCAGGGTTTGAAAAGGCCGTTGAGGGGCGTGGGAGCAGCCGGCTGTGGTCAGAAGGGAACACACCGCCTTAGAGTCACCATCTCAGAAGCCTGCTGGTCCCCAGGGCTCAGGGCAGTCAGAGGGCCCGCCAAAATCAAACAAGTAATCTGGGCTCGATCTTAGGGCTGCGGGAGAAGGTACTACTGGAAACTTCCATTTTGGCAAGCTCAGGGAGGGCAGTGTGGACCCGAGGAAGAAAACCATCTGGGGTGTTGACAAGGGGAAGTTCTATCAGGGGCCTTGACAGGGGTGGCGGGGGAGACAGGCTTCTCCTGGGGTCTGCACCGCGCTGTGTACGCAGGCCGGGAGGGTTTTGGGAGAGAGGCGGGGGCCGCCCGGGGTACCCACCGTACGTGGGGTAGATGTAGCCAAGCACGGCCTGCAGCTCCGGGGAGGCGGGCAGCTGCCGCAGCACCTCGGCCACACTCTGGGTGCACGCGTGGAGGAACGGGGAGAAACGGGACAGCAGCCCGAACTTGTCGAGAAGCTGAGTCACGGGCAACGGGAACATCTTCAACAAGACGATGTGCGCAACTCCGCTGACCACCACCTGGTGGGGACATGAGCCAGAGGAGCTGGTCTCCACACTGGAGCCCAGGACAGTCACCAGCTAAGCAAGCGGTGCCCAGGGGTGCAGACTCTGGGCTGAGCTCAGCTGACCTGGGGTCTTCTCCTTGGTGGATATAGTTTGGGTCTCTGGGCCACACCCCGTTGTGCTCAGGGGACCAAAATCAGGGACAGGGATTGGACGAGGCTCAGCTATGTGCAAGTGCCTCTATGCCTCTCTAGCCCCTGAACTGGGATATACATATACACATATATATGTGTGTGTGTATGTGTGTGTGTGTGTGTATATATATATATATTTTTTTTTAAGGGGGGAGGCTTGGGGCCACAGTCCAGCAGGGCTTACTCTTGGCTCTGCACGTGGGGGATCACTCCTGGTGGGGCAAGGATGGGGAACTGGGACTTCGTAAATCCTTTACTCTGAAATTTTACCGGTGTATACTCGGATGAGTCCTTTTTGTGTGCTTTGTGCAGACATTATTTCAGTAAATTCCCAATGTGACCTCAGGTGAGTAGACGGGGCTAGTGATCTAACCCCAGGGAAGGTCACTAACACCAAGAGGGGAGTAGGGATCCCCTGCACACCTCACAGGCCAGAGTGCACCGAGCTCCAGAGACACAGGCCCGGCAGGGTCCAGAGACCAGCCCTTCTCACAGACTACAGACAGTCTCTCGGTTTCTCGCTCCTGCCTTCCCTACTGGGCCAGGCACCCTCTAGGGAGCCTGGTTAACCTTGTCGGGAATAAATGGGGTGCTCAGCATGATCACCTCACCTTCACCAGCTTCATATACTTGTCAATGGCAGCTTCTTCGTGGGGAAACTTCTCTTTGAGGCCTTGGATGTATGCTTTCTTCCCACTGTACATGGGGAACTCCTTCCGGCCACCGGGCCCTTCCAGCACCACGACGTCAAAGGGAGAGTCCATGGGAACCCAGTCCAGCTGCCCCTCGGTGATCTGGTCCAAGAAAAAGCGCCCCTCGCTGCCCTCGTGCATGCGTCCGATATAATGGATTCCTAATTGGGATCAGGCAAGCGAGGGGTCATGGGGGGAGGGGGCCTGGCCCTGGCCGGGGAGGGTTCAAGGAAGTCTTGTAAAGAAAGAGGGTGTCCTGCATGACGGGGCCCAGGCCGGAGAGGGAGGTCCCTCTTTCCATAGGAAGGTGTTAGAGCAGAAACCACCAAATCCCCAGCCCATTTAGTTCCCAGTGCTGATGGCCATCAGTGGACCAGAGAGGAGATGGAAGATGGGTTCTCCAAACCCGCCATGGCAGCTCCCAGCTCCTAAACAGAGCCGCACGCTCCCCGTCATTCCCACTCCATTCTGTGTGAACAAAAGTTACACCATTGTGTGAACTTCTTTCATTTTGTGTATATACAGTTAGCTACCAAGTTGTTTGCAAGGCCACTGATATGCAGACAAGGCCCCCAGTCCTGATACATCTCCTTATCAATGCGGGACAGATACTTCCCACCTTGAACTCAACTGTCCAATTCAATTGGCAACACTCCAAGTTGATTGGTCAGTGGACCCTTAAAAGACAGGCTTCGGACAGCCCCTGTCAGACTCTATGGAACCACCGGGTCTCCTGCCTGTCTTCAACGTACTTGGGAGCTGGTGTGAACCGCTGGGTCCCTGCCTTGTCCCCAACGTGCCAACTTGTCTCCATCCTGTCTGAGGGACTGCGCTGTTGACGACCCCCATCCCTCTGCCGGCCTCGCATCAGGGGACCGGAAGACCCTGGGCTGAGACTGTGGAGCTCACCAATCTAAGACATTAAGAGCGCTGGGTTGTGGCTTCAGCCAGCTAGAGTCCGGGTCTGATTTGGAATTAATGAATGTTCTTAGTTGAATGTGCTTACTTATATGTATGACGTCAGTGATGATTCTGATGGTGTACATTGTTATTTAATAGAAGTGTTTAAGCATGTCTGACTACACTTTGCTCACACATAACACTCACCTGTGTCAAATTCAAGACCATCGTGCCCGAAGGTGTGGCAGCAGCCCCCCGCCTTGGTGTGCTGCTCCAGTACCAGGACTCTCTTGCCAGCCTTGGCCAGAATTGCAGCAGCTGCCAGGCCCCCGAAGCCGCTCCCGATCACCACCGCGTCCAGCTTCTCTGGTACTCGGCCGACTGAGAAAGCTGCAGCAGAGAAAATGGCTTCTCAGGCGAGGGCAACGGGAGAGCCAAGGACCCCAGGGCTTCTCCAGCTGCACCCCAGGAAACGCAGGCGGAGTGGAGCCAAGCTCCTGGCTGAACCAGTGCCAAGAGCGCACCTGGGAAATATTCAGGACCCACCAGGCCGATTCAGTGATTCAAGGGCTGGGGAGATAGTACAGTAGGCTCAGGTTCTATCCCTAGCACCCCACTCAGGTTCCCTGAACATGGCCAAGAGTAATCCCTGAGCACAGTTGGATATAGTCCAAAAACAATAAATTTTTTTTTCTTAAGTATTTGGGCCACACCCAGCAGTGCTCAGGGCCGACTCTTGGCTTTGTGCTCAGGCATCACTCCTGGTGGTGCTCAGGGGGACCAGTGCTGGGGACAGAACCAGGGTGGCTGTGTGCAAGGCAAATGCCCTACCCACTGTACTATTGCTCTGGCCCCCAGCCCCATTTTTTTTTTCTGGAGCGATAGCACAGCGGGTAGGGCATTTACCTTGCACGCGGCCGACCCAGGTTCGATACCTGTGTCCCTCTCAGAGAGCCCGGCAAGCTACCGAGAGTATCCCACCTGCACAGCACAGCCTGGCAAGCTCCCCGTGGCTTTGATATGTATGCCAAAAACAGTAACAAGTCTCACAATGGAGACGTTACTGGTGCCTGCTTGAGCAAATCAATGAACAACAGGAGGACAGTGCTACAGTGCTAAATAAAAACATTTGTTTGATCTGAACAATTTTCTGGAAGGGGTTGGGGGTTGGGGCAGTGCTCAGGACTTACTCCTGACTCTGTGCTCAGGGACCACACCTGGAAGTACTCAGAGAACAAAATACTGTGCTGAGGCTGGAATGGGGGTTGGTGACATGAGAGGCAAGTGCCTAACCCCTGGACTATCTCTGCGGCCCTGACCTGATTTACCCAAAGCTACTATGTGCCTGGGGATTTCTCCTATTTTCTAAGAAAGTAGGAATGGGTAAACTGAACTTTGATAGAAACAACAACAACTTGCATGCCAGAGTGATAGCACAGCTGGTAGGCTGCTTGCCTGGCATGTGGTCGACCCAGGTTTGATCCCTGGCATCCCATATGGTTCCCCCAACACCACCAGGAGGGATTTCTGAATGCAGAGCAAGGAGTAATCCCTGAGCATCGCCGGGTGTGACAGAAGGAAGGAAGGAAGGAAGGAAGGAAGGAAGGAAGGAAGGAGGGAGGGAGGGAGGGAGGGAGGGAGGGAGGGAGGGAGGGAGGGAGGAAGGAAGGAAGGAAGGAAGGAAGGAAGGAAGGAAGGAAGGAAGGAAGGAAGGAAGGACTAAATGCTGACAATAATTAGGCAGAAAACCCTAAGTGCAAACAGAGCTTGGGGAGAAAGGAAACAGAAGGCTGGGGGCGGAGGCAACTGCTCGTTCACTGAAGTGTCCGAGCTATAGCAGGTGATCTAGAAAACGGAGGAGTTGCAGGCACCAGTGAGTAGTCCGGTTGGTAGGATGATTCTTCAAGACCCTGATACAAATCAGAAAGGAAATATTTCCCGGGAAAGTGGAAGTGTGGCTCAATGGTAAAGAGCTTTTACCATTTCACACAAGTATGAAACCTTGGATTCGATTCCCAGTAGCACAGGGAACGTGCACTGCCTGGTACGGCCCCCAAACCAAAACCCAACCAAAGAATCCTGGAAACAAACGAGAATGGAAACACAAGCTATCAAAGCTTAGAAAACGCAGGAAAAACTGTACTAAGAGTTCACTGTGATATAAGTGAGCCAGAAAGATAGTACAACAGCAGACCTGGGTTCAATCCCCCACACCTCGTATGGTCCCCCCAAGCCACAACAGGAGTGATCCCTGAGTACAGAGCCAGGAATAAGCCCTGAGCAAAGACAAAGAAACAAACAAACATCCTGAGGCAGAGGTTTGGGCTGGATATCGGGGCACAGAGACCACAGTGCTGAGAAGTCTCAGCTCTACCTTTTCACCGAGGGGAGTCTGGGAACAAGGCGAGGGGCAGCACCCACACAAGGTGGCACAGTCGGACAGTCGGACAGTCCCAGCATAGCTGATCATGGAGATGGAGCCAGAGGAACCGAGGGATTGGATTTCACAAGCCGTGCCAGAATTTTGTAGGTTTTCAATTCTAAACATCTTTTAGGAAGGGCTAGCAAGAGGCTCTCTGGAGCAATTGCACAGCGGTAGGGCATTTGCCTTGCACCTGGCCGGCTCGGCTGAGCCGGGTTCAATTCCTCCGCCCCTCTCAGAGAGCCCGGCAAGCTACCAAGAGTATCTCACCCACATGGCAGAGCCTGGCAAGCTACCCATGATGTATTCGATATGCCAAACCCAATAACAACAAGTCTCACAATGGAGTTGTTATTGGGCCCGCTCGAGCAAATCGATGAACAACTGGAGGACAGTGCTACAGTGCTACCCAGAACATACATAATTGTATAATATAAATGCCTGGAGCAGAACTCTCTCTGTATGATCACAGTCACAGTCCTCCCATTATTCATCGATTTGCTCGAGCGGGCCCAGTAACGTCTCCATCATGAGACTTGATGTTACTGTGTTTGGCATATCGAATACGCCACGGGGAGCTTGCCAGGCTCTGCCATGTGGGCGAGATACTCTCAGTAGCTTGCGGGCTCTCTGAGAGGGGTGGAGGAATCGAACTTGGGTAGGCCATGTTGGCTGCGTGCAAGGCAAACGCCCTACCGCTGTGCTATCGCTCCAGCCCTCTCTATATGATACTTCTTTAGAATTCTGTATGACGCACTCTGATAGTTCAGATCCCGCTGCATTTTAAAAAGCAAGCTGCAATCCACAAAATTGATTTTCATGACCCACCAATCGATGCCTATCTAGTTCGAAAAAGCAAACCAGTCATCTCATTGTCAGGTCAACCCTGATTGGTGGAACGACTTGCTAGGGGTTCTGAGTAAATGAACTTTCAAGCTAAAACTTCCCTCAGTCCAAACTCCAGATTCAAAGTTCAGATTTAGAGAATAATCTCTAAGTGTACCAGACACTATGTCACAGAATTACAAAATGTACAGAATTACAAAACTTACAAGAGAGGGGGCCCTGGGTATCAAACTGGGGGTTTTTATTTGCTTGGGGGTTTTTGTTTGTTTGTTTGTTTGTTTTAAAGGAACACTTCCTGGAAACCTTAGAACACAAAAATCTTTGTTTCTATCATTCCTTAACACCACTTTCGCACCTTAATCTTGAGCTGACCCCCTTTGTTTATTATGTGTCTCTTAAGATTTTTATTACACTGCAAGTGGGATGCCTTCCTGGAAAATGGAATCTCCCATTATTTTCGTTAAACAGGTTGGAAAAAAAAATCGGATGTAAGCCAGTCTTCCAGTGATTTGCTGTATGTAGGTATACTTGAGAAAACATGTTGCAAGTCCATTTTTAAAAATCGAAGACCACAATTTTAAAGCGACGATGGAGGTCATTTTGCTAAGGAAGAGCATGTCCAAAGTTCGCCCACTGCTTCTGGGGTTCAGCCAGATTAGAATGACTTGTGGGGCCAAATACAATATCCTAGACCGGCTGGAAGGGGTTTCGACGAGCCGCCCCCACCCCCAGCGGCGCCCGCTAGGAGCAAAGGGGGAAAGTACCTAGTTGTGGCCTCACTCTGCGATCTACCCTGCGGGCCTAGGAAGTGACTCGGCTGTGTCCACACCTTGGCACGCCCTTGGGCCATCATTCCCTCGCCGGCCCTGGCGTTGGCACCGGCCGGTGCGGCGCCGGCACGAAAGCCAGGAGTCTCCACAAACAAGGAGACCCCCACCCTCCCCCCCCCCGCTTTGACACCCGGGGAAACTGAGGCCCAGGTGGAAGAGCGACACGCCCCACGGGGAGAGAAACGCGTGCAGCACGGGGTCGCCGGGACGCTCCCTGCTGACCTTGCTTGAGAACCTTCTTCCTGGCCTCCTTGTCGGTCACCAGGGGCGCGGGGAGCCGCTTGGCATCCTCGCAGAAGGGGTTCGGGGAGCTGTCTGCAAAGCGCCCCCGGGACACGCGGAGCACCACGGCCAGCAGCAGCAGCGCCAGCAGCAGCAGCGCCAGCCACATGGTTGCGGGCCCCAGAACTAGCGAGCAGTTCCGAGGTTGCACGCTTTGCCTGGCAGCCCCGCGGGTGCCTCAGCGTGGCCGGTCACTGAGCCCTGGACGCGCGCTGACCCCACGGGCTGCCCGTAGCCGCGGCCACGCGGGGCGGGGCGGGGCGGGGCGGGGCGGGGCGTCGGTAGTCACGTGCGCTTGCGGGGGGGAGGAGGGGCGGGGCTGGGTGGGGCATCGGCGTGCGCGTGCGCGGGGAGGCGGGGCGGCTCCGGCCAGGCGGCCCCGCGCGCGTCCACGGGCGGACACGGCGGGCGGGTGTGGGCTGGACATGAGCGTCCCGGGCCGAGGCCACGCTCAGGGCTGCGGGGCCGAGAGAGGGTCCCGACGGCTGGACGGGAGGCGCGGCTGCGGGGGCGCTCCACGGGCGACTGGCCCAGGCAAGCGGGTCCCCTCCACCCCCCGCCCCCCCTCCGCCACATCCCGGCCCACCCGTGCTCTGAGCGACCCTGGATGCTCCCGGCCGCTGGGTCACCGCGAAGGACCCAGAGCTCGGGACAGCTGTGCGTCCCAGCGAACTGACTACTAGTCGGGGGCGCAGGGCCGGCTGGGAGGGGCTGATGCCATCCCCAGGCCTCGGGCTGAGTGACGCAAGGGTCTGGGGCGGCTCCTGGCTCTGTGCTCAGGGATCTCTCCCGGCAGTGCTCATAGGCGGTGAACACAGGGAGTGCGGGAGATCGAACTCAGGTCAGCCCGGTGCAAGGCTGACCTTATCCAAGCAGCGCTATCACTCTGTCTCCCCCACCCCCAACTTCTACATTAAATGCCTTTCCCCTGAGAATTTAAGCTCCAGCAAACCAGCCTTTTGTGTAGCTCCTGACCTAAAGCGGATGCGGCACCACTGCCAAAGTGATTTTCTAGACAGTCAGTCACCTTTTCCAGGCCCAGTTCTAAGGAACTTTTTGGTGACTTCAGAGCTGGGGGGTGTTGCTTGTTTGTCTGTTGCTAGTGTTAGTAGGTTGGGCCACATCCAAGTGTGCTCAGCGAGCACTCCTGGTGAGGCTCAGGGGACCACCTGGGGTGCTGGGGATGGAACCCCATGCAAAGTGCGCATCCTCCCCACTGTGCTATTGCTCTGGCCCCCATGCTGCTCTTTCCTTCTCCCATGCAGATCATGGCACCTGTTGAAGCCCCAGCTTTTGCATCCAGAGTGTGTGGGGCAGATGTGTGAAGGCGGGCATCGGCGCTGCTGAACTCATTTCAGACTTGGGATTGCTCCCGCCACACCTGCCTGCCGCCTGCTGAGACTGCACTGTGGGTGAGTGTGGGCTTGTTGATTGTATGCGGGCAGGGAAAGGGAGGCAGATTGTGGGGAACTCCTGAGTACAGTTCCCAGAAGCCCTGGTCTCCCCTGCATTGCAGCCAGCAAATGCCCTCATGGGCCAGGAGGGGTCCCTGCTCCTTCCGTCTGGGATCAGTGCATCCCACCGGGTAGCGGAGGTGCTTTTTTGCCAGCAGCCAGCTTTTGGGCAATGCAGGTTCCTTGCATGGAAGGTTGGCCCTGGAGAGAGGCCTCCCCATAGTAATTAAGTCACCTCTGTGAAGGGAGACTCTCCATGTGCATGAACCGTGTGCCCACTTAGAATCCGCATTTTTCCGGCAACACATAATCATCATGTCCAAGTCCCAAGTTAGACTCATTGGTGAAAGCCAGAGAGTTAGCCGTACTGACTAATTCACTACTGCTTAGCCCCCTGGCCAGTCCACGACTGATCTGTTCATTATTGGTGATAACTGGAGCAATAATTGTGTTTTGTTTTTGGGGCCACAGCCAGTGGTGCTCAGGGGTAACTCCTGGAATTATTGCACCCAGGAATTACTTCAGGTGAGGCTCCAGGGGGCCATTTGAGATGCTGGGGATCGGACCTGGGTGGACTGTGTGCAAGGCAAGTGCCCTGCCCACTCTGCTATGTCTCTAGCTCTGTGACGTTTTTTCATTTTAAGAACCAGATTGGGGGACTGGAGTGATAGCACAGCAGGTAGGGTGTTTGCCTTGCATGCAGCCGAACCGGGTTCGATTCCCAGCATCCCATATGGTCTCCCGAGCACAGCCAGAGTAATTCCTGAGTGCATGAGCCAGGAGTAACCCCTGTGCATCGCCAGGTGTGACCCAAAAAGAGGAAAAAAAAAAAAAAGAACCAGATCTGGTATTAGAAGTCTCCAGTTCTGGGGTTTGTTTTGTTTTATTTGGGGGATTTGCGGGCCATGCCTGGTGGTGCTCAGCTGTGTGCAGAGCAAACACCCTACCCTGTGTACTATTGCTCCAACCCCAAGCTTAATGATTCCCTGCCCCTCCCTTTTTTCTTTTTTTTTGCTTTTTGGGTCACACCTGGCAATGCTCAGGGGTTCCTCCTAGCTCTGCACTCAGGAATTACTCCTGAGAGTGCTTGGGGGACCATATGGGATTCAGGGGATCGAACCCTGGTTGGCCACATGCAAGGCAAATGCCCCTCCCACCTTTCTATCACTCTGACCCCCTTTTTAAAATCGTATCACCATGAGATCAACAGTTACAAAGTTGTTCATGATTGGGTTTTAGTCATACAATGTTCCAACACCCCTTCACCAGAGCACATTTCCCACCACCAGTGTCCCGTTTCCCTCCCGACCCCCCTTCCTTTTCTCCCTCCCACCCCCCGCCCCAGCCTGCCTCTATGGTAGACAGTTTTTCCAGCCAGGTTTTCTCAGTAGAGGCACACTGAGTCATGAAAACAACCTTAATATTTTGTTCTTTTTTTTTTTTTTTTCCAACAGGGCTGAGGCTTCCGAGTCCTCAGGGACTATCTTTCAACCCTCACAGAAACCTCCTTCTCCCTGGTGATGGCTCACAGGGACTGTTTTCTTGCTCTTGGTCTGCTTGACAGCCAAGAAAGAAGGCAAAGGTAGAGCAGTAGGACCTCTGGATCTCCCCATAGTTATTCAACGCCTTTCTGAACCCCAGGACAGACCTTACTTGAATAAATGATTCTGAGTCATGAGTGAAAAATCTTGCTCTTTCCATAATGAGAAAGAATTCAGAGATGGACAGGTAAGCAAGCACTTCTCTTTGGGAAAGAAGGTATCGGTTTGGGAGATATTGTTAGTAGCAGTAAGGCCAAATGTATCCAGCGAGAGGGGCTGTAGAAATGTTTTTCAAAGGGGAGGGGCGGGAAGTAGCTCAGCATGAATGAGGCCCTGTGTTCAATTCCCAAAAACGAAGGGAATGTTTGCCAAAAATTTCTGTTGTAGTTCTCTGTGCTCTTTTAGAAGAAGGAGAAGCTTCTGTTCACCTTTGGATCAGTCACCTTTCCTGGTAGTTTCTTTTCTTTTTCAAGTATTCAGATTATTTTTGACTAAACGAAGCTAACCTTTTCCAGCAAACAGAATGAACTGGAGGGGGCTGGAGTGATAGCACAGTGAGTAGGGTATTTGCCTTTCACATGGCCAAGCCGGATTTGATCCCCGGCATCTCATATGGTCCCCCAGCACTCCTGAGTGCAGAGCCAGGAGTAACCCCTGAGCATCGCTGGGTGTGAGCAAAAGGCAAAAAAAAAAAAAAAAGAACTGGAGGCCAGAAGGACATGGAGCCTGGCTCTGCTCGGAACTGAGGTGCGAGGACAGGGGCTCTCCAGGCCCTCAGATCACCCACAGCAGAGCAGCGGCCTTGCTGTGGCTGAGAGGCACCAAGGTGATTGCTAGGTGCCAGGCAGTCACCCTTATGTAGGGAAGGAATGATACAGGGAGCAAGAGATGACTCCTTCAGCTGGCTTCTTTATCAGGAAGCAGTTCTCTGGTGTCATCCTCATTTCGTTCTTCTTGGGCTGAATCAGAAGGAGCTTGAGGTCATACTGAGAGTCAGTGTCACATGTGTGCGCTGGGGCTTCCATATGAATCTGTGCTGAAGCTGGGGGTGTCCATGGCGTTGATGGAAACACCTCCTGTGTTCACCCCCGTGATCCCTCCTGGCTCTGAGGTCACTTTTATCTTTTTTTTTTTTGGTTTGGTTTTTGTTTTGGGGGCCACACCCAGTGGTACTCAGGGGTGACTCCTGGCTCTGTGCTCCGGTGTTAATCCCAGCATCTCCCCAACTCCAGTCATTGAGAAATAACTGGCATAAGTCGATAGAAGTTCTTATCGTTGTTTCTTCTTGGACCACACTCAGTGGTGTTCAGGGCTTTTATCATACCTGGTGGCCCTCAGGGGATCATATAAAGTTTCTGGGATTGAACCGGAGTTGGCCACACACAAGACAAGCACCTTAACCCCTGTCCTGTCTCTCTGGCACTCTCATTGCTAAAGGTTTAAGGCATACAACGTGATGGCTTGATTTACAGAAACCCTTCTTGTGCCGAGTACTAGGCTGATGGTGTAGGAAATGCAAAGAAGTGTCAGAGAAGGTCCCTCAGTCAGAGCCGCAGAGGCTGAGGGGGACGACAGGCATTTGCAGGCAGACCTGTACTGTGGAACTGTGTCAGGGCCGGAGAGTCAGGGTCCAGGTAGGGGGCAGAGGAGTCTCCTGGAGGAGATGGAAGATGGTGGCGAATTGCGATGGAACCAGGAACCAGGGAGGGAGGCGGGGAGAAAGAACTGCAGCCCACGCAGGGTCCTTCGCTCACTGCGGGGGGCTCGGCTGCGGCGTGTTTGTGCCTCCATTCTTGTATTCCAGGCACCGAGCACTCAGAGCCGAGTTTACAGAGTGGTAGTCAGCCTTCTTCTGGAGGAGGGACTGGGGGAATAGCATAGCAAGGGTTCCAGGGCCTGGCAGAAGCAGCAGTTCCTTCATTAGTTTAGGCTTTTAAATTTTTGGTTTTGGGGGGCTGGAGAGAGCACAGCAGGTAGGGCGTTTGCCTTGCACGTGGCCGACCCGGGTTCGATTCCCAGCATCCCATGTGTTCCCCTGAGCACCACCAGGAGTGACTCCTGAGTGCACAGCCAGAAGGAACCCCTGTGTATCGCTGGGTGTGACCCAAAAAGGAAAAAAAAATTTTTTTTTCTTTTTTGCAGGGAGAGTTGTGCATCTCACGGAGATGCACAGGGATTATTCCTGGCTCAGGGATCCCCCCTAGCTGTGCTCAGGGAGCCGTAAGTCGTGCCAGGGATTGAGTCCTTGTTAGTTGAGTGGGGTCAGGCAGTTTAATCCCTGTGCTATCCCTGTACTAGCTCTCTGTACCTGGGGTTTACAGCTTTGTTACGGTCAGGGCTTCCTCTGTGACATATTCCAGCACCACACCTCCCTCCAGCATTGTCACAGCGGTTGCTCTCTCCCTCAACCTCCCCTCGAACACCAGTTCTCAGTTTCTGTTGCTTGGAGCATGTTGTTACCTTACTGTTTCTTTATAGCCCTCATAAGAGCAAGATTGTTCTGTCTCTCCCTCTCCTTTTAACTTTTCTCAACGTGACACTCTTCAGATCCATCCACATAGCTATAAGTTGTACGCACTTCTCATTGGCTGGGGGGAATGTTAGGGGTCACAGCCAGCGATGCTCAGGGGTTACTCCTGGCTCTGCACTCAGGTATTACTCCTGGCGGGGCTCAGGGGACCATATGAGATGCCATGTCAGCCTCATGCAAGGCAAGCACCCTACTCACTGTACTATCTCTCCAGCCCCAGTTTAGCATTTCTCACAGCCAAGTAGTCTCCCGTTGTGTTTATGTACCATAGTTTATTTATCCAGTCATCTGTTCTTGGACACTTGGATTGTTGCCAGGTTCTGGCTGTCGTGACTAGGGCTGTGCAAATGTCTTTTCTGAATAGATGTTTTGGGCCCTTGGAGTAAATGCCAAGAAAAGGAATTGCTGGGCCATATATATGGCAGCTCAATTCCTAGTTTTTTGAGGAATGTCCATATTGTTTTCCAAAAGAGTGGACCAGTTGACATTCCCATCTGCAGTGACTGAGGGTCCCTCTTTTTTCCTCACATTCCCCACCAACACTGTTTTTCTGTTCTTTGTGATGTGTGCCCGTCTCACTGGTGAGAGAAGACACCTCATTGTTGGGTTTTTGTTTGTTTGGGGGGTCACACCTGGCAGTGCTCAGGGGCTACTCCTGGCTCTGCGCTCAGGTGTCACTCCTGGCTGTGCTCAGGAGATCACATGGGATGCCAAGGGTTGAACCCGCATCAGCTGTGTGCAAGGCAAACATCCCACTTGCTGTACCTTCTCTCCAGCCCCCTGTGCTCAGAGATCACTTCTATAAAAGTCTTGGGGGACCATATAGGATGCTGGGGATTGAAAACCCAGGTTGGCTTCTTGCAAGGCAAATGCTTTTACTATTGCTGTTGCCTCTCATTGTTGTTTCGATTTGCATTTCCCTGATGAGAAGTGATGCGTTTTTTCATATACCGTTTGGCCATCTGTATGTCATCTTTGAGTAAGTTTCTGTTCATCTCTTTCCCCCATTTTGATACGGTGGCCTGTCTTTTAGTTATTTTTTTCTTTAACTTCTTTCCTCCTTCCCTCCCTCTTTTTGTTCCTCTTTTCCTCCCTCCCTCCCATCCTTGCCTCCTCCCTTTCTTTTAGGCAGAGCCAGGGATTGACCTCAGGTCCTCATGCATGTTAGGCGCAGGGTCTACCACTTGGGCTATCTCTCTGGCCCTTACTTATTTTAAAGAAGTTGCCTGGAGACGTAGCTCGGCAGTACAGCACGTGCTTTGCTGTGAGAGGCCCTGGTTCAATCTGAGGCACCATAAAAACAAACAACACACTGGGGCTAGAGCGATAGCACAGAGGGTAGGGTGTTTGCCTTGCACACGGCCGACCCGGGTTCGATTCCCAGCATCCCATATGACCCCCCGGGCACCGCATAGAATAATTCCTGAGTGCAGAGCCAGGAGTAACCCCTGTGCATCGCCAGGTGTGAACCCCCCACCCCCCCCAAAAGAAAACAAATAAATAAATAAAACCCTTACTTCAGAGTGGAATTATCTCTTCTGGAATCTTGTAAAATGTTGCCCAACTTGATACTTCTTTGATACCATAAACATTAAATATTTGCGTCTCATTGCCTTTAGAAAAAAACAGCAACACAGACAATAAGAAGAAGTGACTGTATGGTTTCTCCTGATTTAAAAATATTAAAGTCCAGGGACCAGGGTCCTGACTGAGCAGTAGAACTCAAGCTTCACTTATGAGAGGCTCTGGGTTTGATCTGTGGCTCTACCACTACCACAGTGAAAGTTCAGCGGCTGTCCAGTGAAAATTCCACCCCCACCCTTTTCTTTTGACTGGAAGTGGACTTTCAGCTATGTCATTAGTAGAATTTCCTTTTTTTTTTTTCTTTTTGGGTCACACCTGGCGATGCACAGGGGTTACTCCTGGCTCTGCACTCAGGAATTACTCCTAACGGTGCTCAGGGGACCATATGGGATGCGGGGAATCGAACCTGGGTCGGCCGCATGCAAGGCAAACACCCTACCTGCTATGCTATCACTCCAACCCCTAGTAGGATTTTTTTTTCTGTGCTAGGAACCAACCCAGGGCCTCACATGTACAAGGTGAGTGCTCTCCTGGTGTGGTACCCACTATCACTTTCGTGGAAACGGTTCCGGGAAAAGTGTCTGCAGCAGTGAGCGTGTCTGCTTGTTTGTTTGTTTGCTTTCTCCGGAATGGGGATCTCCAGACTGGGGGCTGACCAGGCTCACCTCAGTGCATGCCGTGCCTCCAGAATTGGGCTCAGGCGTGGGTGTTTCAAAAACCACTCAACCATTTCCTGCCCCCAGCAAGCACATATGTTGTTAAATGCTTTGCACGGTGCTTAAGTGAAACAAAATTTTAAATTAAAAAGGATCAAATAATGCATATATTCTGTTCTTTTTCTGTTGTTTTATTTATGTATTTATTTATTTTGGGGGGTCACACCAGCAGTGTTCACGGGTCACTCCTGACTCCGCACTCAGGAGTTACTCCTACTCCTGGTGGTGCTTAGGGAACTATATTGGATACTGGGGATCGAACCCAGGTTGGCCACACACAAGGCAAGAGGCCTACCTGCTGTACAATCTCTCTATCCTTTCATTTTTTGCTTTGGGTATTTTTGGTTGCTGTTTGTTTGTTTCTTGTTTTATTTGGGGGGGCCACACCTGGTGATGGTGAGGGATTACTCCTGGCTCTGTGCTCAGGGATCACTCCTGGCAGGACTCAAGTGATCATTTGGGGTGCTGGGGATCAAATCTAGGTCTGCCACAGGCAAAGCAAGCACATTACCCACCGTACTATGGCTCCAGCCCCAGTCTTTGAACTATGATCTCCTATATCAAAAGTGGAAAGTGTTATTTCAGAGTTGCTTGGTTTGCCCTTTCCCTTACTTTGTGTAAGTGGAGCATTTTTCATCCCTTTGGGATCTGTTGGTGCCAGCTGTCTGCAGTCAGGCCTTTCTCCTTTCCTCTGTTGTTGGGCTGACGGGGGTCCTCATGCACGTGGCTCTGATGTCTGTGGGGTCTCGCTGTACAGAGACCACCCTCTGCTGCCACCCAGGTACACCGGAGAGAGGCCGGTGTCAGGCGCGTAGCCCACCACCAAGCCGTGCCTCCCTCCGGCCAGGATACTGTTGACAGGACTTGCAAAGAGCCACTGGACATTTGCCTTTTGCCCTCTTAGGGGAAAGGTTTGCTGGGGCAGGAAGGTAAGAGTGAGGACACAGCTTCCCCGACCTTCACTCACAGAACTCTGGAGACAGGAGAACTGAACTGGACTTTGGAGATAACATGGAGTTTTGTTGTCTTTCTCTCTGTCTATCTCTTTTTTGAAGGGGGCTACACCCGGGGGTGCTCAGAGTCTACTCCTGGCTCTGGGCTCAGGGGTCCCTCCTCACAAGCTCAGGAGACCAATGGGACGCTGGGTATGGAGCCCAAGTCAGCCATGTGCAAGGCAAGAGCCCTATACTGTGCCATACTATGGCTACAGCCCAGTGTCATCTTAAGTCTAGATCAGATGTGGGCTGGAGCAATAGCACGGTGGGTAGGTCGTTTGCCTTGCATGAGGCCGACCCGGTCGACCCAGGTTTGATTCCTTTGTGCCTCTCGGAGAGCCCAGCAAGCTACTGAGAGTATCTCGCCCGCACGGCAAAGCCTGGCAAGCTACCTGTGACATACTCAAAATGCCGAACACAGTAACAGCAAGTCTCACAATGGAGATGTTACTGGGTCTGCTTGAGCAAATCAATAAACAACGGGAGGACAGTGCAGTGGAGATCAGATGTAAGTTTGTAAGTTTCCCCTGGAAATGTTCCTTGAAGTTGACTCTTCAGGGTTTAGTTTTTTTTTTTTTTTTTTTTGATAAAGTGAACTAGGAAAGGTAGAACGTTTAAGGTGCCATCTTTGGGGGACCAAGGAATACCAGGGAAGTTGATTCTTTTTTGTCTTCCAGGCCGAAAAGTTATCTTCCGTGTACTCATCACATGACAAGGACAGCAAACCCTTTCTGGCTTTCCAAGGGATACCTGTACGTATTAGCCCCTATCTTCCCATTTCACCTGCCAATACATGTCTCTCTGTGACTGCTGGGCTGGAGCAATAGCACAGCGGTAGTGCGTTTGCTTTGCGTGCAGCCAGCCCAGTTGAGCCCAATTCGATCCCTCCACCCCTCTCGGAGAGCCCGGCAAGCTACCAAGAGTATCTCGCCCGCACGGCAAAGCCTGGCAAGCTACCCATGACATATTCAATATGCCAAACACAGTAACAACAAGTCTCAAAATGGAGGCGTTACTGGGCCTGCTCGAGCAAATCGATGAACAACGGGAGGACCGTGACCGTGACCGTGACTGTAACTGCTGTGTAGAGCTAGTCCCAGGCACCCTGTCCTCAGCAGCAGGTTGGGGGCTGGGGCACCAGCATGCAAAACCGTCTCTGTCTAATTAGGTAACTCGCCACACAGTATGGGGGATAGCAAAGGCGTGCACCTGAACCTTGTGAATTTTTGTTTTTTTACTAACCGGTACACGCTAGTCCCCACATCACCCCCAGTTCACCATCATAATTGGAGTTGTTCTTTAAGATGTTTTTATTTATTGGGGCTAGGGAAGGGGTTTGAGCCACACCCAGCAGTGCTCAGGGCCTCTTCCCGGCTCTGTGCTTAGACGGGACCCCTCGTAATGCTCAGGGGACCATTTGTGTTGGCAAGAATTGAACTGGTGTCAGCCACTTGCCAGGCAAGTGTCTCAACCCCTGCACCATTTCTCCGGTCATTATTTATAGCCATGGGGAGGATTAGGTCTTTCTGGTCTTCCCAGAAAGTTCCCATGATACTTTGAGTGGGATGAGGTCATGTCTCTGTGGATGGGGAGGGCGTCTCATCCTCACATTAAAGGTTGCTGCCCTTACAGATTTCCCAGTTGCAGAACCACAGCATCCTCCAGGCACTGAAGACAGACGCTAACGGATGGGAGCCTAGTGGTAAGGCTCCCTCGGGGCCCTGGGGGCCTGGGTGGGCCCAGCCTAAGAGCTCTCTATGGATCTGCGTTCCATCCTTTGAATTTCTCACACCATTTACTTGTCCTACAGAGTTTTACAGATTTTTTCTTTTTGGGGGGTGATGTTACACCCAATGGTGCTTAGGGCTTACTCCAGGCTCTGCACCTATGGGTCACTCCTAGTGGGGTTCAGGAGACTGTGTGGGATGTCAGGGATCAACCCAGCGTGGCCACGTGCAATGCAAGCACCTTACTCACTGCACTCTGCTCCCACATTTTTTATTCTTCTAGGAGAATCAGAATCAAGACTGGATTAGGTATCAGAACACCTGAGTTCTAATTCCTCCCCGGAGTCTTCCTGTGGCATACTGTGTGCTTTGGGTAAATCATATAGTATTTCTGTCTCCAGGGGAAATACTAACACCACCTTCATTCTCCAAGGCTATGATCCCAGGATAGGATCATCAAATGATGAAAAGAGGCTGAATATGAAAAGGCTTTGGGAAAGAAAAAAGAAACCTATCCCATTTTACCTTGACACAGTTCTTTCCTACATCTTTTACGACACCCGTTCTACTTTCTGGCTTTCCACACACCCACCACTTCAGAAGCCTTTGGCTTCTGCTGTCTGGTTCTCAGATTCAGTTCCCAGTTCTCACCCACCAGCTGCATGAGTTTGAGTAACTTTCTCAACCTGCTGACCCTCACTGTCTCATCTGCAAAACAGGCACAGGATCTGAGCCTGTGTGAGGGAATTGTACAATTTTAGGAGGGCTAAAATGTAAAGTAAAGTGCTTAGCACACAGACAGGATGAGTGATCATTGATTTATTATTTGGGGGAAGTGCACACCTGGCAGTGCCTCAGGGATCACTCCTATTATTATTATTTTTTTCTTTTTGGGTCACACCCGGCAATGCACAGGGGTTACTCCTGGCTCATGCACACAGGAATTACTCCTGTCGGTGCTCGGGGGACCATATGGGATGCTGGGAATCGAACCTGGGTCGGCTGCTTGCAAGGCAAATGTCCTGCCCACTGTGTTATCGCTCTAACCCCTTGGTGATTACTCCTAGCTCTCACTCTCACTCAGGAATCACTCCTTGCATCATGCTTAGGGGAACTGTATGGGGTCCCAAGGATCAAACCCAGGCCAGCTGCCTGCCAGGCAGGCTCTGTATCTGCTGTACTATCTCTCTGGCCCCGGTAGTAGTATTTTTTAAATCCTGCAAACTGAAAATGTATTCTCTGAAAATAGGGGATTGTTAAAATTAATATTCCAGTAGAGAAAATTATTTGGAGGTCTATGAAGTTTCTTTTTGTAGAAGTTTGTCTTTGATAAACCTAACATTTATTAGAGAATTTGCCTGAAGTGCCGAAATATTTTGTATTTGTAGGCTTCTGGCCTTTGTGTGCCCGGTAGTATTAGAAGACTGCACAGCTTGCCCTCAGCCAGTTTAATTGAATAGGCTAAGTAATGTTCTGTACCACATAAATTAATGGAAGAGAGCTTGAACTAGGAGGCTGTTGAGAAAGGAGAAAGGGCCCCAACTAAGGGGAACTGCATCAGCTCCCTGAAGACTAGGGTTTGCCTCCCTGTCCTTCTGTTCTTCCTGGGAAAGCGGTGTCTGTGTCAGGACCAGCCTCAGAGGTAGGAGGCGTTTACCTGGTTCCAAAGGAAGAGAAAGCCAGGTCGCCCCGTATTGGGTTCCCGCGTTTCTCTCCAGACTACGATGACCGGATGAGACCTTTAGACTGTTTTCTGACCTGCTGTCAGCAGATTCCCGCTCACTTGCTGGCGAGCTTTCACCTCCTGGCTCATAATTTCGATCACGTTGTTGGTAGCCCTGAGTTGGTGGCGCAGAAGTAGGTGAAGGGGTGAAGGTGACAGCTCCTTGCTAGCCCGCAGCTCACATTCCTCCCCCGCACCCCAGCCCCCAGGTCACTCTGTTCTTTTGGTTCAGCTGCTTTGTCCGTCCTTTCTCCCAGGGGTCCAGCCTGCTGGACGCGAGTTGTATATTCTTCACCTCCCGAGGTCAGGCACGCTCTAGTCCCTTGAAGCTACCCAACTTGGAAGCCCTAACGCCCATGTCTGCTGCCACACTTAGAGCTGGGCCTGGCAGCATCAACTCTCCTCGAGGTCCTGAGTCTCAGGACCTAGGGCCCAGCGACCTGCTACCCCAAATCCCACACTGTGTCAGTAATGCTGGCCGATGTGTACTGACTTATGACCTCTGGGCCACCTACTCTGTGCAGCTGAAGAATCGTCATCCTCCCTGCATTTCCGTGAGCAAGTGCAGATGGTGCAGTAAGTTGCCAAAAGAAATACAGCTGGTGAGCAGTGGAGAGGCAGCGTGCCCCGACCATGTGGCTCCGGATGTGCTTTCTGCTTCCCCGAAGCCTTCTCTTCCTTCATCCCTGTTTGTGTTTGTTTGTCTTGGGACCACACCTAGCTGCTCTCAGGGCTTACTGCTGGCTCTGTGCTCAGGAATCACTCCTGGTAGGGCTCAGGGGGACTATATGGGATGCTGGGGATCGAACCCCAGTCGGCTGCATTGGAAGGCAAGTGTGCTGCCCACTGGTCTGTCTCTCTGGACCCTGGGCTGGTTTTCCTTCATTCTTGAGGGCATCGTGATTTACAGTAGTATTGATAAGAATGGTTTTCAGGTCAATATGAATGTTCTGGGCAAGGCTACCGCACCCTGGGTGCCACTGTCATGTCATTATCCCTCCACCACTGTCCCCAGGCCCCCTTTCATCTCCCCTCCCCGGGCCCCCCACTTAGCACACCCCGTTCTATTTTCCACTGGCCACTGTCTGCTCCACAAGAGAGTGAGATCACCCGGTAGCTGTCTTTCTCTTCCTCCGAAGTCTTTTGTCTTGGGAGAATCCTGGAGGGCCTTGATCAGTGATATCAGATCTGTCTCTGGAAAGGTCTCTTTGACAGCTGTGAGGAGGGTGGCATGGCCCACGGCGGGCAATGAGGCTGCTCCAGGGCCTGTCGCCCACGTTCTTTCAGAAGGTCTCTCCTTTGGTCTCTGTTGCAGTTTTGAGTACAGAGGTGCTCAGGGCCCAGGAAGAATGGGAGGCCGTGGACAGCATCTTGCCAGAGCCAGGTAAGCAGGGTAGTTCACGCTGAGGTGCGGGGGCCGGGAGACAGAGCTCCCGAGTCTCCTCACATCAGCTCTGTGTCATCTGCCAACCCAAGGACGGTCACATGGAGAAATGGGAGTGCATGGGAAGGTGGCCGGAGTTGGGGAGGGAAGGCCTGGAACTGACGGCTTCCGCGGGCTGGGGAGAAAAAGGGGTTAGGGTGATGCTGCCCGTTCAGTGTGTGAGGGAGTGCCCCGAGATGAGTGCCCCGAGATGACCCTCTTTGATGGCTGGGTGGTCAGAACTGAGCCCCCCCTGAGTGCCTGAGAGTGGCATCAGGGACTGTGAGCCACCACTTAACATTGTTAGCCGTTATGTCAGTTCCCTGGGGCCTCCAATGAAGGACAGAGCAGGGATTAGGGACAGGGAAAGGCCAGGTAGAAATCAGGAAAGGTCCAGATGACACGGCCTTGGTGTGCTTCTGTCCTGTGGGCAGCAGGATTCCGGGGGTCCCCTGCAGGCCAGAGCCGCCACCTCACTGCAGGGGCTGCCTGGCCAACCTCTCAGCCTGCTCAAAGGGGGTCTCCACCCACCGCTAGGTGGCAGCCCCTGGAGAGAGGGTAGGGTGTAGAGTAGGTGTCTGGTGTGCAGAACTGGATGCCAGTGCTTGGCACGAGGTGGCAGCCAGCAACCTGCCTAAAACCCTGCTTCCGGAGCGGCTGCCACATCAGACCTGAAACATCTTCTCTGCTGCAGGGAACCTGACCCGCGCAGAGCAGCCCGGGCAGCTGGTCTCCTTCAGTGAGGCCCTGCAGCACTTCCAGACCATAGACCTCTCCTCCTTCAAGGTAGGAAGCTGGGGCGGGGCTGAGAGGACGTAGGCCTCTGTGCCACCAGCACGAGGGCCGGGGCAAGCAGGCAGTAGCTTCTGTTGGAGCGCTGTCTGTCCTGAGAAATCCGGGACCAAAGCAATAGCCCAGCAGGCAGGGCATTGGCCTTGTACACAGCCAGCCTGGGTTCCAGCCCCAGCATCCCATATGGTTCCCTGAGCCCTGCCAGGAATATTCCATAGCTCAGAGCCCAGGTGTCAGCCCTGAGCACTCCTGGGTGTAGCCCAACAACAATAACAAATCCAAAGGGCTGGATCCGGACAACTAACTGACAAGGCTATGCCAGGGGACATCTCTGTCTCCGGAGAGCCTGGCACCGGGCCTGTCCATAGCACAGGTAGGGCACTTGCCTTGCATGTGGCTGACTGGGGTTTGATCCCCAGATGTCCAGCATCCCAGACGGTCGCCCAGCACCTCTAGTAGTAATTTCTTTTTTTTTTTTTTTTTTTGCTTTCTGGTCACACCGGCGATGCTCAGGGGTTACTCTTGGCTTATGCGCTCAGGAATCATTCCTGGCAGTGCTCAGGGGACCATATGGGATGCTGGGAATCGAACCTAGGTTGGCCACGTGCAAGGCAAATGCCCTACCCACTGTGCTATCGCTCCAGCCCTTCTAGGAGTAATTTCTGAGTGCAGAAACAGAGGTAAACCCTGAGCAACACTGGGTTTGGCTGAACCACTCCTTGCTTCCCCCCAAAAAAGGAACTTGGGGTCAAAGAGCCCTTCTGCAGAGACCCAGCCATGGTTCACAGCAGCTGCAGGGGTCCCGTGAGTTGGGGAAGTTACTTCTCTCTGCCTGACTGGGCCCTTGACTGACGCTCCCTGGGGCTAAGTCGTTAAAGAGGAGAGTAACCTGTTCCTGCGCCTTTCTCCACAGGAAAGGATTCAGCCCACTGTCCGGAGGACCGGGCTCGCCGCCCTCCGGCACCGCCTCTTTGGGCCTCCAAAGCTCCACCAGGGCCTCCACGAAGAAAGGGACTTGGTGCTGACCATCGCCCAGTGTGAGTGGCAGGCCAGGCATGCGGTCAGCCCATTCCCCTGTTGGCGAGGCCAGGCGGGAGTCCTGCCTGTTCCCGTGTCAGGCATGTGGGGAGCGAGAACCAAGAGAGGAACAGTGGGTGCGAGCGAGGTGCCCGAGCATGGTTTATCCTGGCTAGCCCCAGAGAGCAAGGCGGCCAGGCAGGGGGTTCTCCCCCTGGCGGAGCCAGTGGAGGAAACAGGTGTGTTTGGGGGCAGGTGGCCTGGATAGCCAAGACCCCATGCACGGCCGCGTCCTGCAGACCATCTACAGGAAGCTGACTGGCTCCAAGTGCGACTGCGCCCTTCTCGGAGACCACTGGCAGGACCTTGGCTTTCAGGGTAAGAAGGGGCAGTTCTGTCTTCTTTACCGGGACCCGTGATTGGGGACCAGAGGGAGGGCCCAAATAGTCCACTTCCTGCCATCCCCGTGCTCCAAGATGGGGAAGTGACTGTGGAGGACGAAGTGTCCGACACAGAGGCTTCCTAAGGTCCGTATGAGAAACATATGGATCCTGTGAGAAATGGAGAATGCGGCTCATGTGGACGGAGAGAAAAATTTCACATGGGACTTGGCAGGAAATACTATAAAATAGTAAGATGTCCCGAGGGGCTGGAGTGATAGCACAGTGGGTAGGACGTTTGTCTTGCATGCAGCTGACCCAGGTTCAATTTCCAGCATCCAATATGGTCCCCTGAGCACTGCCAGGAGTAATTCCTGAGTGCATAAGCCAGGAGTAGCCCCTGTGCATCGCCAGGTGTGACCCAAAAAGCAAAAAATATATATCACGACCATCCTGTTATTTGTCGATTGTCTCGAGCAGGCCCCAGTAACGTGTCCTTTGTCCTAGCCCTGAGATTTTTTTAAAAGTGCCATATTCAAGGCTCTTTCAGAGTTAGGAGAATGAGACCCATCATTGTTACTGGTATTTGGCATATTGGGTACGCCACGGGGAGTTTGCCAGACTCTGCCGTGTGGGCAGGTTACAAAAATATATATACATATATATTATATATATAATATATATTTTATATGTATATCCAATATGCCAAACACAGTAACAACAAGTCTCAAAATGGAGACATTACTGGGCCTGCTAGAGCAAATCAATGAACAATGGGAGGACAGTGTTTGTTTGTATATATATATATATATATATATATATGTTTGTTTTGGGGCCCCACCCACTGTACTATTGCTCTGGCTCAAAATATACATATATCTTTTTTTTGTTGCCAGGCCAGGCATCATACCCAGGGCCTCACCACTGAGGTAGAGTAGCATGCAAAGTAGGTACTCTACCACTGAGCCACACCCCAGCTCTGTTTTATATTATTTTTTGAGGGAAAATAATGACTTTACCAATGTTTATACTATACTACTCCTTCTTCAAAACCATCTGAGGTTGGCTTCTTTTTTCCCTTCTGGAGAAGCCCATGTTCTTTCTTAAACACGTAGCATGCATTTTTCTCTCTTTTATTTACTTATTTTTGTGTTTGTCATTGTTGTTCTTTGGGGCCATGTCCATCAGTGCTCAGGGATTACTCCTGGCTCTGTACTGGGAATGGAACCTGGGTCAGCTGCATGCAAGGCACAAGTCCTATTCTTGTACTGGTGTTCTCTCTCTCTCTCTCTCTCTCTCTCTCTCTCTCTCTCTCTCTCTTTCTCTCTCTCTCTCTCTTGCATTTTCTCTAAATGTTTCAAATAAACATATTTTGCTTCATTAAAGAAAAATCATATGAAATTGGGTTGATTTTTATTTCCCCCTTTAATTGCATTTAAAATTTGTTTCTTTAAATATCTTAGTTATGAGCTACCCATGACGTATTCAGTATGCCAAACACAGTAACAACAAGTCTCATGATGGAGACGTTACTGGGCCCGCTTGAGCAAATATTGATGAACAACGGGAGGACAGTGCTTACAGTGCTTACAGTTACAAATTCTGAATAGTGAAGACAGAGGAGCTGCTGCAGGCACTTCGTGAAATTGTATTTATATGGAATAGAAAATACTAATACTTTCAAAAGTAAACACTGCGTCCACAGTTACCTCGTGATCCATTGATATTGATCTGTTTAAATTCCTTTAGCCTCCCCGTTTCTGATATCTGTTTTGAATATTTCTTCTGTATACAATGAGAAATCATCAACGTCCTGATTTTTATTTCAACCACCAAACAATTTTAAAATTGAGGAGGGCCTCGGTGGACACAGCTCGGGTCCCTGTGTCCCTTCGGCTGATCCCCGCTCCTAACAAAAGCACCCAGCAGTCTAAGTCTGTGCTCTGCACCCAGGCATGCACTCTTTCTTTTCTTTCTGATATCACAAGATTCCTTCTTGATCATTCCCTTTCTATTTTAAGAAATTCCTTTAGCCATTTTCTTTTTTTTTTTTCTTGTTTGTTTCTTGCTGTTGGGCCATCCCAGCAGTGCTCAGATCTTCCTCCTAGCTTTTGCAGGAACACTCCTGGCAAGTGCTCAAGGGACCAGATACAGTGCTGAGGATTGAACCTGGATTGGCCACCTGCCAGATAACACTACCTACTGTCCTATCACTCTGGCCCAGCTCTTTTCTTTTTTTTTAAAATTTTATTTGCAAGCTACCGAGAGTATTTCGTCCATGTGGCAAAGCCTGGCAAGCTACCCGTGATGTACTCGATATGCCAAACACAGTAACAAGTGTCACAATGGAGATGTTAATGGGCCCCCTCGAGCAAATCGTTGAACAACGGGAGGACAGTGACAGTGATTATTATTATTTTTTGCCTTTTTGGGTCACACCCAGCGATGCTCAGGGGTCACTCCTGGCTCTGCACTCAGGAATTACTCCTGGAAGTGCTTGGGGGGCCATATGGGATGCCGGGGATCGAACCCAGGTCGGCCGTGTGCAAGGCAAATGCCATACCCGCTGTGCTGTCGCTCTGGCCCCTCTTTTCTTATTAATTTTTAAATTTTTATAAAGTTGTTCACAATAATTTATTACAGTCAGTTTTCCAACACCAATCCCACCACCATTACATCTTCCCACCATCATTATTTTGAATTATACCAACCACCACCCAAGCCTGCCCCAGTAGCAGCCCTAAGTAATTTATTTTGTATTGCTAGTTATGAATAATTCACTAAAAATGGTCCAAAAAAGTTTCCTTAGGAGAAAGCGTGTGAAGATTGTTGTATCTCACCCTGGATCCATTAGCCCTTGTATAAAAGATTACTGACATGTTGTTACAGGTTGAGCCTTGTGTACTTTTTTTTTTTTAATCAAGAATGTTTGCCTTCTACTTTATATCCCATCCATTGTGGTTTGCTACTCTTGGTAGTGGTGTAGAGTCTGAGATGTTGCTCCAGGAATTCTAAAATTTTTAATAGGGTGATAGAGCTGGAGTTAAATTTTTAACTTGATGGGCTCCAGAGGCCTCTCTGCAGCTTGTTGATATTTTGCAAAATTCATTTGTGAGTCTCTGGATCATGGTGGTTGATGAGCTTATATGGCGCCAGAAGCAGGAGGATGGGGAGAGGTCGCCCATTCCCGGCTCTTAAACGAGGTCTGCTGGTCATAAAATGTCTTAGGATATAGTACTTCCGTCCAAGTTGACAATTCTTTCTTTTCAGTGCTTGAAAAATGTGCTACTTCCTTTTGGCTGTCATGATTTTTGATGAGAAATCTGCTGTCATTAGAATTTTCTCCCCTCAGCAATAAGGAGTGTTTTTCTTTCCTTTCAGAACTTTGATTTTTGTGGGGCTTTTTTTCTCGTTTGGGTGCGGGAAGGGGGTGGAACTACAGGGTGACTTGTAACAGCCAGGCAGTTTCGACCCCCGTGTCGTAACTAGATTCTGGGAGCTCTGGCGAGCCAGGCCTTGGGGAAGTTCCGAGCGGGCTCTTAGGACCCTAGACAGCAGGGCCTTCACACCCCATGGCCACCCCACCTGAGTATCCCCACGGTTCCTGTTCCAGGAGCAAATCCGGGCACAGACCTGCGAGGCGCAGGCTTCCTGGCACTCCTGCATCTGCTCTACCTGGTGATGGACTCCAAGACCCTGCTGATGGCCCAGGAGATTTTCCGCCTGTCTCATCACCACATCCAGGTGGGTTTCGGTGGGAGACCAGCAGAGAGGGCTGAGGGGCGGGAGCGGAGCATGAGGCACACCTGAGCACCGCAGGGCTTCCTGGGTAGCTCCAGTGCTAGGGCCCTGCAGGTCAGCTGTGGTCACTGGGAGTCGCCCCCCCACGACCTGCCCAGTGTTGCTCGAGCATCCTCAGAGCCCTGCTTGCCTCCTCCATGCAGCAGGACATGAGCAAGCCCAGCCGGACGGGGCAGTTGGACGGGTCTGTGTGCACACGCTCTCGCACAGCCCATAGGCCGTCAGCATTTCAGCTGCCTTCCCTCCTGAAGAGGTCTACCAGAAACCCCTTCCTCTGGGCCAGGAGGAGGAGAGCTGAGTGCGTGCCCCGAGACTTGCCCCTGAGGGCTCTGGGGCCAGCAGTGTCCTCTGTAGCCCTCAGTCTCCGTCCAGGCTGTACAGCTGGCTGTGGGGATTGGCTGTGGCCTCCATTAGGGAACAGATGTGGCCCGTTTCCTGCCATTTGTCTCGTCCAGGTTCAGGGGACCTGGGATCCGTTCATTGTCACCTCACAGATTTCTTTGGTGTCCTTGTGTCAGCGCCCAGGGTACATTAGTGAGCAAAACTGATCAGGATTCTTGTCCCAGGGCAGAGAGACAGTCAATAAGCACAAATAAATGAGAGTATGTGAGAGGGGTATGTGCAGAGGGAAAGAACAAGGAGCGTGAGGTCCAGGGAACATGCAGTGGGTGATGCTATGGTCTAGCCCAACCAGGGTGGCTCTTGGGGGCGAGAAGTCTCTAGACCAAGCCTGGAAGGGGGTGAGGGTGTTAGCCTAGTGGACATCTGGGGCAAAAGCATTGGCAGCTCGGGGCTGGAGTGATAGCACAGCGGGGAGGGCGTTTGCCTTGCACGCAGGGTTTGTTTCCCAGCATCTCATATGGTCCCCCAGCACCGCCAGGAGTAATTTCTGAGTGCAGAGCCAGGAGTAACCCCTGTGCATCGCTGGATGTGACCCAAAAAGCAAAAAAAAAAAGCATTGGCAGCTCAAGGCAGCTAGAGCAAAGGTCCCGAGAAAGGCGTGTGTCTGGCATAGAGGGATGGAAGGAAGCCAGCTGGCACTGACTGAAGGAGCATGGGCGAGCCCTGGGGAAAGAGGCAAGGCTTGGAGCACAGGCTTCCCCTGCAGGGACCCCAGCTTCAGTCCCTGGCCCCAGGCATGCCAAGTGTGGCCCCCAAATCCTCGCCTGGCTCCTGGGTGTTCATCCAGATCCCAGGGCCGAGGGTGGCGCTCACGCAGGGCTTTGGTGAAGACCCTAGAGAGCCCCCAGCTCAGGTCACTGCAGGGACTGGACAACTGGCCGCTGGACAGTTGGGAATGAGTGTGCCACACAGGATTTTGTAACTTGGAAACCTTGAAAGTGACTTCAGGTGGCTGCGGTCAACTGCCTCACCTATGTGATGGGAGGGAGAGGCTAGTGCCAATGACAGCAAAGTGCCAGTAGCCTGGGCCCGGGGAACACTGGGTGGAAGGTGAGGGGGAGCAGGAGAGCACAGGGCTCCCCCTAACCTGGCGCCCCTCCCTTCCAGCAATTCCCCTTCTGCCTGATGTCGGTGAACATCACCCGCATCGCAGTCCAGGCCTTGCGAGAGGAGTGTCTGTCCAGGTACGTGTTGTTCCTATGCCCGGCCCGGCCTGGCCCCATTCCTCGGCCCCCTTGAGTCCCTGCCGCCTCCTCTCCACCATCATCTCCTCCATCACCCCGACACCAGAAGGTCCCGGCTCCCAGGGGAGGGGTGCCGGCACGTCGCTCAGGCTGTCACAAGGGGACCTCCCACCCCTGCAGGGAGTGTAACCGGCAGCAGAAGGTCATCCCCGTGGTGAACAGCTTCTACGCCGCCACCTTCTTGCGCCTGGCACACGTCTGGAGGACAGAGCAGAAGACCATCTCCGACTCGGGCTTCGTCCTCAAAGGTGTGCGCGTCCTGGGCGGGCCTGGGTCTGGCCTCTTGGGGTCCCCAGGTTCAGGGCCACTGAAGCACCCCGGAGCCTCCACTTTTTCCTCCCACCTCCTTCCCTCGCTGGCCTTGTTTCTAAACCAGAGGCGGGGCCTCCAACTGGCCTGGCCACTCAGTGGGACTGTGGTGGACAAGGGGAGGTCGTGGCCTCCAGTTCCTCTATCGCCCTCTGGGGCACGCATCTCCCATCTTTAAGACTCCTCCCTTGGGACTGGAGTGATAGCACAATGGGTAGGGTGTTTGCCTTGCACACAACCGACCCGGGTTCGATTCCCAGCATCCCATATGGTCCCCCCGAGCACTGCCAGGAATAATTCCTGAGTGCATGAGCCAGGAGGAACCCCCTGTGGATCACCTGCTGTGACCCAAAAAGAAAAGGAAAAAAAATAGACCCCACCCCCCACCCCCAGGGTCTGGGCATCCTTGGGGCTGGCCCGAAGTGCCTGACTGCCTCAGCCCCCTTCCTCCCATTTCTGTTCCAGACTTGGAAGTGTTGGCCAAGAAGAGCCCCAGGCGTCTGCTGAAGATGCTGGAGCTGTACTTGGCCCGAGTGTCCCAGGGCCAGGCCTCCCTGCTAGGCGCACAGAAGTGCCGCGGGCCGCCAGCCTCCCACTCCCGAGATCTCACCTTCACTGGGGTGTGCGAGCTGCCCTCGCACCCCACCGACGGCAGGCTGATCTGAACCCTGAACTGAGACCACCACGCCTCTGACTGGCCCCGCCACAGAGAGGGCTGTGGAACACTCCTGGGCCTGGCCTGGGATGCTGAGGCTTTCAGGCCGCGACCTGGTCCATCCCGACTGCCCTGATGTCAGGGTCTTCGCAGCTATTCACAGTTGGGACTGAGAACACGAGGTTGGAGAGCGCCCCCTGGAGGCGCCACACCACCCTACCCTGAGGCATCTCCGGGCTGAGGCTCTGCACTCCACCTTGCAGGCTTTGCAGACTCTGGGCCAGGACCACGTTGTTGGAAGGGAGAAAGCCTCAGTGGCAGCAGGAGGCAGCGCGGGGGGAGGAGGGGGGCAGCCTCAGCCCTCACCACTCCCTCTCAAGCTTCCTCACTGTTTATATGATACAGAATCGGGTGCTTGGCTAGGTGTCCCCCTGGCTGCCTATCCGGCCACCCTCAACAGTTCTAAATAAAAGTGTGGTTCCGGGGCCGAGGGTGTGGTGCCTTTCCCTCCGGCAGGCCATGTGTGCGCCACTGTCAATCTTTAGGTCCTGCTGAGAGCCAGCGGTGTGGCTGGGACGGGCCTGCCCTGGGCAGCCGGTACTCGCTTGGGGGTCGCTGTCTGTGGTGTCTGTTTGCTCGAGGCTGTCCAGGCCAGTGTTGCTGAGGAGCTGGGCATTCCTCCCCTCCACGTGGTTTTCCCATCCTGCTGGCCCCTGGGGGCCCCGAGCTGGGGCTGGTGAGACACCTGCCAGTTTCCTCACGTCTGCCTTTCCCACTGGGCACTGCTTGTGCAGCAGAAATGACAGGGAGCTCTCTGGGCCCCGGGGTCTGAGCAGGGCAGAAAGAGCTGCAGCTAGCCCGCACCGAGCCCTTTCCTTGGCTTGTTCTGAGGGGAGGGAGAGCCCCCCCTGCAGAACCAGAAAGCAAGGCCCTGGCTGCCACAGGCCAGAAAGTGTGGGTCAGGGGGCTCTCTCTGCATGCTGGTGGGGCCCTTCTGTGTGTGCAGAAGCCCTGTCCCTCTCACTCCTGGGGCCACACGCTCCAGACCGCACCTCTGTGTGTCTGGCCTGGGGACACTAGCAGGGTGGAAGCCAGGGGTGGATCTGGACCCTCGAAAAGCATAATCCAAGGGCCAGAGAGAGAGAGAGAGAGAGAGAGAAAGAGAGAGAGAGAGAAGAAAGAGAGAGAGAGTACAGGGGGTGAGACATTTGCCTTGCAGGTGGCGGACCCTGGTCCAAATCCCAGGTACCATGTATAGGCCCCTGAGCAATGCTGGGAGTGAGCCCTGAGCACAGAGCTACAAGTTAGGCCTAAAAACAGTTGGGTGACCTCCCTCCCCACCACCACCACCAAAAATAAATAAAACCAGGAAAATCACAAAATCTCTGTGTGTTTACTTTCCCTTTTGGGGATTCTGGATCACAACCAGCAGTGCTTAGCAGGGGCTACTCCCAGCAGTGTTCAGAGGTTGTTCCTTGCAGTGCTTGGGGAGAGTCCCAAGTGCTGTGTGCCAGGGCTCCGACCATACTGGGGTCACTGCACACAAGGCCTTGCCCCTGGTACTCTGAGTCCCCTTCATCTGTGTTATTTTTCTTGGGAAAAGGCCTTTCATGGGAAACTTAAAATGCTTTGCACCCCTAAAAGTGTCAGGAATACAGATTTGGTGCAAAATCATCCCAAGGCAGGGCTGGAGTGATAGCACAGCGGGTAGGGCGTTTGCCTTGCACGAGGCCAACCCAGGTTTGATTCCCAGAATCCCATATAGTCTCCAAAGCACCACCAGCAGTAATTCCTTAGTGCAGAGCCAGGAGTAACCCCTGTGCATCGCTGGGTGGACCCAAAAAGGAAAAAAAAAATCCCAAGGGCCTGAGAGAGCTGAGGGCTGGGCTCAGTCCCTGAGTACCAGCAGGAGTGACCACCAAGCACTGGGCCCCGCGTAAGCCCCTGAGAACCCCAGGCGGACCCCCTTCCCACCCACCCCCGCGGTCACCAGCACACACATTGGCAGCTGCGTATGCCACCTCTGCAGAGAGGACAGAGGAGACCAAAGAGGTGATCTTTTTTTTTTTCTCCTTGGCACAGAATTGACCAGACAAACTGGGAGGAAATTCTGGATTGATTGGGATGGAGGAAGAAGGTGTGTCCGCACTCAGGTCCCCGGGAAGGCCTTGGGGTCAGTCGGGGGTGAGGGTGGAGCCTGCTCCCCCAGGCCATGCCCCCCAGATGGTACGGCTTGGGGGATACCTGCCTTTGTATCCTCTTTGGGATTACAACCATCACCTCTTCAGGAGGATGAAGGAAGTCTGACACAAACACACAACCCCCCAGGGAAACACAACCTCTCCCCTGTTCAAAAGGAGGCAGAGGACCAGGACCCAAGACTTGAGACCCGAGCTGGGCCCAGGCCCTGCCACCGAACCCCCAATGAGGGGTGGCCCCAGCGTGCCCAGCCAGCTCTGCCTGGCAGTGACAAGTGGTCCTGCTCTGGGCATGCCCACCTCTCCAGTGTTGCCTTGGAATGGCCTAGTGCGGCCTCGGCGGTGGCCTGGCTAGGCCTGGTTCTGGCTTGAACGGGAATGAATCCCCTAGGCCATCCGGAAGCCGACTTGTTCCCTGCTGGGAACGCGCCCACCTCCCACTAGACTCACTGAACTTGCTGTGCCCAGAGACTCTCGGCCCCTCTGCCCCACACAGAGAACTGCCGTCTGGGGCCTGCTCCACCCATCGACAGGCCACAGGGCCAGAGGGAGGCTGAGGTTGGGACGGTCAGTGCAGGCAGGGAGCCGGGAAAGCGCTCGTCTCCTTTATTGGGTTCCCAGGGGCGCTGCAGGACTGCAGCCTGAACAGAAAGCAGAAGGGGGCAGGGGCACCTGCCCTCATTTCCAGTCCTTGAAGAATTGCTTGAAGATGGGGCTCTCGCGGCCCTGGGGAAGGATCTCCACCTGTGGGAACAGGGAGGGCGTAAGGGGGGCAGGGCCAGCCTCCACCGCAGGGAGGGCGGGGAGGTGGCACTGGGCACCAGACTGGATCCACACACCAGGGACGCTCCCCAGAGGAGCCAAGAGACCAGCAGAAGATGACGGGGACGGGGCTGGAGCGAGGATACAGTGGGCAGGGCGCTTGCTTTGTACACAACTGATCCAGATTCAGGGGTGCAGAGCCCGGAGTAAGCCCCAAGCACCTCTGGGTGTGGCCCCCAAACAAAAGATGGCAGGACAGTGGCCGAGAGAGAAACAGGCTGCCCGAGGCCTGGGTGTGCCCCTGGGAGAGGCACCAACTGCTATGCAGCTCCCAGCCTGCCTCGTGGAGCCCCTGAGCCAGGCGACAGGCCTGGTCCAGGCAGGGACAATGGCCCAGCCAAGGCACACAGCTCTCCAAAGGCACATTCATTCACAGCGCCACCCAACACCCATCTTGAAAGTCATCTATTAAAAAAAATTTTTTTGTTGTTTCAATTTGGGGAGGGGGCACACGCAGCAATCCTCGGGGGCTCCTCCTGCCTCTGTGCTCCAGAGTCAGTCCTGGCAGTGCTCAGGGCTCCGTGGGGAAGAAGCTCTCCGGCTCCTGCATTTCATAATTTTGCAGGACTGGGAAGCACCTTCCCATTGCATGGGTCAGGTAGGGAGGCCCAACTAGTTCTGTTTTTTTGTTGTTGTGTTTGCTTTTTTGGGTCACATCCGGTGAAACACAGGAGTTACTCCTGGCTCACGCACTCAGGAATTACTCCTGGTGGTGCTCGGGGGACCATAGCGGATGATGGGAATCGAACCCCGGTTGACTGCGTGCAAGGCAAATGCCCTACCCGCTGTGCTATCGCTCTAGCGCCCCCCCCCACCAGTTCTGATTGTGTACAAGACTTTCCTGCCCAAGGGGCAGAGGTCACAGGAGGACCCCCGGGAGGAGAGCTTGGGGCCCAGGACATCTCCTCACCTGGGTGTTCGGGGCGTACTTCATGCGGGAGATGAAATCCTCAGCGACTTGAAGGGCCGCCTGCCTTTCCTTCTCATTAGCTTTGCGCCCTGGGATAGAAGGGGAATGTTTATTTTTCCACTCATTCACTTGTTCCGTCGTTTTTTTTGGTGCCAGGTACAATAGCACAGTGGGCAGGGCATTTGCCTCGTACCCGGGATCTATTCCCAGCATCCCATATGGTTCCCCGAGCAACACCAGGAGTAATTCCTGAGTGCATGAGCCAGGAGTAACCCCTGTGCTCTACCATGGAGCCACACCTGGGCCAGAAAGGAAAGTTCTGGTTTAGGTTTTTGAGTCATACTGGCAGTGGGGTTGGAGTGATAGCACAGCAGGCAGGGCGTTTGCCTTGCACGCGGCCGACCTGGCCGACCCAGGTTCAATTCCTCCGCCCCTCTCAGAGAGCCCGGCAAGCTACCGAGAGTATCTCGCCTGCACGGCAAAGCCTGGCAAGCTACCCATGACGTATTCGATATGCCAAACACAGTAACAAGTCACAATGGAGACATTACTGGGCCCGCTCGAGCAAATCAATGAACAACAGTAGGACAGTGACAATGACTGGCAGTGCTCAGGGGCCACTCCCAGCAAGTTGCTCAGGGATCACTGTGGCAGAGGACCATGTGGTGCTGGAGATCGAACCCAGGGCTTCCTCATCCCTCCAGCCCTTGAGCTCTCTCCAGCTCAAGGAATTTGGGTTTTTGTGGGTGGGTGAGGAAGGGAACCACGTGGGGCAGTGCTCAGGGCTTACTCCTGGCTCTGCACTCAGGGATCACTCCTGGAGGGTTGGGGGTCCATATAGGGTACCAGAATCGAGCCCAGGTCTGCTGCATGCAGGGCAAACACCCTACCTGTTGTTCTATCTCTCCAGCCCCAACGAAACTTTTTTTTAAGTGTAGTCACTCTTCTCTAGTCTACATCCCAGATTTCCCACAAACGTTTAAAGTGGCCCACAGAATAACCAGCAACCTTTAAATTAAACAGGCCACTGGACAAAGGTATTTCTCCATGGGCTGAGCACAGGTTTTGCATGCAGGAGACCTGGGTTTCAGCACTGGCACCACATGGTCCCTTGTGTACTTCCAAGAGTAACCCCAAGCCTAGAGCCAGGAGAAGCCCCTGAGCACTGCCGAGTGTAGCCAAACACACACACACACACACACACACACACACACACACACACACACACACACACACACACCCAAGGGCCAGAGAACTAGTACAGAGGTTCAAGGACTCACCTTGCATATGGCTGACCTAGGTTCAATTCCTGGCACCACCAAGAATTCCCTGAGCACTGCCAGGGGTCACTCCTGACCAGGAATAGCCCTGAGCATTCCCGAGCTATCCAGGAATAGCTCCTGAACACTACCAAGTGTAAAATTTTAAAAAATTTTAAATGAACATAAAACGAAATCAGTGGGTCAGGAGGGCTAAGGACGCTGAGATGCTCTTGATAGGGGAAGTCGGCCTGAGAGACAGTCTCAGCCGGCGACTCCAGGCCGGTGAACTCTGCTCTCCCGCAACCCCAGCCAGTGCCCACCACGGAGAATTCTGCATCCTGGCTCTAAAGCTGCCTCCCCAGTCCCTCCCCCAGAGCCCCCCTGCCTCTTAGATCCCCCATCAGTACTGTTACCAACCCCATTTAGAAAACTATGGTAAAAGGCGTGGCTTGTGGGGGCTGGAGCAACAGCGCAGTGATAGGGCGTTTGCCTTGCACCCGGGATCTATTCCCAGCATCCCATATGGTTCCCTGAGCAACACCAGGAGTAATTCCCGAGTGCATGAGCCAGGAGTAACCCCGGTGCATTGCCGGGTGTGACCCAAAAAGGAAAAAAAAGAAAAGGTGTGGTTTGCTAGGGTCTGACTCCCGTTTTCCAGGTAGCTCACGGCGGCCAATGGTTATGCAGTGCAGCCTCTAAAGGGGCCTCTGCAGTCACCCGTTCTCTCCTGCAGCCACAAACTCTGCTCCAGTCTAAGGCATGTGCCCCAGCAAGTAATGCTAGGAACTGTGCTTGGCATCCAGCCCAACTATAAAAACCCAGGTAATTGTGTGCTAGCCAAAATTAATTGCTGGATCCTTCCTCCATGAACAGAACATGGAGGTATTTCTCTGGTTCCCAAAGTTTGGTTTTTCATCTCTGTTTTCTTTTATCAAAATGGTTTGTTCTTTGCTAGGTATGTTTTCATGGGTGTCTAGGATGCCCCTAGCATGAAATTGGTTCCAGGTGAAAGTGCTGGTGGCAGGAGGGAAAAGGGGGTGCTAGAAGCAATCCCAGCCCCCACCCTACCCCACAGTGTGTGCATACTCTCTCTCTCTCTCTCTCTCTCTCTCTCTCTCTCTCTCTCTCTCTTAGAAATCCAACTGGGGGGGAGATAAGCGATAGTACAGCAGGTGAGTGCTTCCCCTGCAAACAGCCAACCTGGGTTTAATCCCCAGCACACCATATGATCCCCTAAACACTACCAGGAGTGATTCCTGAGTGCAGAGCCAGGAGTAGCCCTGAGCATTCCCGAGGGTAGGGTAGGGTAGGGTAGGGTAGGGTAGGGTAGGGTAGGGTAGGGTAGGGTAGGGTAGGGTAGGGTGAAAGAAAAAAAGAAAGAAAGAAAGAAAGAAAGAAAGAAAGAAAGAAAGAAAGAAAGAAAGAGAGAGAAAGGAAGGAGGAAGGAAAGAAAGAAAGAAAGAAAGAAAGGAGGAAGGAAAGGAAAGAAAGAAAGAAAGAACGAAAAAGAAAGAAAGAAAGAAAGAAAGAAAGAAAGAAAGAGAAAGGAAGGAGGAAGGAAAGAAAGAGAAAGAAAGAAAGGAAGGAAGGAGGAAGGAAAGGAAAGAAAGAAAGAAAGAAAGAAAGAAAGAAAGAAAGGAAAAGAAAGACCCCACTGGTGGCACAGCACACACTTTGCATGCGGGGGGGCCTTGGCTTATATTCCCAGCATCACATGCCCCCCCAAGCAATGCTGGGTATAGCTCCCCCACCAAAAAATGTGCAAGATCTCTAGAAACCCACCTTGCTGCCAGTGGCTGTGGCCCCTCCCAGGACAGTGCTCCTGTCCCCTTGCATAGCTCCCTCAGGACACCCGATAGATCATTCTCTCTCTACCCTCCTCACAGAGCCATGGCGGGGGTTTCTCTTGGCTTAACTGGCCCAACAGATGCTCAGTAACAAATACTACTTCATCAAGAGACCAGAGATGGAGGGGCTGGAGCAGTAGCACAGCAAGGAGAGCATCTGCCTTGCAGGTGCCAACCCACGTGTGATCCCTGGCATCCCATATGGCTCCCCGAGCTCCACCAGGAGTGATTCGTGAGCTCAGAGCCCTGAGCACCACTGCCCCCAAACAAACAAACAAACAAACAAACAAAAAAACCCCAAGCAGATATTAGAGACAGAGAGTTCCCAATTTCCTGATATTCCTATCAGGAAAAGTCAGGATGAGGAGAGACCCACTAAGCAGATCTGGGCACCCCGGCCGCTCAGGGTCCAGCTTTGTTCCACCTTCTCAGAGCTGAACCCAGCGAAGAGACACCTGCATAGCAGTTGTTTCTGTTACCAGTGAGTCAGCCTCTTGGAAAAAACAAGTTCCACAAGTTCCCAAGGAACCAAGTACAGGGAGTCACTTGAGAGAAAGCAGTCGTACCCCAAGGCAGAGGCCGGGTCTTGGCCCCTGCAGGGCACAAGGGGCCCGGAAAGGTAGCACATGGGCGAGGCAGTGGGGTTCAGTCCCCAGCACCACCTGTGGTCCTGAGCAAAGAGCCAGAAGTAAGCACTGAACATGGCTGGGGTTTCCCAAAACCCAAAACAAAACAAAAAACAGTCATCCCTGGATCAGCCACAAAGCGGGAATGGGTCAGACAGGCAACTTCCAGGGTTCGCCCAGATGCAGTGAGTCAGAATCAGGGTGGGAAGGAACCACCATCTGTTCTAACATGCCTTCAGTGAGTAACGCTAGGCTTGAAACCGTTGCCTGAAACGAAGAGGGTGGGAACAGCAGAGAATCCCCAGCCACAAGAATCTGGGTTCCCGAAGGCTGACTTGACTTGTAGTATGTGTGTGTGTGGTGGGGGGGGGGGGGGCGGGTGCTTCCCTAGCAGGGCTCCAGGGGGTCACTCCTGGCAACTCAGGACTCAGGATCACTATGGCTGCCCCCCAACATGCTCTGGGGTGGGGGGCTAGGGATCACACGTGCGTCACACCGGCTCTGCCCTGCAGCTCACTCCCTGCCCTATGCGCCTCCTGAGGCAGCGCAGGGGAGAGGTCACGCCACCTTTCCAGATGTAGATCTTGCCACAGAGTCCGTTGTCCAGCACAAAGCAGTCATCAGGGATCAGCAGTGCAAAGGCAAAGGGGCTGGCATCAGCGACTTTGGTCAGGTTCATCTGCCCCGTGGCGTCAGACACCTGGGGCAGGACGGGAGGGATGGGCAGAGTCTGAGCCACCCCCCTCCCTCCTCTCTCCCAGAAGCAGGCACCTCTGGGAGCTGCCACGCCCACTCCCACCGGCCACTCTCGCCCTGCTCCATCCCGGAACTAAGGGCATTGCTGGCACTGCAGGAGACATGGCACAGAGGCACAGACCGGTGAAGTTGGGCCTGGCTCCGGACCTCCAGGGCCTGACATGGGCCCTTCCCGGCTTCCCGCACTCGGGCTGCATCCAGTCACCACCCGCCTCCCCTGCTCCCTGCAGCCCTGGTACCCTGCTCCCAGCCCACCTTGTACAGGACCGCTGCCTGGGCATTGGTCTGGTCAGCCATGAGGTCTTCTTCGGGGTTGCCTTCCTTCAGCACAGGTTTGGGACCCAGGACCTGCAGGGGCCAGGTAGGCCAGGTTCCAGGAGCCTCCTGGACTCCTGGCCGAGACTCCGCAGGCACAGGGGCACCAACCCCCTCCGCGGTTCCAGGGTCACTGCACTCTGCAGTGTGGGAGCTCCCCCGCCCCCAGCCACCCTCCTGCCCCGCACTCCTCCTACATGGATCATCTCAGGGGGCTCCTCGCCATCGGCCACGATTTCCACTCGGGCTTTGCCATGCCGCTCGCTGTCCCGGATGGCCACGGCCAGGTCCTGCGCTTTGTTGCGTTCCAGGATGTTGGACTTGCCACCACACCAGGTGAAGATGTCCTGAAAAGGAGCAGGAGGCTGGGGTCATGGCCGGGCCGGGCCCGCTGCTACCTCAGATGTGGGAAACGGGGCTCGGAGGCTGTGCTCCCTGAAGCAAGAGAGGCCCCATCCGGAAGGCAGGGGAGGCTTCTGGGACTGGGAGCAGGAGCGCTGAGCCAGCTCGCGCCTGGCTGCCTGCACTGCACAACCCTCTCTGGCATAGATGGAATCTTCCTGTTTATATCCAATTTTTTTCTTTTTTTGGTGGGAGCTCACCTGACAGTGCTCAACGGCCACTCCTGCAGGGCTCTGTGCCCAGTGGCTGCTCCTTGGCAGTACCTGGTAGACCCACGTGGTACTGGGGATGGCACCCTAATCTCCTGTATGAGTATAGCCTTTTGTGGTTTTTTTTTTTTTTGCTTTTTTTGGTTCACACCCGGCAATGCACAGGGGTTACTCCTGGCTCTGCACTCAGGAATTCAGGAATTACTCCTGGCGGTGCTCAGGGGGCCATATGGAATGCTGGGAATCGAACCCAGGTCGGCCGTGTGCAAGGCAAATGCCCTACCCGCTGTGCTATTGCTCCAGCCCCGAGTATGGCTTTTTGCACCCCAGCCCTGCCCCCCTCTCCAGGGCCAGTCCATCAGCTCTCCTTCCGGCCTAGAATATTAGCTTCCACAGCAGGTGAATGTTTGGGTTTACTTCGCTTTGTTCACGGCTGTACGCCCAGGGCTAAAATAGGCTGGCACAGACTTAGTTTCAAATCAATTATTTATGGAATGAGGGGGCTGGAGAGATGGCACAGCAGGTAAGTTGCGGGCCTGGCAGGCAGCGACCCCGGCCTGTGCCCTGCCTGCCGTCTCTGCCGGCTGAGACGGGGGCCTGTTCTCTCCCGCTGGCTCTGCAGCTTCTCGGGAGCTGCCTGCACCATGTCACAGCCCGCCCCGGGCCCCCATTCATTTACTTATTTATTTGTTGTGTTAAAGACATGATGATTTACAAAGCTGCTCATAACAGAACTGCTTCAGGCATACGATATTGCAACACCAATCCTGCGACCAGGGTCCCCTGGACCCCTGCCATCGCCCAGTCTGCCCTCTTGTGGGGGAAAGATCATAAAAGGATTGAGTACAAAAACTCAACTAGATTATCACTCAGATTTGAAGAACTGTATAGAGCTTCATGGACAGGCAACAGGGAATTATTCATAGCCCCGAAATCAGTTTTGCCAGAAGTCTTAAAAGAGCCCCTTTAAAGGACTGTGTATGGCACTCGCTAATGTATTTGGTTTCCTCCACTATATTAAGAAAGGTTAAAAACATAGCAATTAATCATCAAAAATGGACTTTAAGTTATTTTCTAGTAATTCTTTTTTTTTTTTTTTTTTTGCTTTTTGGGTCATACCCGGCGATGCTCTGGGGTTACTCCTGTCTGCACTCAGGAATCACTGCTGGCGGTGCTCAGGGGACCATATGGGATGCTGGGAATCGAACCCGGGTCGGCCGCGTGCAAGCAAACTCCCTACCCGCTGTGCTATCACCCCAGCCCCTATTTTCTAGTAATTCTATTTGCCATTTCTCTTAATTTTGGGTAGCCAAGTAATATGAAATAAATTTGCCATATCCCTGTTCTGAGGGGTGGGCCCTGCTGGCAATGGTCAGGGCAGCCCACAGGGTCAGGGATGGAACCCGGGACCCACATGGCACACATGCATTCCAACCCTTTGGACCTTCCCCCGACCTCTCAGACTGTTTGTTTGTTTATTTATTTATTTATTTATTTATTGCGTTTTGGGTCACACCCGGCAATGCTCAGGGCTGACTCCTGGCTCTGCACTCAGGAATCACTCAGGGGACCATATGGGATGCTGGGAATTGAACCCAGGTCGGCCACATGCAAGGCAAATGCCCTACCCACTGTGTGTAAAAAAAAAAATTACTTTTTTTTTTTGCTTTTTGGCTACATATTCGATTACTGGCTCCAAACACAGTAACAACAAGTCTCACAATGGAGACGTTACTGGGCCTGCTCAAGCAAATTGATGAACAATGAGAGGACAGTGCTACAGTGTTTTTTGGCTACATCCAGCAGTGCTCAGGTATTACTATTGACTCTGTGCTCAGGGATCATCCTATGCCTGGGATAGAACCCAGGGCAGGTACATGCAAGGCAAACACCATCCACTATACTTCCAGCCCTTTTTTGGTTAGTTTTCTTTTTCTTTCTTTCTTTCTTTTTTTTCCCCAGCCACACTTGGCAGTTCTCAGGGCTTATTCCTGGCTCTTTCCTCAGGAATCATTCCTGGCGGTGCTAGGGGTACTGTATGAGGGAGCTGAACCAAGATGGGTGCAAGGCAATCCTCCAAACTACTGCATTATTGCTCCTGCCCCTGATTTTAATTTTGTGTATTTGTGGGACAGACACACCCAGCAGTGCTCAGGGCTTATTCCTAGCTCTGTGCTCAGAAAGGACCCCTAGCAGTGCTCAGGGGACTAGATGCATCGCTTGGAATAGAACCAGGGTTGGCCATGGGCGTGGCAAACGCCTTAGCCCGGGTACTCTGGCCCCCGAGACCCCCTGCCCGCCTACCTGGCCCAGGTCCAGGATGAAGCAGTCGCCCGTGTTGAAACTGCCCCAGCTCAGCCTCCGCTCCGTGGCCCGGATGTTCTTCTTCCCCTTCACCTGGTAGAGTTTCCTGACGTATGGGGAGCTGGCCTCGGTGGAGGTCTTGTGAAATGCAGAGTCCACGCCGCCTTCCTGCAGCCAGACAGCCGGCCTGAGGCCTCCACAGCGCCCCCCAGCGGCGGGGGCGGGGAGGGCCCGGCCCGGGAGGCGCGCTCACCTGGTACTTGAGGCCCCGCGGGAAGTAGCTCATGAAGACGTCAGACTCGTTGCCCTGCACCTCCCGGTGCTGCACCGGTCGCTCCCCAAGCAGGGTGTTGAGGTGCACGGCCAGCATGGCACAGGCCCCCTGCTCGTCGCGGGATGACTGCTGGCCTGCGGCGGGGGCGGGACCGGGCCCGTGAGAGACCCGCCGGCCGGCCTGGCCCCCGCGGTCCCCCCATCCTGGCCCCCAGCCTCCTTACCGATCCACAGGTGCAGGTGGGAGAGCTCGTCGGGCCCGTTGTGCAGCACCAGGTAGGAGTCCCCCGAGAAGAAGACGCCGTGGTTCTCGCGCGCCACGGCCACGGGCTTCAGCTTCTCCACGCGCCAGATGTGCAGGCCGGGCTCCTGCACCGAGGCTGGGAACACAGAGCCGCTGCGGAGGGCAGGGGCTGCGTGAGGGGGCTGGGGGGCCCTGTGGGGCAGCGCGGGGGGCGGGGGGAGAGGATGTGGGGGGGGACTCACCTTTGGGGGATGGGCGAGTACATGCTGCTTCTGGACCTGGAAAGACAGAAGTCTGTTTTGTTTTGTTTTTGTTTGGGGGCCACGCCTGGCGATGCTCAGGGGTTACTTCTGGCACTGCACTCAGGAATTCCTCCTGGCAGTGCTCAGGGGGCCATATGGGATGCCGGGGATAGACCCCAGGTCGGTCTGTGCAAAGCAAGCGCCATACCTGCTGTGCTATATGGCTGGGGCACCATAGAAGTCATTTTTATTTTTTGGTTTGGGGGGGGATTTTGTTGTTGTTGGGGAGGGTTTTTGGGGGGTGGGGGTGGGTGACGCTCAGTGGTTCTTAGAGCTTACTTCTGGCTCAGCGCTCAGGCATCACTCCTGGTGGGCTCAGAGGACCACAGTGGCTACTGGGAATCAAGCCTGGGTCTGCCTGTGCAAGGCAAATGCCCTAACCGCTGTGCTATCTCTCCAGCTCCAGCAGAGGGAACATTTCCCCTCATTCTAAGTTTCCAGCTGACTACTGTAGCACTGTCCTCCCATTGTTCATTGATTTTCTCAAGCGGGTACCAGGAATGTCTCCATTGTGAGACTTGTTGTTACTATTTTTGGCATAAGGAATACCTCACGGGGAGCTTGCCAGGCTTTGCCATGCATGCAAGATACTTTTGGTAGCTTGCTGGGCTCTCCGAGAAAATCAGATAGATATGTTGATATATCATTATAAAACTATTAATATTGATCAACATTTCACAGGCATCAAAAAACAATTAACAAAGTTCTAGCAGATAGCATTCAATATAACAGATAAGAAGACAAAAACATGATGACCAAATGGAATTGACCCCTAAATGCAAGGCTGATCTAATACCTGACAATCAAACAATATGATCCACTCAGTCAACTTAATATATCTGTATAAGTGAATGTTTTCACCTTAACAGATGATTTCAATCCATTAGCAAAATTCTATATCCACCCCTGAGTTTTAAGATTTTTTTCCAAAAACTAAGACTGAAAAGGAACTTTCTTCTTCCTGTTTTGTTTTTGGTTTTTTGAGTCACACTTGGTGATGCTCAGGAGTTACTCCTGGCTCTGCACTCAAAAGCTTCTCCTGACAGTGTTCACGGGACCATATGGGATGCCAGGAATCAAACCCAGGTCAGCCACATGCAAGGCAAATTCCCCACAGCTGTACTACTGCTCCAGTCCCTAGAAAGAAGCCTGATAAAAAGGCATTTAGCAAAATCAAAACAAAGCTGGTACAGTGGCTAAGGCTCTACATGCCGCGCCTTGCACATGGCCACCCTAGGTTCAATTTGACACAGGTTCGATCCCTGGCACTGCATATGGTTCCCCAAACAATGCCAGGATTGATGTCTGAGTGTAGAGTCAGGAGTGATCCCTAAGAACTGCTGGGTATGACCCTCCCCCCCGAATAAAATAAAAACAAAATTAAACAAAACAAAATCCAGAGACCAAAACTCCCTAGAGATACGATTAGACGTCACTGCCTTCTCTATTCTGAATTTCCTGCCCCGGGAATCTCAGCCATCGACAGGCATTAACTGTGCCAACTGTACAGCCAGTTCCCCTCAGGATGAATAACAACTTGATTCTGGAGCTCAGTGAAAGCAACCTTTTTATGCCACTGAAGTTATTCATGAAGAGAATACTAAGGACAAGTATTTACAAAACACTTTTCCCCAGCTTTTTTTATGGGGGGGAGGGGGAGAAGGTGCCACACCCTGCAGTGTTCAGGGCTTATTCCTGGCTCTGCACTCAGGGGTCACTCCTGGTGGGGCTCAGGGGACCACATAGGGTGCTGGGGATTGAAGCTGGGTGGGCTGTGTGCAAGGCAAGCCCCTGACCCGCTAGTCCTAGCTCTCTGACGCAGAGAATACCTTTTATTTTATTTATTTATTTATTTATTTTTCTTTTTGAGTCACACCCGGCAATGCACAAGGGTTACTCCTGGCTCATGCACTCAGGAATTACTCCTGGCGGTGCTCGGGGGACCATATGGGATGCTGAGACTCGAACCCTAGTCGGCCGCGTGCAAGGCAAATGCCCTACCCGCTTGTGCTATCGCTCCAGCCCCTCACAGAATACCTTTCAAAGAAACCGTCTGGCGCAGTAGCTTCAGCTTCACTCCCCACCTCACTCGCACGTTCCCAGTTCCCATCCCTCGGGTTTCTTTCTGGGGCTTAGAACAGAGCCCACAACAGCCCGCACCGCAAGGCACATGTCTTGCAGCTAAACGGTGTTTCTGCCAGCTGAGCCCTCACCACAGGCTCAGGGTGCAGAAGAATTAGAGGGTGGAGAAGCCAAGGTGTTTCTTAGGGTGCAGTGGCTGGAAGGGGGGGTGAGCAGTCCTGGGGCATGCATAGATGGAGAGGAGGAAGTGTGAGTGGGACACAGAAGGAACCACAGAGCCAGAGTGAGGGGCGTAAAGTGACCCGAGTAATGACACATCTGTTCCACGCCTAACCAGCAAAATATGCGTGTCCTGTCGCTGCATTTTCCCAAGGAGTGGGGGGTGGGGGGCAGAGAGGGGAGGCTGGAGAAGGGAAATTCTGACTCTCTCTCGCCCACAGAGTCACATGCTCTTCCACATTCCCTGCGACCGGCAGCCCACAGTGACGCAGAGACTCGGGGCTAATGTGGTGAGCTGCCACCCCAGGAAGAGGGTGGACTCTCAGCTTTACTGGCTCTAGTTCAGGAGTCCCCAGGGGCCTACAAACCCCCCTGGGTTGATGGAAGCACGCAGAGGACGGACTCTGTTCTGGCTGCCCAGTAGAATTATCTTGGGCTTGTCGCAGGCAGGTAGACTGGGGGTGAGGGAGACGGCTGGGATTGGGTTTGGGGGAAGTAATAAAACCAGGATGTGATTTAAAGAAGTTGCCTTGTCCTAAAGCAGTCCAGAAGTGGGAAGGGAGTAACCCCCTTTTTTGTGTATGTTTTTGATTTACGGTCACACCCAGCAGTACTTCAGGGCTTACTTCTGGCTCTGAGCTAAGGGATCACTCCTGGCAGGACTCGGGGAACCATGTGGGGTGCCAGGGATCTAACCTGGGTCAGGCACATGCAAGGCAAGCGCCCTATGGTTGTACTATCTCTCCGGCTTTGGAAACACTTTTGAGAAACAAGTACTGAGTTCCTCGGAGCAGCCAAAAATGAGGCACCAACCGGGGAAGGGTGAATCCTCAGAAAAGGAGAAGCTTCAAGGGGAACTAAAGGTTGTTTAATAAAAAGCAATTAATTAAAAAAATCCAAGCTCTTCCCCTTGACAAACACCTTAGCAACTATATATATTAGATCACACCAGGCTGCAATACTCAAGAGTTACTCCTGGCTCTGCACTCAGGTTACTCTTGGTGGTGCTCAGGGGGCTATATGGTGGAATGCTGGGGGGTCGAACTCAGGTTGGCCATGTGCAAGGCAAACGCCTTCCCCACCGTGCTATTGCTCAGGTCTGCATAGAAAGCCCTGGGTGAACAGTATAGGAAAGTCCTCTCAAAGCGGCTCTGGGAAAGCAAGTCCATTCTAAACAAGGAAGCACATTCCCTTGCTTTTAACTTCATGGCAGAACTCACATGTGGCACTCTCCCCTCTGGAGAAGCCTGTGTTCTCTCGGATGAACAACTCTTTCTTTACTCCCTCATATTTCTCTAAACAAACTACATTACTTCACCATTCACCTCTTCCTGACATTTCCTGTGAGGGAAGACAACAACTCTGAGCCCAGGTAAGGACGTACTCTCCCCTCCTGCAAAAGGCAGATCCTCGCTCCAGCCTGAGTCCACAGAACGCAAAGAGTTGGGGTCAAGGAGGTAGTCCAGTGGGTAGGGCACTTGCCTTGCATGTGGCCCACCCAGATTAGATCCCCTACACCCCATGTGGTCCCCTGGGCCCCGCTAGAAGTGATTCCCTGAACACTGAGACGAAAGTAAAGCCTGAGCATTGCTAGGTGAGGCCCCAAAACAAATAAACAAGCTGAGAGTTCAGAGGGCAGGCAGCAGTCCCGGGCCGTTGTGGAGCGTGGGTGAGCGCCCACATCCTGCTGGTGCCCGCTTCGTCAGACTAATCCTCCCAGCCTTATCCGGGAGGCCACTGAGGGACAATCAGGAAAGAGATAGCCCCCTCTCTTGAACCTGTTTCCTCCCTCGCACCCCACTTCTCCCCTCATCAGGCAATCTGTACAAATGATAAAAACCCAGGGGCTGGAGTGATAGTACAGCGGGCAAGGCGTTTGCCTTGCACATAGCCCACCCGGGTTTGATTCCCAGCATCCCATATGGCCCCCTGAGCACCCCCAGGAGTAATTCCTGAGTGCAGAGCCAGGAGTAATCCTGAGCTTTGCAGAGTGTGACCCAGAAAACAAACAATAAACATCCAAATCCTTCTCTTAGGTGGGGAGTGTCATAGATTAAAGATGAGCCTCCCCATACCTCTCCCCACACGCACAGTGCAGAAACCCCATGACAGCTTCCTCAGCCCCTCCTCTTAAATGCCTCTGGGGATGAGGAGCTCACTGCCTCACCAACTGGCCTCTTGCTCTATGCCCTGGACATTCAAATCTTTGCTTTCCCCCGCACTGCCAGTTAGGTGAGTCAGGGGCTACCCGTCTCGCCGGGTGGGTGGCAGGGGCATTTTATTTATTTTTTTTCTTTTTTGGGGCTGGAGCGATAGCACAGCGGTAGGGCTTTTGCCTTACAAGCGGCCAACATGGTCGACCCGAGTTCAATTCCTCCGCCCCTCTCGGAGAGCCCGGCAAGCTACCGAGAGTATCTCGCCTTCACGGCAGAGCCTGGCAAGCTCCCCGTGACTTATTCGATATGCCAAACACAGTAACAACAAAGTCTCCAATGGAGACGTTACTGGGCCTGCTCAAGCAAATCGACGATCAACGGGAGGGCCTTTACCTTTACCTTTACCTTACCTTTTTTGGGTCACACCCATCAATGCACAGGGGTTACTCCTGGCTCATGCACTCAGGAATTACTCCTGGCGGTGCGTGAGGGACCATTTGGGATGCTGGGAATCGAACCTGGGTCAGCTGCGTGCAAAACAAACGCCCTATCCACTGTACTACCAGCTCCTCTCCGGATCCAGCTGGAACCTCACCGAGTGCCTGAGGCCCTGCAGTGCTCAGGGGAGAGCTCAGAACAGGCCTTGCTGGATTCACATGAGACCACAGGGAGCCCGGGGGCAGTCGCTGGGGACAGGCAGAGCAGTCTGGACAGAAACGGCGGGGTTAGAAATCGGTCAGCCTGTCGTGGGGCAGAGGGACCATGGCCCTTCCAGACCCTGTGTGGCCCTCGGGGTGAAATTAAATCACTCCAGCTCTCTTGGGAAGCAAGGAAGAAGGTCACCCAGAAACAGCACTACCCGCCCACCTTCCAGCCAGGCTCTGCTTGCTCCTGCCTCCCCTCACCCCACCTGTGGGACCCTCTGCTGGGGTTCTGCTGACTTTGCTAAATCACGACCTGCCACCAGCCTCTTACTCCAAATGTTAGGCCTGGCCTTCCCGCTCTCAGCCACGCCAGCCCCAGCAAACTAATCATGCCCCAGACTGTCTCGGGATGGGCACCTGCAAATCTGAGTGCGCCTTCGTTCAGAGACAGAGAGCTTGGACCCAAAGCAGCACCAAGGGCTGTGGCCCAGGAGTCCCAGATTGGATTCCGGCACTCTGTGGCTTCCCCCAGCACTGAGATAAGTGTAGTCCTGGAAAACCACTAGTATGACCCCCAGACAAACCAATCCACAGCACACCCGAGGTTGAGGACTGTCAGGAGCCCTGTGAGCTGGGTGACGTGCCTGGTGGCCTCATCCAGGAGGCGTGGCCCCACCTCCCCCCCCAGTCCAGACAGGCACTGCCTTAGGGGTTCCTCGTTCCACTTTCCGGGACTGCCCACAGGCCTGACTCACTGAAGCCTGACTGAAGGGACAAGGACGGCAGCCTGGTGACCCACTACTGGACAAACAACTTCCAGAAACCCGACCCTACTGGGAGGGGGACACAACCTGGCAGAACTCAGGCCTTGCTCCTGGCTCTGTGCTCATAATCCTGATGGGGCTCAGGGACCGTGTGGGGGCCAGGATGGAACCCGGGTCAGCTGCGTGTAACACAAGCACCTTTCCCATTGTGCTATGGCTCTAGCCCAGAACCCTCCCCTCCCCAGACCCCAGCGGGTACTCACTCGCACCCCTCAGAGGACCTAAGCAGGCCCACGAGAGGGTTGCCAGGCACCCCAGCAACCCCATGCCCCTCTCCTCTGCTCCCCTGCCCCCTCCTGCAGCTCAGCTTCTGCTTTTCAGGAGATGCCACCCTGCAGCTCACTTCCTTCTGACTCCACCTGGGCTGCCCAGGACGTCTGCCCCCCACTCCTGCTCCAACTCCCTCCCCAGCTCTGGGGTGTGGTATGGGGGATATGGGGGTTGCCTGGAGGAGGAGAGCAGGCACCAAACCTCAGAGACCCACTAGACTGGGCATCTACCCAAGCCCTGGGCCTCCCTAAGGTGGCCTCAGGCAGCTGCAGGCCCAAACTGGCCCTATTAGGCGGCGACCTGCAGGACAGCCAGGAGGAACATTGGGCCATGGCTCAGTGGGTGAGCACATGCCTTGCATATATGAGGCCCTACACACACACACACACACACACACACGCACGTACACACACACCCCAGACACACACACACCCCAGACACACACACACACACACCTTGCATATATAAAGCCCTACACACATGCACACCCCAGACACACAAACACACACACCTTGCATATCTGAGGCCCTACACACACACACACACCAGACACATACACACACACCTTGCATATCAGAGGCCCTATACACACACACACACACACACACATCCTGCATATATAAGGCCCTACACACACACACACACACACACACACACACACCCCTTGTATATCTGAGGCCCTACACACACACACACACACACACACACACACACCCTGCATACATGAGGCACACACACACACCAGAAAGGCTGTGGCCACACACACACACACCCCAAAAAGGCTGTGGCCAAGTTCCTCAGTACCTCAGGCTGCCCCTGGGTTACTCACATTTCCTGGGTGTGGTCACCCTCTGGGCTACATTTTCACCTCCCCCCTGTCTAATCCTTGTCCTGAACATTTGGTTTCTTTCCCTTTCTTTTTCTGGGGAAGGGGAACCGGTGTGGAGGTGGGGGGTACACCCAGCAGGGCTGGAGCTGCTCCCTGCAGTGTGGTTGGGGCCACTCCCAGAAATGCTCAGGTTCAAACCTAGGGCTCCTGCGTGCAGAGCACCGACCCCAGCCCTGCCGGCCGTCTCCCCCTCCACACTGGACCTCTGCAGTGCAGGAGCTGGGGATGCAGTGCTGGGTCGGCTGGCCAGATACCCCTCGGGCCCAGCCCGAGCCAGCTTCCCACTCAGCAGAAAAGTCACAGTCTTGCCACCAGGCAGGCTAAGGATGGCAGTTCCTGAGACTGACCTTGATCCGGGGTACTAGCTCCCCCCAGCCAGCACTGGGAGCGACTCCTGAGATAACTGGGTTTGAACCGGAAACAAATTTTTTAAAAAATAGGGCCATAAAGAGAGCATCACATCAACAGGACCTTGTCCCCGGGAGCAGCAGAGACTGGGGAGCTAGCCCGGGAGGGAGCAGGAGCTGGGATGTGTCCCCCTCACCTGCTGGCTGTGCTTCCTCAAGTGCTTCAGTTCTTGGAACCTCCGGGGGTCCAATCTGTAAAGTGGGCACAAAGATAAAGAGACCGAATGAGAGGGGAGAGAAAAGGCTCAAATCACAGGTCCTCAAACCCCAGAAACTTCTCTCTCCCAGGCACTGGGGGTTTAGCAGGACCGGCGCCCAGCACCTCTGGGAGCAGTGGCCCTGCACTGGACCCCCCACGCCCCCACCCCAGCTCCTGGGTTAGCAGAGTGTGGAAGGTGAGAGCAACAGGTGAACCCCCCCCCCCCCACAACCCCCTCCAAACTCTTGGCCTTGGTGGCACCGTGCAAGAGAGGGGCCGCGCAGGTCCCAGGCTGCAGCGAGCGCGGGACCCGCAGGGCTGCACCCTGAAGGTACCTGCCCAGGTAGCCCCTCACCGGAGCGGGCGGAGGGGGCGGCACACGAGTCCCCAGAGTTGCTGCTCACTCGGCCCGGCCCGCGCTGCACGCGCCGCCTCGCCCCGTGCCCCCCGACCGGGGCGCCCCCACCAGCGCCCCCTGCACAGACCCGCCCGCTCGCGCTCCCTCCCTCGCGGGTACGGGGGAGGCGACCCCCGCCCAGCTGAACCCGCAGCCAGAGAGCGAGACCCCGGAGTCACTCGCCTGCCGGCGTCCTGCTCGGTGCTCTGGCCGCGTCCGCGCCGCGGTGACTCACCGGGAGGCGCCGCCGCCGCCGCTGCCGCCGGGGGGCGCTGCTGAGCCCGCGCCGCGCCGCGCCCCGTCGGGGCCGGAAACCCGCGTGTCGCCCGGCTGGGCGTCGGGAAACGCCCCCGGCAGCCCGACGGCGCCCACTCCGCGCGCCCCGCGGGACCGGGAATCGCCCCTGGGTTCTGAGCCAGCCCGGGCGGCTGCAAAGCCAGTCGGTGCCCGGACGGTCAGCGCTTCATCTCGGGAGGCCACCCAGCATGGTCAGCGCCGCACGCTGCCGGGAAGGCTGGCCCATTTCCCTCGCCTTCTCCCTTCCTTCCGTTATTTTTCTCTCTCTCTCTCTCTTTTACGTTTTTCCTCTTAAAAAATATGGGAGGTCACATCCGGCGGCTCTCCGGGCTTCCCCTGGCTCTATGCTCAGGGGTCACTCCTAGCAGGACCCAGGGCACCACATGGGGTGCTGAGCGCCCCAGACCCGGGTCTACCGCCTGCAGGCAAGTGCCCTACCCTGCCACTCCCACCACTCACCTTTTCTTTTTGTGCTTGTTTTCTTTCTTTCCCTTCCCTTTTTCCTTCCTTTCTTCCTTCCTCCCTCCCTTCTTCCCTTTCCTCCTCCTCCTCCTCCTCCTCCTCCTCTTCCTCCTCCTCCTTTCCTTCTCCTTCTCCTCCTTTCCTTCTTCCCCTCCTCCTTCATGCTTTGGACCACAGTGACCTGTGCTCACAGTGGTTCCTATGCTTCTCAGGGGCCATATGATGCCTAGAATAGAATCAGGGCTGCCACATGTAAAGCATACTGTTCATTAGACCTTTGAGCCATCTCTTTGGCCCTAATTCTTCTTTTCTCAAAAATCCTAATATGGACAACTTTCTCCAAGGTCCTCTGATGGGGGTGAGGTAAGGGATGCAATTCAAAATCTGATTCTACCCACCCTCTCCTGCATACCTGGGAATCATCCATCTGGATGGCACAGAGCAAACACCCTCCCTTTTCTAATCTAACCCCCCTCCCCGACGGTCCACCGCTCACCCTAACTATCTCTCCTCTGAAACTCGCCATGGTTTCCCACTGTTCCTGGGGCTCCCAGCCCCTGTGCATTAGTGTCCCGGCCTCCTGCAGCCTCCATGGGAAAACTTTTCAGCCACAATCCAAATAAGATCCGAAACACTTTCGACTCCCCAAAGACCCCGTCACCCGGCCTGCTGCCTCACTGTCAGCTCCCACCACCCAGGCCCCCCGTCAGAAACACCTCTGTGATTGCAGTCACAGTCATTGCTTAGGAGATGCCACAAACTCCCCCTCCCCCACCCCACTGAATGTTTGAAGAGATCAGAGAGCAAAATTCTAGTATTCCCAGTCTCTGTCCCCTTGGCAATGACATTTCAGCCTGAGCCACTGTCTCCTTACCCGTGTACCCAGGACAATCACCCCATCCCTCCTTCCCTGGGGGATTTCGGTGATCCCGTGAGATCATCTATGGGAGATTCTGAGAGGAATGAAGGGCTGAACTGTGCAAGACACTATTGCCATTATTATTGGGGGAGGGAGGGCAGGGAGACCTTCCAAACAGTGCTCAGGAGGTCTGGCCGTGATTCTCAGCCTAGTGTCTGTGGGTTCTGCTCAAGCCCAAGGATGTGACTCGTGCTGCTTCGGCCCTGAAGTTCTGGTGGTACTTGGGCCGTCCCAGAAGTGTTGAGGGCTCCAAAGGTGTACCCAGTGGTGTTCAGGGAGTTGAACCAGTTCAGGCACATGCATGGACTGCACGCTCTCCCTCCCCTTACCATTGTTTGGGTTCTGTTTTTTCGTTTGAGTTTTTGTTTTGGAGTCACACCTGTCTTTGCTCAGGGCTTACTCCAGGCTCTGTACTCAGGGATAAGTCCTGACTGGGCCTCAAGGAACAATTCGGGATGCCAGGGATCAAACAGGAGCAAGATGTGTGCAAGGCAAATGCCTTCCCGCTGTACTATCTCTCTGGCCCTACCATTATTGTTTACAAACTTCTGGGACCAGAGAGAGATTACTAAGAATAAGGTGCTTGCCTTGCATGTGGCCAATCCAGGTTCAATCCTTGGCATCCCTTATGGTCCCCTGAGCATCACCAGGAATGATTCCTGAATGCAGAGCCAGGAGTAACACCTTTAGGGTGTGGCCCTAAAGTAAAACAATAAGCTTCTACTTGGGGGCCTGAGTGATGGGTAAAGCATTTTCCTTGCACTTGGCTGATCCAGGTTCAATCCCCAGTACTCACTACATGGTCCCCTCCTCCCTCTCCCAGATCCCTGAGCACCAACAGGTGTGGCCCCAAAACAAAAAGTCAAAAGTAAATAAGAAGGGGCTGTAATGATAGCACAGCGGGTAGGGCATTTGCTTTGCACGCGGCCAACCTGGGTTCGATTCCCAGCATCCCATGTGGTCCCCCGAGCACCACCAGAAGTAATTCCTGAGTGCTGAGCCAGGAGTAACCCCTGTGCATCGCCGGGTGTGACCCAAAAAGAAAAAAAGAAAACAGCAACAACAACAAAATAGACTTCTACTTGTAGGGCGAGCCCTTGGCTGGAAGGTCCCAGCAGAGGGAGGCCTGAGACTGATTTCCAGGCTGGTTGCCTGGGCTCTGGCAGCCCCAAAAACTGACTCTCTGCTTCAGTGCTCATGGTCCCCCGGTGAGGGGCTGAAGCCCAAGGGTAAAAGTTTTTCCTGAGATGAAAGGATTCTCTAACTCACCTGTCATACATATGTAGGTATGTATGTGGCCCTCTCTGGCCTCAAAATCATACCTATGGAATGCATGCAGTGGTGGGAGCGCCAGGCTGGCCTCTCTGATCACATCCCTGAGGCGGACAGGGGTGTGCTGTGGTACTAAAGTTTCCACTGTCAGAATCCCCCCAAACATTTCTTTGAATGTGTTCATTTGCATTGCTTGTAGTCTTCTATTGTGATCAGCGGGGCCAAGGAAACAGATCAGCTATAAAGCTATAAATGTAAGCTATGTTAGGCCTTACGTTTGATCCCCAGCATCACCAAAAACAAACAGACATTTAAAAAGTAAATTATAGGCCAGTCTGTGTAATTTTTGTCTGCAAATAAAGAATTTTCTAGATTATTTACCCCACCCCCGGAAAGACCAAGGATCTGAGTAACTAGCTTTCCTTTTCTCTCTCTCTCTCTTTTTTTTTTTTTTGTTCAGTTTTTTTGCCGCACCCAGAGGTGTTCAGGGCTTAGTCCTGGCTCTGTCCTCAGGACCCATTCCTGGAGCAGCTTGGGGGACCAGATGGGGTGTAGGGAACTGAATGCAAGGCAAAGTCCTCATCTGCTGTGCTGTCTCTCCAAATCCTTTATTAGTGTTTTTATATTCTTTTAATTTTTTTTTTTTTGCAGAGCAGGGTGACAGACATCAGTGCAGATAAGACCTGATCTTGCAAAGCAGCCCAGAAGCAAAGCCTCGCAAGAGGGAGTATCTGGGCAAAGTTAGCAAGAACAGGGTGTCAGCACAGGATGTTTGGCCTTGAGCCTCACTAGCCTCCTAGTCACATGAGCCCTAGACACAGAAACTGTCATGTATGCTTAGCAAGTTATCCTAACCACAGCATCTAGCACTGACTGAGATTAGACCAGGGCATAGCAGAGAAGGAGCGATGATAGGCCAATAATACTGAACTCCATGTGATTGGACTTTCTTTTAAGCCGAGACCTTCTGTAAAATATGTGTGTATCTGACAATAAAGTGAACAGCCATCAGTTGCTCCTGGAGAGTGTTTCTCCCAGTGCCCGTTATCCTTCACCCCCGCGCCTGCCCAGGCCCAGTGGGCAACGTGTCCAGGCACCGTTGGGGCGAAAACTGTTCCCCAACAATTTTTCTTTTATGTTATTTAATTTGCTCGAGCAAATTAAATAGCTAAAAGTGGAGTTGCTCAGTCGTATGATGCACCAATTTTTAATATTTTGAGAAATCTCCATGCTGTTTTCCATAGGTGCTGGAACAACTTAATTTCTGCGATAAGTATGTGAATGTTCCTTTTACTTCACTCTGTCGGTAGATAGCTCATTGACCTTTTAATTGTATTTCCCTGCTAATTAGTGATCATGAGCTTTTCCCCACAAGTGGGAGTTATTTGCATGTCTCTTAGTAAAGTGTTCAGCCCTTCATTAATGAATTTTTTTAAATTTTGAATTTTGGGCTACACCAGCAATGCTCAAGACCTGCTCCTTGCTCTGTGCTCAGGGGACCATATGGGATACGAGGGATCGAAATCAGCTTGGCCACCTGCAAGGTAAGCACTGTACCTACTGCACCATCACCCATCGCTCCAGCCCCATGTTTGTTTTAATATAATCCTTTTTT